TCGCTTTAACCCACAGATGACTCAGGGCTGAACCATGCATGACATGGAGAGATGAGCGCATCTTTATGTGCAAAAGGTGGTGGCAATTTGGAGGGGAATAGGATGTATTCTTGCAAGAGTATGAGTATGAACACTTTGCTGTCTATCACGCGGTACTAACTTCGACCGTTAATTTGAATTTTTGACCTACCAAATCTTTGAAAATCAAGGATTACTGCACAGTTTTTCTTCAAACTTGTTCCATTCAAAGCATAACAAAATGCCTTTCTGTTGGTACATTTTTCTGTTATACAGAGTCCCTACTTTCTGCGGCATTTCACAGCTGGGGACCAAAACGCTGCTAAAACGAGGGACTCTTTACAATAAAGCAATGCACCGACAGAAAGGCAATTTTGTTTTACTTTGAATGGAACAATTTTGAAGAAAAACGGTGCAGTATGAGACGCGCAATCCTTGATTTTCAAACATCTGGTAGGTCAAAAATTCAAATTAACGGTCGAAGTTAGTACCGCGTGTCTATGTCACACCTGCCACACCTTCCTCAAATATCCCATATGTCTTATGTACTGTTTAAAACTTGGGTCCGGGCTGAATTTTGCCCTACATTGCGAAATTAATGATTATTCGGAAATGATTATTATGAAAAGGATGCATTGGTTTTATGTTTTCTTACAATATTACACTGACATTCGCGATGTTTATAAATTGGTCCCAAGCTTATTTTGGCATACTTTGCAAAAGGAATGGTTACTCGCTCAAACATGACCCAATATCAATGAATGATATACCATTGGAAAGAGGAGACACGTGACTTTATGGTGCATTGAATGAAATCAATGCTGTTATCACTGATTTGCGCTTTTCCGAGATAACAATGTGTTGCGTTTTTTGATACGCATGGTATATTGATTGTATATCGGCTCGTTATGTGCCTACAAAACCTCAGTAGCCAGGTATGGAATACTTAGATACGACATTAGTAACTTGGAGAAACATCAAATGACCATCGAAATCTTCCTGACATCTCACATTTTTTGAAGTATTGTAATAACGTATTTTTCTACATTGATGGTGTATAAATCATTCTTGAAATAAATATTTAAAAAACAAAAACTTTAATGTTATTGTTAAATTATAAAAGTAGAACCTACAACGTCTTCTGAATTATCATGGAGCCTTTGTGGTTCTCCTTTCTCTCAAAATTTCCTCTTCTTGGAACTTGGGGTGTCTCTGTTTAATAAAAGGATTGTCTTGAATTTATGTTGAAGTCTAATACACGATATATCCATCGTTCTCCTATATATTTTGGTTCGTTTATTTTGAAATCCAATGATGGGTGAAACTGTATAAAATGTTTGACGAAATCGTTCTGCTCTGATGACTTGAAGTTGCAATAAAAACATTTGAAACGTGGCCCTAGAATGAAACAGTATATATAATTAATAGGAATACTTTACTTGGTCTTTCGTGTACGTTTATTTGAAGAACCTCAATATTTAATGGAATGTAATGAAGCTTTCCTCGTGATCGAAGCGGGTACTCGTGAAATCTGCTCCTGATTTCAGCGGGACCTCCTCATGTTTTCAGCGGGGCTTCCTCATAATTTCAGCGGGGCCACTGGAACACCTCCAATGGTGTATTTCACCCCCCCACAGGAGATGTTATTGTAAACTAACTTATCAATACATACAATGTTGATCCAATATTCATTATGAGGAATGCATATCGTAGTTCTTGTCTCAATTTTAACGACAAAAGTAATTTTGTTACAGTAAATTATGTAAACGTGCATATTTGCGCCAGTTCCTTCCATGCCGATAAACATATTTATCGTTCATGTCATTGTTTGTGAAGATATACCTGTTCTGAAAGTATACCTCGAGTTTCAAAGAACAGTAATGCGTATTCTTACCATTTTTGTCCATATTTCAAGGTGACACAAATAAAAAGGACTTTGCTCGTGATTTCAGCGGGAACTTGCTCGCGATTTCTAAATCATGGCGGGGCTTTAGATACTACCCGTGATTCCGCTCCGCACAAAATTATTGGGTGCTTTCACTTCTAAGCCAGGATGTACCGTACTCACGGGTAGTATCTAAAGCCCCGCTATGATTTCAAAGTCGCGAGCAAATACCCGCTGAAATCGCGAGCAATTAAAAGAAAAGAAGGGTTATCTTTTGTTTACTTAAATTGTATGTTATAAAAAGCGTTTTCATTTAATTTTACTCAATTATTACATGGTATTGATACTAAAAAGCAACTTCTGCAAAAAAAGGATCACGAGCTGATGTTCTGAGTTTTGTTATTCGATAATTAGAGAGAGAATGTGTCATCTTGAATCTTTATCTATATATTTCTATATTTTATAGCTGAAGAAGGTCATTGCCCTTCAGTTGAAATGGTCATAGTAATATGAAATGAAGGTATTGTGAGTTTCACTTCCTAAAGTTTCACAAAAAATTATATATTTCAATTTTAGCATATCCCTTGAGGCCCCGCTTCTACCATGAGCAATAAACTAAAGATCCCGCTGAAAACATGAGGAGGCCCCGCTGAAAACATGAGGAGGTCCCGCTGAAATCAGGAGCAAGTGGCTCTCTAAAATGGAGTGAAGACCAATTTGACTTTGCAAATCTGCCACGACTGTAGCCAACGTAATAAATATATTAATTATTGATACTCTACAGAGCACATATATATCATATATCATTGTTATTATCGGTTCGAGCAACCCACCCCCCTTACCAAAAGCTGGCTACGAGCATGATTCCAATAAAACCATCTCACTTAATGTATTTCGACCTGACTCCATCGAGAAATTTACCAAGAGAAGATTTAAATCCATTCCACGACTTTTGACAAGTTTCAAAGAACTCGTTCTTCTTTGTATGCAATATATATTTATATTTCACTGAAGTTACATTATACTGTAGTTCAGTATATTACTACCTTAGAGGATTCAGCACCAATGGCGCACACGTTTGAAAAGGCAATTTATGGATCAACTGCTAGATGTAAGTAACATCCGATTATGAGTCTGAAATAATAATAATCAAATAATTTCATCATTAACAATTAATCGTAGGTTATGTTAAACGCACGTGTTACGCGGAAAACATGATGCAAATATGTGTCATATTCTGCAATAAATATGGCATATTCACTTGCGGTGTATGACAGATTCAGCTGCAGTATATTGCATACCCACTAAGCAATGAGAACACGATACAGAAGTACGCAATTGTCAATTGCATTGATTGAACAAACGGGTAATCATTGTGTCATTTTCACCTGCGGTATATGACATATTCGGCAAGTGAGTATGACATATTCTGCAGGTGACTATCAGGTATTCACTGAAATCAATGTATCGCATATTCACGGCGCAATATCGCATACTCACCTGCAGAATATGCCATAAACTGCAGGTGAGTATGGCATATACTGTATACCCGTATCACAAATAACACGCAACCATAAATGTATGCCATACTCCGCGTAACATCGTATGTGTTACGCGGAATATGGCATATATTCATGGTTGCGTGTTATTTGTGATACGGGTATATATGCCATATTCAGCTGTGGTATATGGCGTATTCCGCAGGTGAGTATGGCATATTCCGTATTGAATATGTGATACATTGATTTCAGTAAATACCCCATGCTCGCAGAATATGTCATACTCACTTGCAGAATATGCCTTACACCGCAGGTGAGTATGCCATATACCACAGGTGAATCTATCATACTCCACAAGTGAATATGCCATATTCATTGTGGAATATGACATATATTTGTATCATGTTTACCGCGTAACAATATGTCCAGGAAAATGGCTTATGCAGGACATACGATTTATATGTCCCGGATCCTCGTTTGAGCGGGACATACGAAAAAATTTTGCCCGGATATGGAATATATTCCCGGTTGATATGTCCCTGAAAATTATCAGGTATGAATACAAATCATCATTATTTTAATAAATATTTCAAAACAAAAACTTGAATGTTATTGTTAAATGTTATTGTTAAATTATAAAAGTAGAACCTGAATTATCATAGAGACTTTGTGGTTCTCCTTTCTCTCTAAATTTCATCTTCTTGCAACTTGGGGTGTCTTTGTTTAATACAAGACTCATTACCCTGAACCTCAGGCTTCAATTAAGTTCATTCTTGAAATGATATCCACCTTTCTCCTATACATTTTGATATGGATGTAACTCTATAAAATGTTTGACGAAATCTCTGGTGGCTTGAAGTTGGAATGGAAACATTAGAAACCTGGCCCTAGAATGAAACAGCATATATACAGTAATTATTAGAAATACTTAACTTGGTCTTTCGTGTACGTTTATTTGAAGAACCTCAATATTTTATGTAATAGTAATGAGCTTTCCTCGTGATCGAAGCGGGTACTCGTGATATCTGCTCCTGTTTTCAGCGGGACCTCCTCATGTTTTCAGCGGGGCTTCCTCATAATTTCAGCGGGGCCACTGGCACACCTTCAATGATGTATTTCACCCCCCACAGTGGATGTTTTTGAAAACAAACTTATCAATACATACAATGTTGGTCCAATATTCATAATGAGGTATGTATATCGTAATTCTTGTCTCTATTTTAAGCATAAAAGTAATATGTTAACAGTAAATTATGCAAACGTGCATATTGACGCCCGTTTCTTCCATGCCAGTAAAAATAGTTATCTTTCATGTCATTGTTTGTGAAGATATACCTGTTCTGAAAGTATACCTAAAGTATCAAAGAACAGTAATGCGTATTCTTACCTTTTTGGTCCATATTTCCAGATGAATTAAATAGAAAGGACTTTGCTCGTGATTTCAGCGGGAACTTGCTCGCGATCTCTCAATTATAGCGGGGCTTTGGATACAACCCGTGAACTTTGTCTAACTGAATCTGAGGTGTAATACCTGAGACTAACATAAACACTTAAATTTATGATGGTCTCAGGTAATACTAACCTTTTCTATGATGCAGCAAATTCAACAGAGCGAAGAGATGTGTTGAAACTATACAAAGAGAATGGGAAGTCTGCTTTAGAATCTCATGAGTTAATCACTGCTGTACAAATTCCATTTATGGAGCAAGTAAGTTATAATCATGTAAAAGTCCTTCAAAGTAGCCTTCAAAATTCTTTTTGACAATTCTATTAGAAAAACGTTGAAATTAAGTTATTTGCTCCTTCGACCATCATTTTAAGACATGTGGGGAAGTTCAGTATTGTATCGTATTGCATTATGTCGTATCGTATTACTTTTGTAATGACCTTCGATAGCAAGTCGCTACTACAGTCTCAGCTGTAGTGGCTAGCCTTTATGGCTCAGGGGTAGATCGTCTGACTCTGAGAGCGGAAGGTTACGACAGTTACGACGGGACGTTGTCTTCTAGGGGGATGGAGTAATGACCTTCGATAGCAAGTCGCTACTACATTCTCAGCTGTAGTGGCTAGGCTTTATGGCTCAGGGGTAGAGCGTCTGACTCTGAGAGCGTAAGGTCCTGGGTTCGATTCCCGTATGGGACATTGCATTTAGCACACTCTCTTTCGAGTCTAGTATCTGGCTCCGTACACTACAGCTCCCCGACGGGCGCCCCCAAGGGTCGTTACATTGGTGTCAGAAGTGGGATTGCCCTTGTGAATCAGTTACGACGGGACGTCGTCTTCTAGGGGGATGGAGTAATGACCTTCGATAGCAAGTCGCTACTACAGTCTCAGCTGTAGTGGCTAGCCTTTATGGCTTAGGGGTAGAGCGTCTGACTCTGAGAGCGGAAGGTCCTGGGTTTGATTCAGTATGGGGCATTGAATTTAGCACACTTTCTTTCGAGTCTAGTATCTGGCACGGTGCACTACAGCTCCCCAACGGGCGTGCCCAAGTGTTGTAACACTTTTATTCCTACATATTGATCTAAATAAAGAAATCAACTTTTTTGTTTAATATTGAGTTTTGACAGAGAGTGTCTTGTGTAATTGTAACGTTTTTGTTTCTTAAAGGATGAGCATTTATATTGGCACAAACATGCAGAAAGGACAGACTTGGTCGTTGCAACTGTCAACTCCGCAATGCGGGTGAAGTTTAATCCTAATAGTAACAACATAAAGGATTTGGTTTTGTGCTATGGTGGAATTGCAAATAAAACTGTGATTGCTAACCAAGTAAGAGAACAGACAAGAGGAAGGTAAGAAGTTGTACTTTGTATTTAACATTCAATTATTGATGTGATAAAACATGATTAACGATGAACGACCCAGGATAATTTTAGAATACAATATTATAGGGTAAACCACATTTTTCAAGTTTGATGTCCTGTTTAAGAACCCTTATTCCTCATTGAATATTGATTCTAGCAATACTTTCCTCGATGAATCTATTCGATAAATTTAAGTTATTCTGAAAAAATGAGGATTGCAGCAAGGGTGTATTGACTTAACAAAGGGATATGTAACATTGATCTTAAACCTGCATATCTACTTATATGATATATCGAACTCCTATGCAGTGTCTCGGTATAGACACTGCGGCGGGCAGATTATGGAATCCCCAAAATTTGGGGAAGATAGTCCCCCTTTTTGTCACAGATGTACTTGTTTTTCACACAACTTATAAAATATATGTTCTTTTATGTTCACCAATAATTATTTTGTCAAAATATTCCAAAATCAATGAAATATAAGAGCAAATCCCCGCGGAAGGAATTCTGAGTAAAAGTTGTGTTGATAAAAGTTTACCGCACGTGTTGTTTATTAGTTAATACGCGCAATTCAACCAATGAAATTGTCTAAATTTTACAATCACGCGACCTGAGCATGGGACTAGAACCAATCATGTCAGTTGTTTATTTCGATGTTACCATGCTTACGGTGAGACACCTGCCCGCCGCAGTGATATATCACTGCACGGGAGTTCGATGATATATATATGCAGGTTCAAGATCAATTGTAACCCCCCCCCCCCCCGTTTTCCCTATTCCAACAACGTAATCTTCATAGGAAGGGGTGGATTGCCTCTAATTATATCGACTTTTGCGTAGTAAAAGTAGGTCAGTCCAAAAATCTTAGCTTTTTTATTTCACGAAACATCACAATAAAATTTTATTTCCAATAAAAATTTGGTACAGGAGGCAAGAGGCAGACTCAATTTCTTCTCGCGGTTTGGACGTTGCATTTTTATTTATCTTTTCACTGACCACTTCTTTCGCCCCCAAATTGTCTGGTATTTAATTAATTTGTAGCTGAAGCTACTACATTTGTAGAATGATGTTTTCCACTTCAGGTTTTACCGTTTTATATCACATAATCACGGGGAACCATCGAATAATTTTGGCAACGTACCGGAGAACGACATTTTACTTAGAAATGGCAATAATTTAGCACAATATATTTTTTAACTAGAGTTCTATTTTGATTTTGACAAAAGTAAGTATTCCATGCAATAATTATTTCATTCATGAGTTTGTAGGAATTCTGTTGGAACCCAGTTCTGATCAAGTACGAAGTTATTGAAATCGGCGCAGACGGACTTTACTCCGAAAGATGGTTTTTCGATTATAACTTTTCACAACATTTAAGTATAGACTTTTGAAAAAAGTACAGAATAGTCCTTATACTTTTGAATAATTCTGTTATTTCTGATTCACACGACTCTGATTTGTTTAATTAAAAAAAAGTCTTAAAAATATTACTTAGGAACGTAACCGGAGCTGGGAACGTAACCGGAGCAGATCAGTTGAATTATTTAATCAAAAAAATTAAAATATATGATTTAAAGCACATACTAATTTAAAAACATACGGGATTGTTCGAATGCGTATTTATTAATATATATGCTTTAAATCATATATTTTATTTTTTTGAATTATATAATTCAACTGATCTGCTCCGGTTACGTTCCCAGCTCCGGTTACGTTCCTAAGTAATATTTTTAAAACTTTTTTTTGATTAAACAAATCAGAGTCGTGTGAATCAGAAGTAACAGAATTATTCAATAGTATAAGGACTATTCTGTACTTTTTTCAAAATAGCGAGATCAATAGTGCAAAAATAGTTCATTCATGGAACGAAGCGTGAAACTTTCCACATATCATCAGAATACCATTCCCTTTGATTTAAGAGCCAGAGCCATTTTTGTAGTTCACTAGAATGACCGAAAAATTGCAAATACCCCCTCCCATCAAATCCTAGGGGGAGGGGGAGGGAAGAATTATTTTTTTGTTGATTTTTTTTTGAATATGATCTATATTCATTTTTAGTATGTTATTTTCAGTGTTTAAAAACAATTTTCAAGATTGCATCAGTATTTCTCATTGATATTCATTGTTAAAGCCTGACCAAGGGCGACGCCCACTTTATCAACATGTTAAATATACAAGTTAATGAGTCTTCTATTATGAATAGGAAAATTACCTAATATGGCTGAATAAAACTGACAAGATTCAGTCAGTTACTTATGTTAAGATGATAGATGCTGTAAGTAAGTCAATTTCACTGTTAAAGGCTTGTGAAAGGCCACACCCCTTTTAGATATAAAGATATAATAGTAAATAATTCACAATTAATGATACATAATTTTTAATGAGAGCACTTTGACTAATTGATACAAGTTACTTCATTAAGTATCTTAACTGCAGTTCACATATCCTATTTTGTGCATTCAAGCACTTCAACACTCTATTATCATTATCACTCACTTAGGTGCCATGTCCATTACAATCCATGTCACACAAATACAGGGCAATACATGCATAATATTGGCTTTAAAGCACTTGCATCTTTTTGTTGAGCACTGTTCTTTGCAGCTACATTTTACTAGCATTTGGCATGCATCTGAAGCTCGGGGCAATGTTTTCCATACTGGCACATAAATCATTTTTCCAGCCTTTGTGGTAATGGATTCCCAACTCAATTTTGAGAGTGAAGCGAGGACTGACATAGGCACGCCCGGTGATCGTGAAAATGGGACGGAGGGGGGAGCAGGCAATTTCCGCTAGAAAATTCAACAAATCTGGTAAAATTATTTTTTCAAGACAGAGTTTACGATTGAATTGCAAATTGAATAAGCGCACGGTATGATAAAATATGTTAGGTATTCTAGGATTATTTTTCAACCGATACTCTATTAAGATATAAGATCTATTAATAAAGGCGCAACGCAACCAACGTGCAAAAGTCAAAGTTTTTGCTATAAATCAAGCAACAATGGACTACACGACCTGTAATAAATACTTGTAAGTGATGTTATCATAACTAAATTAATGTCATTGCTGAATTTATAAAATAAGTTTCCATACGTAAAATAAAAAATAATCGAAAATAATTCAAATGGGACGGAGGGGGGGAAGGGACGGAGGGGGGGAGTAATAATTCTATAAAGTGAAACAACTTCACACGGATTCTTGTATTTGAAAAATGAACTCATTAACTTAGTAAGAAACTGGATGATATTCCCCTGGAGACTGAAAAATGGGGACATTTGGAGTAAAAGGACTTAAAGTCGCGAAACATCTCTAATCATGTCTTATATACATATTGCTCCCCCCCCCCCTCCGTCCCCTCCCCCCTCCGTCCCCTCCCCCCTCCGTCCCAAATTCATTATTTTCGATTATTTTTTATTTCACATATGGAAACTTATTTTATAAATTCAGCAATGACATTAATTTAGTTATGATAACATCACTTACAAGTATTTATTACAGGTCGTCCAGACCATTGTTGCTTGATTTATAGCAAACACGTTGATTTGTGCCTGTTGATGGCCTTGCGCCTTTTTTAATAGATCTCATACCTTAGATGCGTATTGTTTCAGAAAAAATCCCAGAAAACCTAACATATTCTACCATACCGTGCGCCTATCCATTTATCAATTCAATAGTAAACTTTTTCTTGAAAAAATAAATCTTCCAGATTTGTTGAATTCCCTAGCAGAAATTGCCTGCTCCCCCCCCCCCCTCCGTCCCATATTCACGATCACCGGGCGTGATAGATATAATTGTCTGGACCGAACTTATGCAACTTATGGTGGGATGTTCTCAATTTGAGCTGTTTTCTTTGTGAACATTTCTTGTCTTGCAGCATTTACAGTTGTTTCATTGTTGTCTCTGTTGTATAAAATCACAACAAAACGTTCAATGATTGGCATAATATTGGCTTACTTATTGGGATCTTCAGCCAAAGTTTTAAGTGCATTTGTCAACTCGGATAAGTAATCCAATGTTTCTACGCTGTTGTTTTTAATTTACCATGGAATCCGGATATAGTGTCTGAACCTGTGGGGGCATGAAATAAGGGGAGACACATAGTCCTACCATGTCAAAGTGCAGCTGCCATTTCATGTGAGATATCTCTAATTTTTTACTTTTCCCAAAGCTATCCATTTTTGAACTTTGAGTTCTGATGATATACTGACTGTGAGACAGACAATATCAGTCTACTGTTCTAATCATCAATGTGTTCTACCCAGACTTTACTGCACGGTGGATGTGCTTATTCATGTGTTGATGGGGAAATGTCTTGAATGGGCATCGAGGGATATGATATTACATCTTACAATACATTGTTTACATCATCTCTAATAAATTCCAATTTGATGGTAACATTTCATCTACCTTTCGGCACTTAATTAGTTGTTTTAATTGTTCCATTTTGAGATAAAGAGGGTGGGAAGGATTGGTTTTCACGTTTGAAGAACTCCTCAAGATGACTGTCTCTATTCTGACATGCAATGAACAGTCTTGAAAAGAGAGCACAATCATTTTTTTCATTGCTGTTTCCTTGGTACTATTCACTTTTGTTTTCTGTTCCTTAAATATTAGAAAATTGTTTTTTTTTATATAGATAGTGTCTGTTATTTGTTTAGATTTGTCATCCTGTTTTTCTTTAGTGTACAATTTGTACTGATCCTGGCCACTTTGCTCCATTTCCCAAAGATGACTCAGGTTCACAAGCAGAATGTTGTTTTATGATTATTCTCTACAAGTTTGGATCGATTAACTTAAATAGTGTTACCTTCATTTAGAAATGATGATGTTGACCTGATGTTAAACTGAAATAAACACCATCTCCACAATTTCACATTTTACTTTGCGCATGTGCTGCCCTGAGAGACCTCATGCTCATGATTGCGCACGTAATCATGTCCTGCAATTTGATTTTACATCGTATACTGATGGGCGTGATTTAAATAAATTATGTTCATGAGTACGAAAGAATATGATAGTATTATGGGAACTACTCACTTCTTCTGGACTAACATTGAGGATACAATATCTTTGTTGTCTAATGAGAACAAGTCATTTGAAGTCTCCAGAAAGGTATTCCCATCTATTCTATGGTTTCTGATAATAGTTTCACATTATCTTTGAATCTTTGTTGTATGCTTATACTTTGTTCATGATTAGATAGGTCTTCATCTTGATCATTATTTATATTGTTCTCAAATTCATGATCAGTCTGACAAATTCAGGGCCCCCAACCATCCAATAGAGTTGTCTGGTTGTCAAAGAGCCACACTGCTCCACCATTTGATTTATCTAGACTGTTATTCTGCTTGTGAACCTGGTCAGTAGCACTAGCAATGGCTGAAAAGCTCCATCTTGGTAACAGTGAAGTGGCCTTTTGTGAAGGCTTCGTAGACTTCTGGATGTATTTGTTATAGTTGTAGCATATTCCTAATGTGAACTGGTACTCATCAAGCATATTGACAAGGTCAAAAAACGAAAAACCAGGTGATACGCTTGCTAATTGACTAGAGATAAAGAGGGAAATTGCCCTCTCTGATAGCACACACTTAGTTAAGGCACAGTATTTCGATTCAAATAATCGGAAACCAAAACTTAAAGACTGGTACATTCTGTTGGTCAGCACACCATTCATCAAACTCTTTATCACTTCATCTGCTAGATTCTGGACAGCTGTATATGTAGTATAGGCTCTCTTGAGAATTTAGAGACTGCAGGCTGTGACTGTGGCGGCCCTTCTGGTTCTGGTGAAAACCCATAAAAGAGGTTTAATAGCCTAAATGTTCAGCATATGAAAAGTGGGTGTCGCCCATGACTAGTCTTTAACAACTATGAAAATCAAAGAGAACCCATCTGGAAATAAAGAGGAAAATTCTCCTGTCCTATAGCCCTCACATAGTCTAGGCACAGTATTTCAATTTAAATAATCAGAAACCAAAGTCTGAAGACTGGTACATTCTGTTGGTCAGCACACCATTCATAAAACTGTTTAGGCACTTGGTCAGCACACCATTCATCAAACTGTTTAAGCACGTCATCATCTAGATTCTGGACAGTTGTATCTGTAGCATAGGTTTTCTTCAGGAGAATATAGAGACTCGACATACATGTACATAGAATAGTGGATACATGTTGTAGATCTGGGACATTTGTTGCTCGCTTTCTTCTTTCTTCTAAACAGGGGTGTGATATGTTATGAGCCTTTAAGAAGTCAAATTCTAAGATTAATTATAGCACCTAACATCAAAAGAGTATCTGGTCTTATCCAGAAAGCTGAATTACATTCATTTATTCAACCCATGATAGAGATTTAATAACCTAAATGTTCAAGATATGAAAAGTGGGCGTCGCCCAGGATTAGTCTTTAACAATGATGAAAATCGATGATAAATTATCTTGTTATGTTTGCAAAATTTCTTTACCATGAAAAAAGCACACTAAAACTGTGGTATGACCATATTCAATGAAATTTTTTTATGAAAAAAATATTCCTATATCTCCCCACCCCCACGGGATTTGGTGGGAGGGGGTACTTATTATTTTTTGATCATTCTAGTGGACCACAAAAATGGCTCTGGCTCTTAAATCAAAGGGAAAGGTATTCTGATGATATGTGGAAAGTTTCATGCTTCGTTCCATGAACGAACTATTTGCCTGTTTTCTTGCACTATTGATCTCGCTAAAAGTCTATATTTAAATGTTGTAAAAAGTTATTATCAAAAAAACATCTTTCGGAGTAAAGTCCGACTGCGCCGATTTCAATAACTTCGTACTTGATCAGAAGTGGGTTCCAACAGAATTCCTACAAACTCATGAATGAAATAGCCATTGCATGGAATACTTACTTTTGTCAAAATCAAAGTAGAACTCTAGTTAAAAAATATATTGTGCTAAATTATTGCCATTTCTTAGTAAAATGTCGTTCTCCGGTACGTTGCCAAAAATATTCGATGGTACCCCGTGATAATATCCGATGATTTGTCTATTTAGAGAATGGACAGATGGTATTGTATCCTTTGTTTCTGGCCTCTTAGGAGATGAGCTTACTGTTTCACTGCCCTCTGTTGGTGGGAGCACCAACTACAAGAGATCGCTGACCGCAAGCATTTTCCTCAAGTTTTACATTAATGTTCAATCAAGCCTTCATGGTAAAGAGGTACATAATTAAGCTATTGTTCCAAGCCTTACACTAAATGAATAAACGTAAGGAGTTGAACGCGTGTCCAACTCACGATCTCATGCTTACTACATAAGCGCCTAGCCCAACGTGGCCAGTGCTCTACTATATATCTCTCGACCACTAAAGTTTACATCATATCATTCGCTAACCGCCAGCATTTTCTTCAAGTTTAACATTAATGTTCAGTCAAGCCTTCATGGTAAAGAGGTACATCATTTAGCTATTGTTCCAAGCCTTACACTAAATGAATAAACGTAAGGAGCTGCTGAAATCGTGTCCAACTCACGATCTCATGGTTACTATATTAGCGCCAAGTCCAACGTGGTCAGTGCTCTACCATATAGCTCTAGACTGCTAAAGTTTACATCATTTTGTACAACCTTTTCATCATACCACTCAGGTGCACGTAATTGCTGCTTTCAGAGTGAAGTCATTCATGATTTGGCAAGTGTTAGACATAAACCACTTAGTAGTGGAAGCCAGATATTTGAGATTTCACCCATAGACCAAAATGGCATTGATTATGTTGGCCAACCAGTAGTGCATAAATCTGCCCTCGAGCATGCCACTGGTGAAGCTGTGTTCTGTGACGACATACCTACATACAGCAGTAAGATAAATTATAGTTTACAGAGACAAATATAAAATCGCAAGCAATACTTCCTCACATAAAAACTAGCAAGGACCCCTTTGAACAACATCTTTCTCTATCATATTTCATGATATTAGTTCATAGCAATATGTAGAGTATTTGATACTAGCATTATTTATGTCTCAACCGATATCCTGGTACTAAGTGTATATTTATAATTGATACAGATGAACTTCACATTGCTCTGGTTACTGGAAACAGAGCACATGCAAAGATACTCAGTATTGATGCATCTAAGGCAGAAAACATGCCTGGTGTTAAAGGCTTTCTTAGTTACAAGGACATACCTAACCCAGTAGACGGTAGCATAACAACAGAGGGTATATTCGCTAATGAAAAGGTATTTTAGAAGAAAATGCGTTGTATTAAATGCTGGTTGATGAATGTCAATATCCAAGACTTCTCTAACATTCATGTTTTAGGACATATTAAAAAGTCAACTTTATGGTAAACTGTAATGGCAAGACATATGAAATGTCAATAAATTCTACAGACATTATACAGTTTTCTACTTTCACTGTATTTACTATTTATCTTCCACGTCTTCAAGGTATTGTATCATGGACATACCATTGGGGCCATTGTAGCAGAGACTCTGGAACAAGCCATTGCAGCCAGGCAACATGTTCATGTAGAATATGAGGACCTTCCAGCTGTCCTCGATTTAGAGGTACATCTGATAGTAGATATACATAGACTATCCATAATTTGTTCAGGATATTGGGATTATCCCGAGGCCAATATAATATATCTGCCCTAGGTCCCGAGGTTAGATATATTATATTGGCCAAGGGTTATGTCCACCATTTGTGACAATGGTATCTGACTTTACCGTTGTCAGGCTATTCCGGGGTGACAATGACATGTGGACGTAAACATCAATTGTTCTTGTCCAAGAATATATGGAAATCCAAATTAATGATTGTGCTCTGTCATATAAATAGGGGTTATGCACTGGGAGGTTTTGGATACAGGGAATATCCCGAGGGATATGCCATGTATCCAAACCGACCGTGCATAACTGGTGTTTCTCATACTTGAGTGGGTTTAGGGTAGATATAACCTTTTCCACCTTTTTCAAATGACAAGATATTTAACATTTTCGTAATATTCTTTTTGTTCAATACAATGAAATTGTAACATTTAAACTTAAAAAAATTAAATTTTAAAATTAAAAAATTAAAACTTTTGATATTTAAACTTTTTTAAACTTTTGAAAAATTCCCGGGAGCGGGATGGATATATTATATCTGCCCGCATTTGGCCTGGAGCGGGACATATACAATATATCCTGCCCGCTCCTCAGATACGATATATATTCCTGGGTGATATCTACCCCAAACCCACTCTAGTATGAGATACAATCTTATTCGTACTTTAGTCTGCTATTAAGGAGAAACACTACCTTCCAAATCCAAAGGTTTTAGATGTAGGAGACGTAGAGACTGGATTCAAAGAAGCTGATTTGGTGTTTGAAGGTAACTTTGAATTGAAATATGTCGTTGTATTTTATTATGACACGTGTCCATTGATAATATATATGAATTCAGAGAGCACCATGCAATGCAAAATTGCAGCATACTGTATAGCCCAGCAAAACATAGTTACAAATATGTGTTATTGGATATTATATATGACCAGAGTATTATCTACGCCCTCCTTAAGGTTTGAAGAGATATTTTACCATTATTGTAGGCGAGATGACTATGGGATCACAAGAGCATTTTTACATGGAGCCCCAATCTTGTATTGCTGTACTAATCGGAGAGGCAGGGGAGATAGATATCATAACATCAAAACAATGCCTCAATGCTGCACAGGTTTGCACTTGGACATTTTTATACAGATCGTTTGGGATCTAGAGGTAATAATCATACACGTGCCTTGACATTTCCTAACCTGTACTTCTTTGTTCCAGACAAGTATCAGCCAAATGCTTGGAATCCCTAAGAATCGAGTCAGATGTCATGTGAAGAGAATTGGTGGTGGATTTGGAGGAAAAGAATCTTGTGCTGAGCATGTCTCAACAGTTGCTGCATTGGCAGCAACGAAGTAATCAATTAATTTATTTGTGACTATCTTAGCAGAAAAAAATGATCCAAAATTACAAATCTCTCCTTGCCGGATATTAACATCTCAATCCAAAACCACCTTTCAATTAACAGACATCAAAAAGGTGATTTTATTTCAACTATAGCTTTTATTTTTGAATATATGTTACAGAATTCACAATCCATGATATATTTTATTTACGAAACTCGGCATGGAATTTGATATCTTTAAAGGTTCAACAGACCAACAAGACTGATTCTTGATCGTGAAACAGACATGATAAAGACAGGAAAGAGGACAAAGTTTCATGCTAAGTATAAGGTGTTCATCAATTAAAGATAAATTGATTTCATAAACATTTACAGACAATGGCGACTTACAACCATTTAGAAATATATCATAGTAAGTTCTAGATGATCAATGCTTCCGATGTTGTGCAGCACGTACACTCTTTTTTGAAATGTGTTTCCGTTCACTAGCAATTAAATGTTGTTAATAGTCTTGAAAGGAGTACCTTTAAATCTCAAACACGAAATATCTTAAATTGGGATATTAGCATAGGTAGATAAGTAAATCATTTCGGACTCACTTTAATTACGTTCCCTTTTTATGCATTTTCTTTAGATTATTGTGGTTTAGAACCTTCTTGAATTGTTCGTGTTTTTTAAACGTGTTGTCATATATGCCTACAAATAGAACGAAATGGAAAAAAGTTAATATAGTGCTCTTACAGGTTGGATGTAACAAAGAAGGAAAAATATTGGCTCATGAAGTCAAGTTGTATGCTGATTCAGGCTTCTTTTCAAGATTCAATGAACACGTAAGTGCAACTTTGGTCTTTTTCGGGATGAACGTTTGCATAGTAGTTTTATTTCATCAATTTATCATGTTTTAGTTTGCAAGAAACTAACAACCTATATGGGTGAGTTTACTTACTGTTGATCTTGTCATATAATGGTAAATATCAAGAAGATAAGATATAGAACTTTTAGAAGTTTAGTTTTCGAAAGTGATTATACATACACAATATAATGTCCCTCTCTCAAATTGACACTTTTGACGTGTAGACAATAAATACAAATAAGAGATGATCCGCTTCCTCTAGAAAATTTTACAGTTTTAAGATGCTATTTGGTGATTTCTAGGCACTTTCAAACTATGCGAGTCAGTTAATCATTTTTATTTCCAATGCCTTTAACTGTTTTAGATGTGAGATCATGACATTTGATTTTCTTTATTATGTGATTATATGCACATATCCATCCACCAAGACTTTTCCAATTCAGGATTCACACGGTTTATCAGTAACGTTAACCCAATAAAGAATGTAGTGTAACAACGTAATTTATGTAAATAAGTAACAGAATGGGTCCAAGGATCGAACCATGTGGGACACCACCGGTGACTGTATTTGTCTTTCGCATTCTTGTCGTCTGTTTCTCTTGAACGTTTTTTTATAATTTATCTCATTAAATAGATGTCCATACGTGTATCACAAATAGGCGGAATTGCAACAGGCTGTTGGCTAGTGTCGTATGCTACATTCTGAGTTTGATTCGCTTTCAGGTTTACCATCTAGGGTATTATTAAAGACATTACATATCCAAATATCTAGAAACTAGACCAGATCTTTCTTTTTGGATGGAAACATAAGTTTGCTCAAATTTCATTACCCTCGTGTTGTACCTCACCCTGCACGTTCAACTCTCACGCTTAATTTGGTACACACCCTGTGGTAGATTGACCGCCACCTTTTTTAGTTTGTGTAATCCTCCCTATCACATACAGTATCTATCCTTGAAATATAATTTACGTGTATATCACTCTACTATACATTGCATTTAGTGATCATGAGCAACCCATTTGAATTAACAGTAATGATTATGTTATTTGTTTTAACTTGTATGTTCCTTATGAATGGTTTATCGGAAGACTGATAGATGTTAATAAGGTACTTGCAAAAATATACTAAACAATACAATTAGACAAACAGAGTATCTTATGCATTTCTAGGGGCTAGGTATAGTAGAGTGTATATCTTACATTGGTTGTTATAACTGCAGTGCATGGGTTTCCATTTGCTGTTTCTGGTTTGTGACCAAGGCTATGCATTTGGCAATGTGAAGGTCACGGGCTACATATGTGAAACAAACACAAATATGGGAATACCGATGCGAGGTGCCCTTACCATACCGCCACTGGTTTTCACACAAGCACTGGTTAATGATGTCGCATTTAGGCTTGACTTGCCCATTGAACAAGTAAGTTTAGATTTAATGGAGACAAGAGATAGATTTTAAAGTATTTTAGAATGTAGGCAAGAGGTGTAAAATGTTTATGGTTTTATGGCGGAGTCTAGTCTCTTTAGTTCGATTGTTGATGTTGCCTATTACATTGCATAGCGGATGTATTATATAATGTTCCATCAGGTACACGAGGTGAACATGCTTAAGATTGGAGACAAGACACCTCTTGGACGTGAACTACCCGACGTACATACCATGCATACGTGTTGGCTGAGATGTTTAGAAAGTAGCAAGTATATGAAGAAAAGGAAAATAGTTGAAGATTACAATCGGTGAGTTTTATATATGTTATCTTTAAATCATCTTTAAATGACCCTAATGCTTCATTAGGATATTTGTGTGGTGATGCAATATTTAACCTTTAAAACTTCTGACATCAGTAGCCAATCAGAATCTAGTCTAGTTTGCAAAAGACAATGTGAACCCTTTCTTTTTCTTGAAGACCATTTTAAGCGATGATCTTTTATCTTGTAGGAAATCCAAGTGGAACAAGCGAGGCTTATATATAACTCCTGTTACCAGAGATGTTGGTACACCAAACCGTGTATGGTGGCAGGTATTTTACAATTGTTTGACGAATTCATCCTATCATACTTGTTCATTTACTTTTACTTGTTTCCAAGAATACGTATTTTTTACATATGCTGAAAGTTCCATAAATAAATCTAAAAAAGTAGAGCAAAAAGAAACGAACTTTTTCAATTTTAAATTCCCCACGTATCTGATCCGCAAACATAGTTTGTAAATTATGGTCTGTAAAACATGGGCATAAAGGCATAGCATTATATTACTTCTCGACTTTTGGGTTAAGAACAAATAAGAATCACCCATGATCACTTTTGAGTATTCTCATTTAGGGAGCCGCCCTTGTGAACATCTACACTGACGGCTCTGTATGGGTAAGCCATGGTGGTATAGAAATGGGCCAAGGGCTTCATACGAAGCTAATACAGGTACATTCACCTTAATTGTGTTGTTATTACTATATTATCTTACAGTTAGATAATATGAATTTATGTTTATCACACGCATGTGTTTTCCAAAGCTTTGTTGCACAAAACAAACAAAGCAACTGTTTTTATTAAATGTATTGAAATATATGAATAATATTACGTAACATACGAGGGTCGTCCTGGAAGCAATGCACTATATGCTCTAACTTTCTTTAATATTCTTTAATTCAGCTGAAATTCTGGGTATAAAAATGAAGTTTTATCTGTCATACATCAGCATCAGTTTCAGCATCATACATTAATAGTAAGTCTTTAAATGGTTGCTATAGCGACATGGGGGTAGGGGTGGGAGGGGTAGGTACCAATTTTTTTAATCATGAAACACTCCAAAGAGTTATTTTATTAATATTTCTTTCTTTTAAATGATCAAAATGTTTGGTAAATTGTAAAATTTATTCAGCATGGTGTTCACCAAGTACAATTTATGACATTTAGCACCGTGATGTCATCATACCACAGTTCAATAGTCACAAATTCAAATTCAGTCACAGTCAAGAAATCGCAAAAATGGCTGCAATTCTCACCTGATAATAGAAGGCCTTGCGTTTGGTAGCCAAATTTCATTCTTCACTTGGACTCACAGCCACAAAACCTTATGCTACCACGATGAAAGTATAAAAGAAGTATACCCCAGATAGAACTACAATTATGGGGTGGCAGAAGAGATTTAAAAGTGATGACTGGACCCTGGATGACAACTCCAAACATGGGAGGCAAAAAACTCCACAAGTCACGATTTTAGAAATTGTTAAGAGTGTTTGACATGACAGGCATCAAAAGTACATAACATTCAAAGGCCAATATTTTGAGAAAAAGTGAAATGGGACGTGCAATATACGTGTACATGCATTAAATCTAGGATGTGCTCCTAGTTTTTAGTATCTTGAAATGTATTTTTATTTTTATCTTCTTATAGCTACACAGAATGGTATGTGTTGATTAATTATTTCATATTTTCAATTTTTATTCCTTTTGAAGTGAACATAACCTGCCCCACCCTACCCAAACTCACCAGCTTAATTTTATTATAACATCAACATAGTATTATCAGTTAAAATGAAAATTTGTAGAATAATCAAACTGTCTCTAAGGAATATTCACTGAAAATTTCATGGAAAAATGTCAATTATTGATAAAGTTAGAGCATATAGTGCATTACTTCTGGGACAACCCTCGTATATATAATATTACATAACAATGTTTACAAACGGATTACTTTATCTCCAAGACAATTTCAATAAACTGGATTCTACAAAACTCCCCTTATTTCTTAAAAATGGACTGATCCAGTTGACTCGCTTGGAGCCGCCATATTGTTTTTATACGGGAAGCTTATCGAATATCGGAACCCTTTAAAGGAATGTCTGAAAGCAATATATATTCCCTATACTAAGGATTGGTGTTATTCTTATGCAATTATAAGATTGTAATTGTATAAGCATGTATGTATGATGATGCACCACATTTTTGATTTGTGCCACTGTTTTAAAAGTGATTCCAATAAATAAATAAATAATATTCACTGCAAACTGCACTTAATGCGTGTTTTGTGTTGCAGGTCGCAAGTAAAGTGCTGCAAGTGCCACAAGATAACATTCACATTACGGAAACAAGCACTGACTGCGTTCCTAATGCAACATTCACTGCAGGTAGCACCGGTTCAGATATATTTGGGATGGCAGTTAAGGTAATGCGTTTGCTAAACTTGAACTGAACTTTTACATTCATGTTTCTTCATACACATTATTTGACATGAAATATACATAACGACCCTATGTCGTTCATGTCAACACATATAATTGGCGAGTATAGCTGCAATTGAATATGTCAGCATCGGTGTAAATAATTGCAAAGAAGATTACCTTTTCAATAATGTTGATAGTCACTGTTAGGTGACGGTTTGTGTCAAGCTTATTGGATTCGTTTTTCTCTGTCTAGCACTTAAGTGTAAATTAAGGCATTTCTGATTTTTCTATACATATGGACGGATTAAACATTTTCAGGATGCTTGCGAGAAGCTGATTCAGAGACTTGCTCCTTACAAGGCAAGCAGTCCAAAGGGCCAGTGGAAAGATTGGGTAAGATTGTGTGTAAATAAGGTACAGGAAACGACACAAAGACCAAACCTTTAAATGGGAAATTGTTATCAAACATCAATATCATAATTTTAACCTTTGACTTCTTCACCAAAAATATTATAGCCCTTTACAGGTCATACAGGAGTTTCTGAATTCAAGTGTAGCCTAGATTCATATCGTTATCGCTTACTTTTCAGGTTTTAGCTTCATACAATGATTGCACGAGCCTTTCAGCGACAGGATTTTACCGTCATCCCAAGGAATACAATTGGGACTTGGACAAACCACGCGAGGGAAACTTCGACAAATACTACGTATATGTGGCTGTAGCTGTTGAAGTTGAAGTCGATTGCCTAACAGGAGCACATAAAGTGAGCAGCACTTTTGTGAAGGACTTTAGATTTGATCATGAAGACTTGATCCACCCAGGCCTATTTGGATTACCTCTAAATTAATCTTAACTGTGTTTACTCCGTTTCTACTGTTTTAACATTATATTACAAATATTACTGTCTTACGTGTGTTATTATATTGCTTTGTCAGGTTATTCAAGTCGATGGTGTGATGGATTTTGGTAGAAGTTTGGACCCAACCATAGATATAGGCCAGATGGAAGGAGCTTTTATTATGGTAATACAATAATCAACTTTTTAGACTTCTCATTCCCCATTTCTTTCCTTAATAGTGTTAAATATAGAATACTACATTTAAATTTTGATTGAATTATGGTCTACTAACTGTATCATGAAGTACATTGGTGTAAGGTATGGAATGCGAGGCATTCACATGGAATGTAGATGGTTTCCGCATAAGCAAAGATATTTTCGTCATATTGAGCAGATGGATTGTAATAGTATTATTCTTACCGATACTTATTAGGGATACGGATGTTTTGTGTTGGAACAAATTGTCTACGATGAAAAAGGTAGACTACTTACTAAAGATGCTGCAACCTACAAGATACCTGGTGTCAGGGATATACCCACAAAGTTCAACATGCAGATTTTGACAAGTCATAGTGATGAAGCAGTACTTTACGGATCCAAGGTATAGTTTTGCTAATTTCCTTACAAGTGGTTACAAGATTGTTTTTTCAAAAGTCAAAATTTAAATTTCATAAATATGAGATTGGTTTGTCAAAATATAATTTCATATATCCTCCTCCCAGGGAGTTGGAGAGCCCCCTCTACACATGAGTATTGCTGTACTGTTTGCCATTAAGGATGCCATAGCAGCAGCCCGCAAAGATGTAGGAATTGAAGAACCCTTCCAACTTAACTGTCCAGCTAATGCGGAACAAATTCACACTCTATGCTCAACTAAGATAATTTAATGGCTGACAATTGATTACGTTCTGCGATGGTATTTAAAAAAATACAATATATGATATACTAAATGGGTCTGCAGACATAGAACTTGAAAATATTAGATTATGAACAATATTCACCCCAGATAGTTACAACCTGTTACAGCCGTTTTTATGTGGTTTAAGTGTTAGATTAGCCTGAGTGTACCTCGTTTGTGTATGTAACGTATATAACTCAATTGTACTAAATATATGTGATTATTAGATTAGATAATTTAAACTTGTTTTGTTTATCTTAATGGAGTTTAGCGAGACTCACATTTATTCCCCCACCCATTTGACTTATCTGATTGGACAGTGTGTAGTAGTGCTGTATGACACTAGTTCCTACCCCCCCCCCCCAATTCGGTGCTAGAACCCCTGTATGTTAGATGAGGCATCCTGTACCATCCCCGGTCATTTGCTAGAAGAGGCTGGAACCCGCGTTCGTTAGTTGAGGTATCCTGTCCCACCCTTATCCATTTGCTAGAAGTGGCTAGAACCCGTAAACATCAATTGAGGCATCCTGTTCCATCCTTGACACATTTGCTAGAAGTGGCTAGAACCCGTGAACGTTAGTTGAGGCATCCTGTTCCACCCTTGACCATTTGCTAGAAGTGGCTAGAACCCGTAAACATAATTGAGGCATCCTGTTCCATCCTTGACACATTTGCTAGAAGTGGCTAGAACCCGTGAACGTTAGTTGAGGCATCCTGCTCCCCCTTGACCATTTGCTAGAAGTGGCTAGAACCCGTGAACGTTAGTTGAGGCATCCTGCTCCCCCTTGACCATTTGCTAGAAGTGGCTAGAACCCGTGAACGTTAGTTGAGGCATCCTGTTCCACCCTTGACCATTTGCTAGAAGTGGCTAGAACCCGTAAACATTAATTGAGGCATCCTGTTCCATCCTTGACACATTTGCTAGAAGTGGCTAGAACCCGTGAACGTTAGTTGAGGCATCCTGCTCCCCCTTGACCATTTGCTAGAAGTGGCTAGAACCCGTGAACGTTAGTAGAGGCTTCCTGCTCCACCCTTGACCATTTCCTAGAAGTGGCTAGAACCTGCGTACGTTAGTTGAGGTATCCTGTTCCACCCTTAGTCATTTGCTAGAAGTGTCTAGAACCCCTGTACGTTAGCTGAGTCATCCTATGCTACCCTTTACTATTGCTACAAGTGACTAGAACCCTTTATATCCTTGGTAACCATTGCTTGAATTGGCTTGCGAACCCAGTTTCATACTTTATTCAATTTCAATTTCATGTACATTTCTTATAAAACAATATCACAAAACACTGTAAATACCATCGCGTGGCACCTTACATTCCCTCTTGGTGTCGTAGTCACTATAACCTTTAAATATATTACATTGATTTAATAAAAAATAAAGCCGAGGTCTTAAAATGGCACTAAAATGGTAGTATTCTTATATCCCTGTCAAAAAGCAGACACACAAATCATGTTTTTTATTCTAATTTTGAGCTAGTCTAAAAATAAGGTTTAACATACAGTAACAGTTCCCTTGAATGTCAAAACCATGAGTCCTGCAATCATCCCGTCAATATGCTATTTGAAATGTTCCCCGATGAGCTCACAGAGCTTACAGTTGAACTATTCTTGTTATATTTTAAACGGTAAAGACATTAGGTCCATTAAACCCTTATTTCAACCCTTATAATAAACTTACAAATGGGCACGATGGGACAGCCATAGACAGCCATAGACTTAAAAATGATAATTTTGCATTTCTACAGGATTTTTAACAAGGAATTTATCAATCGATTTTATGAATATGATATTTTTGGCATCAAATTTTGCCCAATAAATTTGATATTTATGCAAAATGTCTCTTATATCTGTGGCTTAAAGTCAAAATAACGGAGGCACAAAAAAACTACCAATAAACATTTATCAATTTGACACGAGGGTTAAAGTGACTTGTATGCATCAGATTACATCACATGATCAGTGATGAACTCTTTTATACTTTTTGAGGATATCAACACAAGACGGCAACATGAACACACGTCTGGTGTGTTATATCAATGGACAAAAGGTAAGACTCTATTTTTATTGTTTATACATCAGAAAGCAAGGACATCTACTGTAAGTCTAAGAAAGGAACATGATGTGTTCATGAACGTCATATTGAGAAAATCCACCAAATTAACTGTATCCGTACAGTGTATGGCGGGAAGAGAGTTTGGTGGAGTATTTGTGCAACCCATAAACATGTCGAGGTGAAGGGGTGACCAACTAGCTCATAAACCAGCAAGGAAAACGGTGCGATCGCACCGATCGAACCCCCCTCCTGGCTACGCCTATGACATTGTAAGACGTAACAATTTACACTTCAGTGGACGTTTCGTCGAAAATTGGGATAACTTAAATTATGATTAATAATCAAAATCTTACACGATGCATTATGTTAATTAACACACGTAACCTCTCTGCTAAAGTAACGATAGCTATTAACAGATTTAAATCATAATCAAAACAATTCACGTACCAACATACGAACTATTAAAAATAGAGTAAGATTGATTTGCCATGTTTTAATCGTCTTTCAAACCGTTTTTCAAATCGGTTCGATGGTGCGATCTCCTACCCCCTCCCCCCCATAACCAATGAAAATATGACCATGATGATAGAGGAAAAAGAGCCTAAAAATGCTTTTTATTTGAAGCTTCTAGCTCAATTTTGAAGGAAGTTACATACATTTTTGTAGATTCAAAACAAATCTTAGACGTTTTCAAATGATCCTATTGTGTATTTTTCGTTTTTTGGGTACCCGGTTTTTTCGACCGGCTACCGGGTACCAAGTTTGAACCAAACACGGAGGATTTACTACCCAGTACCCGGTACCCGGTTTTTTCTACAAACCTGGTTAGGGTCACCCAGAAAATGCATCTTGATTCACAAGGTTTCGATTTTTCCTACCTCACCTTGATACATCTGCCCGATGACAACTATGTAAATAACCCCCCTATCACACCAAACTAGTTCTTACCCGTTCTTGCCAGTCCTACGAAAACGTCCTAAAACGGGCTCAATCTGGCTGTGGTCGGGAAATATGTCTGAAATAATTAGCTTCTTCGTTCTTAAACAGTCTTCAATACGTCCATCTCGTTCGCAGTTCGTTCAGGTCGCACCACGTCGGTGTGCAACGTAGTAGAACGCGTCCCTTAGTCTAGAAGGTCAACATGACCTGATTACAGAACGGTATGGTCGTCATCGAACTTTGAATCGATTCAAAATTCTAAAATCACATTCCCGTCTGAGAACGTTCATAAAGTTCGTAAATAGACGTTAGAAAGTTGCAGCTACGTTCATTCCGTTCGCACACAGTTTAAGACCAGTTTTGAAGAACGCAGTGGCAACTTGTTTGGTGTGATAGCTATTTTTTGCTAACTCGTTCATCAGCAGTGTTAAATACGTTCTTAATCAGTTTAAACCCGTTTGCAATTAGTTCTACCTCGTTCTCAACACGTCCTCGGACAGTTCAACTCGTTGTTAAAACGTCCCTAGTAGGATTGAAGTACGACGGTTCCGATCGTAGTACGTCCAGCTCGTCGTTAGTACGTTGTCACTCGTTCTAATTGTAGAACGTGACGACCACGAAAACATTTTGAGCATTGTCTAAGTTCTAGAGGACCTACCCGTTCGAGTACGTTCGATGAAGTTTGTAAATAGATCCCAAACGGTTCTTAGTAGGTCCAGTCCGTTCGTACACAGTTGAAGCCCGTTTTCGAGAACGTAGTGAGAACTAGTTTGGTGTGATAGTAGGGTAAACACCATCTGGGTTCACGCCCAATATTGTTCCCCCTGGCAGTTGCCCGCAGAGTTTTGTGAGACGCCACAAAACCAATCGGTCAATCAACGAAGCGATATTTATTCCGTCCGTTTAGACATTTTCAACATTTTGTTATGTGACGAAACAGGGTGTTCTGACCAGTTTAAGCCAAAACTGAGGGCTATAATTGATCAAAATGGTGGACATATTGGGTGTCTGTTTATGTAAATCAAGATGACAAAAAACTTGTTTTTGCAAGTTTTGAAACCCCGTTTTGAAACGAAAATGACCTTATTTATATTATGAAGGCTGGTTGACAGACATTATGATAAATTTGAACTTATGATATACCAAATTAAAGATGAGTAAATTCCCTATGCACTGGTATATAATATGACATGTTTTCATCAAGAAAAGCAATATTTATTTTTGAAATACGAGTGCCCCATTTTTGGACCACTCTGTAGTTAATGTTTATATTCCAGATTGTAAAAGAGAATGTTAGACCAGAGACAACTCTGCTTCAGTTCCTAAGACAAGAGTGTATCCTTTTTACTTACATGTATTTAGTAATTGTTTGATATTCAAACATTGACACATTGTTTAAAATGCATTGAAATGAAAACTGAAAAAATATTGATTGAAAAGTCTTTAAAATGGTAAGACAATCAATAATTTGAGAATCAAGTTATAGATCCTTAAGAAATAACCAGTATGTCTGTCTGGTACCAAGTTGGCTTGCGGAGATGGAGGTTGTGGGTCTTGTACCGTGATGGTCTCGAGCTACAATCCCAGCAGCAAACTAATAAGGTAATATACGAGTTACTTCAATCGCATTATAAAAACTATTAATAAAGAAATATGATGATATTAAAAGATGGTTGACAAATGCAATAAATTGGGGGAGTCTCCTAAACGATTGTTTCCCATTCAGTAACTGTATCTTTTTCATAATATTGTCCTGCCTATCTAAAATTCAAACACTTAAAACATATCTTGTTTATAGCTATCTGTATTTCAAACCTGCAATAAATTCACCCTTTTATAAAACAACTCTTAATTCCAGCAGGGTATATAAAAAGCACATTGGTTTGAAACTTATTACGTATATACAGAGTGGGATAAAAAAAACAATACCCACGTTTAAGGATGAATATCATATGATATAACGCTAAACCATGCCATGTATTGTATATCATTTTAAAGATACATCTTTTCCTAACAATATGACACCATCTGATTGAAAAACTGTTGTTTTCTTGTGGATAAAGCTAAAATTTACACCAGGGGTGTCATGAGCGATAATAATTGTAGGGAAATTTGGGAATTTTTGATTTTTGATCGCTCACTCCCTGGTGTCAATTTAATCTCTAACTTATTGAGAAAACAAAAAGTTTTTCAATTGGATGGTGTCAGTTTGTTAGGAAATGATTTATCTTTAAAATGGTATATTATACATGGCATGGTTAAACATATTTCATATGCATCATTCATCTTTAAACTTGGGTATTGGATTTTTGGCCCACCCTGTATATGTCTTTGATTCTGCTTTGGCAAGACTTTACACAAAGACTATATCTGGAAAGATATGGTATTTTCATAAGTGCCAGAGCATACCTTTAAGGAACTGGAACGTTGCAGATAATACAGGGTGACCCAAAAAACAGAACCCTCTAAAAGTGTAATAATTTCTTAAATACCTCTCCTATCAACTCATTTCTTTATACAAAAATCGATGGATTTTTTTAATAAATACTCATTTATTTCTTTAAATCATTAAATAAATTTACATTGTTAATCACGGCGTAATCGTCCATAAAGGGCATTTCTACTGCCGCTTTAAGTGAATTTAAATTACAATTTAATTATATTTTAGAGTCATATTCATAGTTAGTATAAAAAAAATATAAAATTAAAATACAATCTGTTTTACTACCTGTCTGTATCCCCGTTGATGCCCTGAAATTGAATTACTGTTATCGATTGTTTAATTATGTTTAATGAAGTTTATAACTGCCTTAAAGATTTTGGAATTGTTTTCATTTGTCAGATCCTTGTCGCCAAAAAGTTATTTTTTAATGTTTTGTATTTAGTTTAGTTCATGTTTAACCACCGCTAGCGCATTTGTTTCTCTCAGAGGGCAGGACAAGGGTTTATGTTGTGCTGTCTCTCGAGCTCCACAGTCACAATATGGATCGTTAATGAAAGAGAAATTATGGTCAAAAAGATCAGATTTAAAATATCGATTTACTCTCATCTTATTTAGTACAATTTCGTCTTATCTATCAAGATTCTGTATGTAGGAGTAAAATCTATGGATGATAATATGATATCATGTTTTTGGCCTTAAACAACGGATGAGTGGAAAGTAGACCCTACATCTATATTTGACTCGCATGCCTGAACTGAACGATTTTTGCAGGCAATATAGTGCAAATGCCTGTCTGATGCCCCCGGTAGCTAAGCATGGTTTAACTGTACTTTCTATGCGATTTTGCATGCTCTTAACAATCCAAATGTGTATATTGTTTTATCATGTTTTTGGCCTAAAACATCCGGATCCGGATGAGTGGAATATATAAGCACTTGTGCCAAAGGGAAAGGACCAAAAGTTGTAATTGAACTTAAGCAAGAAAAAGCAAACTCTAAGTGCATACCAGTCATAAGTAGACAATACATTTTTTTGACTCACATGCCATAACTGAACGATTTTTGCAGGCAATATAGTGCAGATGCCTGTCTGATGCCCCCGGTAGCTAAGCATGGTTTAACTGTACTTTCTATGCGATTTTGCATGCTCTTAACAATCCAAAGGTGTATATTGTTTTATCATGTTTTTGGCCTAAAACAACGGATCCGGATGAGTGGAATATATAAGCACGTGTGCCAAAGGGAAAGGACCAAAAGTTGTAATGGAACTTAGCAAGAAAAAGCAAACTCTAAGTGCATACCAGTCATAAGTAGACAATACATTTTTTGACTCGCATGCCTAACACCCTAGTCACATTTGTCGCACAGCGGCCGCAAGTCGACCGCAGATCAATTAAATCGGTGAATTTCTGCGGCGAGCGTAGAAAAACTACGCTCGCCTTGCGGCCTCCGTACGGCGTATGCAGATTTTTACAGGCCGCAGGGAAGGCGTAGAAATTATAACTCGGAGTTATAATATTTGTTCATTTCTGAGGTCCCCGTAGAAATCAACTGGCTCAACAAGATTGAATCATTATTTGTCAATGTTTCACGATCACTTTTCATTTGATATTACATCCTAGCACTATGAATAACATTTATAAATTGTCCCGATGTAAATAAAATGAAAAAAGTATTATTTATCAACAGAAATGTAAAATTCAACGTGCGGCTGCCGTGGGAAAGGTGACTGCAAAAGTATGAGAGCGCAGAAATTCCACGGCGAGCGTAGAAATGTTACTGGCCGCAGAAATGATGGACCGCAGGGTCGCCGTAGGAAATGTGACTGGGGTGTAAACTGAACGATTTTTGCAGACACTACAGTATGAATGCCTCTCTGATGCCCCCGGTAGCTATGTATGGTTTAACTGTACTTTCTGACTTTTTATGCGATTTTGCATGCTCTTTTCAATCTAAATGTGTATGTTATTGACACATATGCATTAACTTAATGACTTTTGCAGACACTACAGTGTGAATGCCTGTCTGATGCCTCTGGTAGCTGTTCATGGTTTAGCTGTTACAACGGTAGAGGGGATAGGTAGCACAAAAACTAAATTACACCCTGTACAGGTATTCTGAAAGTAACGTTTATATTTTAAAATAATGTAAGACCATGAATGTCACTTCGTCAATGGGAAATACATTTGAATGGGAAATTTTGAAATATAATTACCTAACCCAGTTTATCATTTCGTTAATTTTTCTTATTTAACAATAAATGAATAAATTCCTTATAAACTAAGGAGTGTCGAGACAATTAAATATACCGTTTTTTATTTTATATTAATTTTATTGATTATATCAGGAGCGTCTGGCAAAGGCATATGGCACACAATGTGGATTTTGTTCTCCTGGGTTTGTGATGTCAATGTACACATTACTACGTAATTACCCAGAGCCCTCCATGGCTCAGATAGAGACTGCATTCCAAGGTAATCCAAGACATGACCATGGTGTCGGACTCATGAGCATCAATTATGCAAGGGAAAAGTCAATATCCGGCAAATTCGCGGGGTAGTCGCGTTCCACTCAGTGGATAAGTTGCGCGCGCACACCCATATCTGATTGTCCAATATAATCACAGTAGGCTGTTTAGCGCAGTGACCTGCAGGGGGCGCTATCACAAACATGGACTGCACGACAAATAAATTTCCGGGTTTTGTGACCCCCTTGCGTTATTGAGTAAATGAGTTTAAATAGCCGGGAATTGGCAATTCATAAAAGAGGACTTTAGGTATTCCAGATGGTTTTCAAAACAACATTAAATCGCCATTATTGACAATAAAGTCTTGATTTTTTGATTTTACACAGTGGTACTAAAGATGGTGCTCATAAAGTTTCGAACAATTTCACGGTAGTTACATGAAGATTGTGCCTTTGTAAAGATTTATTTGTAGCTAGCTATCATTACCCGTGCTCATTAAACAATAATGATGAATGTTTCAGAAAAAATACTTCTTATCCTACCGAATTCCTAAAAAGACGTTCCATTATTACTTATTGCTTACTTTGCATTTTTAATAACTGCATTAAGTATTTATTCTATTTATCATAAAAATATAAGTGCAAAACATGCAATATGTCACAATCTTAGACACCACAATGGCATATAAAAGATATGTGTCAGAAAAAAAGAATCTTCAAATAGAAAAAAATGTAGGACTTTTATGCAATAAAACTACTGTACGAGTATACACGATTAGATAAAATACGAACATACTAGACTTTCTAATGATCATACAATGAACATATATACAGTGACCATTGTTCCATAGTTGATGTATCTCAAGATGCTAGTAAAATGGAAAAAGTATCATTGGATTTGAGAATAAAAACTATTTTTAGGTAATCTCTGTAGGTGCACTGGCTACAGAGCCATCCTGGCTGGATTCAGAAGCTTTAGCAAGGTAGATATGCAGTAAACAATTTGTGCATACAATCGCTTTGTCTTTGATACCAATGTACAAAATTGACATCTGGCTCCCAGGAGAAGGATATGGTATTAACATTTAATGATATGTGTGATTAAGTTGGTCTTTCAGACTTTGAACAATTTTCGTTATTATCGATATCCTGACCCACGTTCTTATTTATCCTTTATGTATCTGCAATCATTCCTTGTGGTCTATCCTATTCGCAAATTTTCAACATTTTTATGTATTGTAAAGTACTGCCATGAGTAAATATAGTTATCGTTAATTGGATAAATCTGATTTATCTAGGAGTGGAGGTGCCAAGAAGGAGAGAATTGTTGCCAAATCCAGAATTTGTCTGTCGACGGTGACATTAAGGTAAATATATGAAATTTGTTGCCGATGTATGCTGTTTTGGTACCTTTCCCTACACATATATATATCAGCACTAGCCACAATAGAAACCAATTGATGAAAATTACTGGAAAGTATCATTTACGACCCTTTATTTTGACGTAACGTACTTCTTTTACGCATTATAGGTTTGTTCAAAAACATTTGATGCTAGTGAGTTTGCTGTGTATGACCCGACACAGGATCCTATCTTCCCTAGTGAACTACAAGTGAGCGTTAAGATAGCTTTACGTTGAATAACCTACATATGCATCATTTGTTAACATTTCTAAAATGAGAGCTTAGTATGAGAAGTTTATTACATTATTAATCTTTAATGTCTAGTAGTCATACGAATTTTCCTTGGGGGTTTTGAAGCAATAGTTGGAAGAAAAAATTGATATCAGTAAATGTTGCAGAAGTGTTGTAATCCCTTGCTACTATTTTGTAGTTGGATGCAACCTTCCAAACACAGAGTTTATGTTTCAAGAGTCAAAATGTGGACTGGTATAGACCTCGACACCTTGATGAAGTGAGTCAGCTGAAGCAACAATATCCCGATGCAGTATATACAGTTGGGGCAACAAGTATAGGTGAAGTAAATTTGTGACAATGTTAATTTGCTGAATATCATATTTCTTTTAATATCCAAGTACATTTTAGATACTTTTTGGATAATTCTAATATTTGATTTTGGTTTAAATTATACTTACTTTAGTAATTGCAACATTTTTTTGCTAAATATTGGACTAAAACACGTAATATTTTTCCTTTCATTATTAGTTATACACACAGTTTGATACTCGTGTTTTCCATGTTTATGGCAGATGGATAAAGGTATGACTGACTTTCTTATGTTCACCATCATAATTTCGTGCTTGATTTGTAATCTTATTACCTGCCCATGCTATATCTTTCATGACATATAAACTATGTTTGGTTTTATTCAGGAAAATACATACGCAATAGTCAAAGTAAAATTGTGGTAATTTGTCTGACTAATGTGGAAGGTCTTGACAACATTACAACAACTGATACATGTATCAAGGCGGGGGCAACAGTCACACTTGCATCGCTGTTTGAATATATTGAAATGCAGGCTTCGAAATCAGAAGGTGCGCACATTTATTTTCTGATAAATTGTCCTCTTTAAGGTATTTATATCAAATTGCGTTCTGTATGCTTTGAATTAAAAATGGTAAATGAATATAATAGAAATAAATATAAGCATGGCAATTGTGAACATCTCTGATCATAATGTCACACAATAGTGTATTAATCATCTTACTTTATCACTTCAACTAAATAGTTAAGAATTATGCTTTTAGCACTTGCTGCAAGGGGAGAGATAAATAGCATATTACAATACAAACAACTGATAGAAATAAAAACATGTATGAGCAAAATCAATGAGATGAAGAGACAGATCCCAATATCCCAATATCCAAACTGTTATATTATCTTCAAGAAAACAATGTAAAACATGTATTTATTGTTTCAAAGCGGATGTGTATCATTCCAGGTAATCAAAAGGCTGGTTTTGAGTGTTTCTTAGACATGCTTCATCAAGTTGGTGGACATCAGCTAAGGAATGTTGCTGTAAGTAATGTTGAAAATACACACAATAATTAAAAATTGATTAAAGTGCTATATAATCGGTTTGATCGAACTAGTAAATTCAATAATTGACTAGTTAACGTATTGGGTGTTTTATTTTATTGATAGTTTAGGAAATAAACAATCTGAATGCTCATAATTGTTTTTTTCAAGAAAAGATCCGGTTAATACAAAGTTTAAAACATTGATAATTTTTCAGATAAAAAGGGGTTCGAAGAAGATATTGAAAGGAATGAAACATACTTTCAAATCATATAAAAATGTAACAAATACCTTAACTCTAATATATATCTTGCTCAAAGATTTTACTCTGGCAATTGCCAAAAACCTCGATGCTATGCTACTTGGTCTTTTCTCAAGGAATAAAATACAATTTTAGGTCAGGTTTTCGTTCTTTCTTTTCCTCAAAAACCCACTTCCATTCAAAATTATGTGTATTGCTTGAAATGCATGAAATGGACTATAAATTAAGTGTTATATCTAAAATAACTGTAGCTTTGATAATTGCAAAGAACGTAAGTTTGAGACCATACACTTTTAGAGCATTGGCAGCAATATTGCAAGCGGAGGACCAACATCTGACATCTGCACGATGATGACAGCTATTGGAGCAACAGTGGATGTATACAATGTTTTAGGTAGAGTTAAAAAAAATATGTGTTTGATTAAATATTTTTGTTCTTGTATAAATGACTAAATTGCTCATTCTCGTTCGAAACACTTTTAGTTATAGTTGCAAAAGAATAAAAATTGCCACTGGAACTATATTTTCATTGATAGTCTTCCAATAAAATATGGTAACCAACAATTAAGATTTCTAACCCATATAAAAACTATTACAATCAACAGTGACTGAAGAAATCCTATGGATGTAGGATGAAATATTTTACGTAAGTTTTTTCAAACATGCCCGTGTTAGAGGAACCTTTAATACTTCAATATTGCAATCAAGTTTTTAAAAGTATTAACATTATTTAATCGTGCTTAAAGAATAAGTATTGTATGACCTTGGCGTATAATGATCTTCATGAGTTTCGTATATTCAAGTAAATTAACCAGGTCTAAGCTAAAGAGCCTCTAACCTCTTGAAAAGTTGGGAATATGCATTTTCAGACAAGTCTACTAAGACTAAAGATGTGTTTGGGCTTCATAAAGAAGATGGGAAGTCTAGTTTAGAACCACATGAATTGATTTCTGGTGTGTATATTCCGTATATGAAACAGGTAAATAAATTCAAACGATGATGTTTGAATAATTGCTTAACAGTTGTCAATTTATAATTTCTCCGACCATTGATGTATTATTGGTAGTTGAGATCAGTGGCCATCCCTCGTTTAAGTATTAAGACCAGTTAGGCTTAGGCTATATATAAAATGGTTGGTGTCGCTATTTATTCTTTGATTTTTTAGAATGAATATGTATATTGGCACAAACATGCAGAAAGAACCGACTTGGCCAGTGCCACAGTGAATTCTGCAATGAAGGTGAAGTTTAATCCTGATACAAACAGCATAAAGGATTTGGTTCTGTGCTATGGTGGTATTGATAATAAAAGTGTGATTGCTACTCAAGTGAGGGAAAAGACGAGAGAAAAGTATGGAAGATTTACGACTAAATTTTTGTATACTATAGACAGATTTTTAGAATAGGAACCCTTTGAGAAACAACCATGTCTACCTTTTGAGAACACAAATAAAGAAGTCATTTGGTGTACTTACCATTAATTTTGGACACATCATTTTAATCTTTCATTAAAATAGATAATTATTTGTCTGGTTTAGAGAATGGACACAAGACTTAGTGTCATTTGTGTGTGGACTCCTTGGAGATGACCTTGATGTAACATGGTCCTCTGTTGGTGGAAGCACTAACTACAAGAGGTCCTTGACTGCCAACATTTTTCTGAAGTTTTTCATTAAAGTTCAGTCGAGTCTTCAAAATGCAGAGGTATATTTGCATACATTATCATAGTTGCTATAACATATTCTTAAGCAATCTGTCGGAGAACCCGGGATTCAATCAAAATAATCAGTATTTGCCAGACGTTTTAGAATAGCTGATTAAATAAAACCAATTAATTTAAAAATGCGTGTCAATCCATTTATTTTACTTTAAATGTGTAATAGCACTTTAAATGTCATAGCATGTGTGTCATACAGAGATGTACCATATCATTTTTGAGACTACAATTTTCTACGAAGTTGAAAAATTGTCCTAGATTTTGGAAAAGTGTAACCCGTTTTCATCATATTGTAATTATATTACTGTGCTTCCAGAGTGAAATCATTCATGATTTTTCAAGTGTAAGACATAAACCACTAAGTAGTGGAAGCCAGATATTTGAGACTTTACCCATGGGCCAGAATGGAATTGATTATGTTGGCCAACCGGTCCTGCATAAATCTGCCTACCAACAGGCGACTGGTGAAGCTGTGTTCTGTGATGACATCCCTACATACAACAGTAAGAAAACTTTTCTTTTGTATTCACGCCTTGTGGTATAGAGAATTAATCTTCCCTGCTTCAAATTTAAGCAAAGCCAGAAAGTTTCGACTTCGAAAAAAATCTGATCTGTTATTATGGATTAGATATAACATTCATGTGTCTACCAATATCCTGATATTTCATACCGATATATCATTTATGCTACAGATGAACTTCACATTGCTCTGGTAACTGGAACCAAAGCCCATGCTAAGATACTCAGTATTGATGCGTCTAAGGCAGAGAACATGCCTGGTGTTAAAGGCTTCCTCAGTTACAAGGACATACCTAACCCAGTTAATATACCAAGAACAACCACAACAGAAGGCATCTTTGCGAATGAAAAGGTACGTTTGCCAAACCATAAAACGAGTAACCATCCCATTAAATATAATTCAAATATGAAATCAATCCAAAGTCCATATTAATACTTACCCTCTGTACCAATAGTCTTTTCCTATTGCGAAAACCCTTGAATAACTAGTAAATGGTGAGTAAACTTGATGAAACTTTACACAATAGTCATATATTTAAAGGTATATAATACACATTCTGTAAAAATTGAAGACAGATGATTTATTCTTTCTCAAATTATCACATATAGAACATAAACACCGATGTGACTTTTCACAAGTTTGTGACGTCAAACTTATCTAAGATTATCAAACTGACCAAAATAAGCTGCTCAGTAAAATTAAGCAGACGAAAGTAATAAATGCTTATTATGAGCAGAATATGTTATGAAATATTCTCTAAATGTGCTCATACATTTAACAGCCCTAGAACATGTTAATATACTAGTCTTAACCATTTCCTGCCCAAAATTATTTTAGGGATATAGAAATATGTCATCACAATAAGCACCCTATCATTGGTGTATCTTGTCGACGTATTATGATTCAGAATTATTGCAATAAAATGATATTAAAATAATATATAAGAAGAATAATAAGATAGATTCATTTGAATGAAATACCAAAAATACATCAAGACAATCAAATTAACACATCAGTCATAAAATCATACTAATTGATATGATTGGGCAGGAAGGAAAGGGGTAAATATTAAGGAAATATAGCAAAAAAATGAATAGTAATGCAACATTGTTATAAGACCCAAGTGTAAGGTCTAGGACTTTAATTTTTCGTTGTTATTACATATCTTTCAGTGGCACCTTACACTAAAATATACAGCTATCGTGCACAGAACTATTTGTAAAGTCTGTAACAGATTCTGATTGCTCATAATTTTGGTTTTGTGTTTTTGGTATATGCAATGTTCAAGATGTAATATTTTGAGTAAAACTTAATCAATCGTCTCCAAATGTTTGGGGAATGTGTAAAATATATGTGACAGTTTTTATGAAGTTAACTGGTAATTTACAAGTTATTTGAGATATTTTGAGGAAAAGACTTTTGATACAAAGGGTATATTTTTGTTGTATATTTTAAGGTATTGTACCATGGACACGCTATCGGTGCTATTGTAGCCGATACCCTTGAGCAAGCCGTGGCCGCTAGGCAACATGTACATGTAGAATATGAGGACCTACCTGCTGTCATCAAACTAGAGGTACATATTTCTATTGCACGGTCAAATGTGTAGAGCACAAAATAATTTCATTTTGTTCACATAATATAATATCAAGCTAATTTGATATAAACAGTTCGTATATTAAACTTTTTTAGACGGCTATTCGTGAGAAACGCTACCTTCCAAATCCAAAGGTTTTAGAAGTGGGAGATATAGAGGCGGGCTTCAAAGAAGCTGATTTGGTGTTTGAAGGTAATTTTGGTAAAAGATCCCTGAAATAAAAATACGAGCACATCTATTTCTTACTATAAAACTTTGGTTGCTTGTAGAAATAGGTGTCGTTGTGACCCAGATAAAGCAACATTCCTATACATTAAGCCACTGTCTTTATATTTAAACACACAAAACTGCTTTCAAAATATACATTTGCTTTAATAGATATGGTGATTATATTATAGGACATATTTCAATGGGGTCGCAAGAACATTTCTACATGGAGCCAAATTCCTGTATTGCTGTCCCTATTGGAGAGGCCGGGGAAGTTGATATCACCACAGCAACACAGAGTTTGAATACAGCACAGGTATGTTGGGAATTGATTCTCAATGTAGGCTAAAGGAATGCAGGCACGTAGTCAGGGGGGGGGTTCAGGGTGTGTGGACCCCTTCCTCCTTCGCCTTGGCCAAAATTTATTTCAAATTTATGTTGTTTTTCACCATTCTGAGCATTTCTTCATTTGATTTTGGGCAAAATTTAAAATCGAGTAAATGCCCCTGGATCTCTTATAAAAAGTGACCCCCCCCCCCTTGCAATAGCTGTCTACTTGACTTGTATTCATTATATTTACCATATGTGTCAAGTTTGTGTTTTAGGAAAGTATCAGCCAAATGCTTGGTGTTCCTAAGAATCGTGTCCGATGTCATGTAAAGAGAATTGGTGGTGGGTTTGGAGGAAAGGGAATGTGTGCTGAGAAATTCTCTACAGTTGCTGCATTAGCGGCCACCAAGTAAGGTCATTATGAACATATTGCTAGTATTAAGCAGCATCAATAAACTCTGAAAATGATCGATGGGTAGATGGGGTTATTTTATTTTTTGTTTCTTTGAATATTGGAGCATTTGTCGGAATGTTAAGGTTTCTTTCCTTATAACTTTTATAGTTGTGGTTTTCAATTTATCTTTTTCTAACTCTGTTAGCATATTCGTTTGCCGTAGTGGTGTACATTTTTACTTTTTTTATCTACAAAAGATTCAATAGGCCGGCGCGCCTTATTCTTGATCGTCAAACAGACATGTGTGCAACTGGAAAAAGGAGCAGAATGTACGCCAAATATAAGGTAAACGTACACTCACCTCTACAAGTTAAGCAACCCTATCACTTCTCCCAATTGACTATGTGTTGGAGCATGCTAAGTATTTGTTTGAAGTGATGTCTTTAACACGTAGTGCAATTGGAGGAAAGGGGCTGAAAGACTTACAGAGGAGGGTGTGTCATGGACGCCCAATCATGAGACTGAATTACTGCATTTGTACGTAGATAACATTAATTTTTTTGTCCGTGTGAACATTCTGTAATTAGCCGTTACAATTGATCTTCTTGCCTCTTATTTCACCTCCCCCCCCAAACGTTAAAACAAGTTCCATTTTCCTTTACAATATCCTTAAGATTACACTAGAATTGGTCGGACTGAGCTCTCTAAGAACTTTTGTGATTTTTCTTTCCTAAAAGGTTGGGTGCAGTAACGAAGGCAAGATACTTGCACATGAAATCGAAGTTTACGAAGATGGAGGCTTCTTTGGTTCATTTCTTGAATTTGTAAGTCGTGTTATAACAGTTGTATGACATCGATCCTAAGTCACAATTGACAAATTATCATACATCAAATCAACCAACAAGATGGACTTGGGACGACATCACTGTAGATGAAGCTCAAGAAAGCCATTTCCACAACATAGTTATTCATCTTGGAACAAAATAACTGAGCATCTTATCCAAACAAGAAGTGGTGATCAGTCCAAAAAACATGTGTGATGACAATCGGAAAGAATACCAACTGAAAACTAGACTGGGAACATAAACTTTAGGGGTCTTATATGCCAAAGTTTACTTTGCAACTTGATGTGTATTGTGTATATAAATGCACCTATTCCACTCTACTATACCTTGCATTTGGTGTTCATGAGCAACCCATTTGGCTAATTAGTAATGATTATGTATTTGTTTTTATTTGTCTGTTCCTTATTAATGGTTTATCGGTTGAAAGTTAGATGTTAATAAGGTACTTTCAAAAATATACTAAACAATACAATTGGAGAAACAAAGTATCTTATGCATTTCTAGGTGTTAGGTATAGTAGAGTGGATTTTACTTCTTTTTCTTCCATACGTCCAAAGGTTACTCCCGTCGAGAGCTACTTAGATTTTGAAAGTATAGCTCTCTATCGCTAGAATCAACAGCTTAAGAATCCTGACTTCAAAGAAAATTTCAGGGAATTCAGCTGACTCATGTTGCACATTATATACCTGAAAATGTATCCTACATCGCCATCTTTCATTCAGCTCAACTATAGAACGTCTCACTGCCCTATGTATCGATCAGGACTTCATTTTATTGGTCGTGTCAAAAGTTTTGGCCAGGTATATTCAATATGTCGGCTTGACGTTTCCCAAGTTGCGCATGCGTCGATAGTATTTCCGTTTAACCGCCATATTGGAAATGGGTATCGAACAAAAAACGATTAGAACTCCTGATCGCCATAGAAGCACATCCGCGATCCTACATGCACGGGGAAAGTAGACACATATGAGCCCATATGTAGGCTACAGTTTGAGACAAACAGCAAGCCGCTGACTGGCGCTGATCAAATTTAGATGTCACAATTCTTCAGCTGGGAGATCCTCACGATGGAGAGCTATACTTTCAAAATCTAACATGGTAGCTCTCGACGTGAGTAATCCAAAGGTTCTATCAGCCGCGTGTTTCAGCCTCGTCTTTATGTTATCTTACACTATATTGGAGAGGTTAAGCTAACGATGTTTTTCACAACGTAACCGTGAACGCAAAGTACAAAAATTAACAAAGGAATGTATCGAGCGCTCATAGTTTTATGCGCGCTTAGTCTACTTCAGATACTCTTTCAGCTTCAGAGTTTCGGGTTTAGAACGGGAGATTTTGAAATTTGACGTTGGGTCAACGGGAACCATTTTACTCGTGTCTATTGAACACTATGCTGTCAATTTTGATTTCGATGCACAGTTGAATTCTTGCTGAACACGATGATGTATGTCATGCATGATTTAGCGCCAAAAATATTACGAAACGAGCTCGTTTAAAATATGTATTAGAAAACCAGCTATAAAACCGCATCAATGACATACTATAGAATCATTACACGCTATGGTATAGTCTAAACAAACACTGGATTTGAACGGCTATTTATATGAGAAGGCTACATGAATTTGTATATGGTCGAGTGATACGTACAGGTTCAGTTTCGATTATATATGCAAAGCTTAACCTCTCCAATATTCTTCCAATTACAAAATATATACGAGGTATAACTGTTGATAAAGATGTTTGATTTCAGAGATTTAGATATATTCGTTCAGAATGATAATGACTTCAGTAAGAGTTGACTGACATGTATGATAGTCGTATAGTTCTGGATTATTTTTTTGTTTTTTTTTCATTACAGGGAATGGATTTCCAACTGCTTGTTCTTATATGTGAGCAAGGGTATTCGTTCAACAATGTGAAGGTCACAGGCTTCACGTGTGAAACAAACACCCAGTTTGGTGCAGCAGTGAGAGGGTATATTACCATACCGCCACTGGTCATCACTCAAGCTCTGGTAAACGATGTTGCATTTAGGCTAGGATTACCCATCGAGCAAGTAAGTCAATGGTAGCAGTATGAATTGAGGCTGTATTAACTATATATACATGTACACAGTGTTCTCCCAAGCATTAAAGCAAGTGGGCACAGTGCCCACCTTAGACTTTGAAAATAGACTTGCACCCATCTGAATATCCATTTGCACCCCTTGAAAATGAGAAAAATCAAGAAAAATTGGCATATTTTGACCAATTTTGTCTGAATTATGAAAATGATAATTTTGCCCCCACCTGAGAAAAAATCCTGGGGAGATTACTGGTACAATTAATTATTATATAGTTTTATTTATTTCAGTAAAACAATACAGCATTTTTATAAAGTAGTGGCCATGACACCTATATGGGTGTATGACCACATTTAGAATAGCATATCAAAAATTATTGTGTGCTTGAGAGTTTAATACTATCTGACAATGGATGAACCATCATTTGTCTCATATATAGATGTTAAGCATGTACATGTATTTGCAGTGACTTTTATGATACGATGCTTTTTCTGGCAGGTACACAAGATTAATATGCTAAAACATGGGGACCAGACGCCACTTGGACGTGAATTACCTGATGCACACACTCTGCACACTTGTTGGCAGAGATGTTGGGAGAGTAGCAATTATGTAGAGAAAAAGAAAATGGTTGAAGAGTTCAATAAGTGAGTATTAAATGTGTGACATCAACGTACGTAAGGCACTTAAAATGGAAAAACACTGAAATTAATGGTTGCCGGAAAGGTGGTACAGGTATACTGTTTCATACCTCGATAAAAACCTTAATGTTCACATATGTTAAATATGACCGTTACATATTTATATAATCAACATTGAATGCAATTGGTTCCTCGTGTGTTTAACCAACACTAACAATCATCACAATTAGTATGGAAAAAATTTAAGTAGTGCAATGTGTCCATCGTCAGTTCCAACACTCAATCACTACTTTCTATGAGGATAGGTCCGAAGCTTGATGAACCAAGATGCAATGTGTCAGTATTACTACATATCGGTTACATTTTTCTTTCATTGTCTTTGTTATAAGGAAATCCAAGTGGAACAAAAGAGGATTATACATAGCTCCCATAACTAGAAATGTCGGTTCACCTGTATACGCCTGGTCTCAGGTACGTCACGACTAATCAGTTATATTCTATACTAGTTACACTGGATTTTCATTATTAAAGGCATGACTCGTGGTTCTGTTGGAGTAGGTCGTTCATTACTACAAAAAGGCAACATTTGGGTTATTACAGGGAAATTAAAATTTGGTCAGGTTAAATTAAAATATGTGACTGATCTCTTTCATACTTGTACCATTTGCTAGTTACACCCTTAGACTATTATACTTTATTGCAGTTTTCAATTAATTCAAGTCATTTATTGCTGAGAAAATATTTGTCAAAAAGTGGCTCACTTTTTTGGGACACCGATATGTAGTTTGGTTAAATTCATGCTTAGCAATTTTACGGTTATGATTTGAAATCCCTATACAGGACCAGATAATAAACAGAATCATTTGAAAAATCTTTCCCGTAAAACTGTGCTCAATTTGAAAACAAGAAATGAAGCAATTTTTGATATATCTTACATCAAGCGGCTGCCATCATGCTTTTCCCCTTTTTAATTAAAATGGCAGTAGATATGAGAACCAAAAAATAATTTCAAAAATTCTTTTTTAATTGCTAATGAGGCTACGAGTTGTTTTTACTTCGTATTTTGTAGATGTTGCCATTTGTGTTTTTTCTATGATAACGACTATTTGATTTTGGTTAGGATATTCATTTTTGACTCTCACCGGGAGATTAACACATTAAAACAAAAAATAAATATACTTGTGATAAGCAATAAAACATATTTAAAACATCTGTAGGCGAGGAACCAAAAGAGCATATTTCCTGACTCAACTTTTGCCAAGACTCACCTTAAACTGGCGATTTAATGACATTTTGAAAACCATTTGCACTGGCGAATCCGGGGGAGGGCAAAAAAAGTTTGGGCCCAAATATTTTGTAGGGCCTCAATTAGTGTGCCTTATGGGCATTACTTGGGCCAAATAGTAAAAGAGGATTCCCAGATTGGAAATTTTAATCTCCCATGTTAGCTTCTAGATCCGCCGGTGATTCCAAGAGTGAGTTACATAACACTACAATTTGCAACATCGAAAGTCTTCCTTTCTCATTCACATTTAGGGTGCGGCTCTTGTGAACATCTATACTGATGGCTCTGTATGGGTGAACCATGGCGGCATTGAAATGGGCCAAGGACTCCATACAAAACTAATACAGGTACGATCACTAAACTTAGCTTTGTCCGCGATATACATGTAGTAGGCACGAGACGGCTAACAATTAGGCACACGTATATGGGCATGGGTATTATTTTGAAATTTGTTGTATACTTTGTTAGGTTGGTGTGTTGTAGGTTGCAAGTAAAGTGCTTGAAGTACCACAAGATGTTATCCACATTACAGAAACAACAACGGACTGTGTCCCTAATGCAATGCCCACAATAGAAAGCATGGGAACAGATTTGTTTGGTATGGCAGTTAAGGTACATGTACTGCATTATATCCTTCGTCCAAGTTTTTATTTGTTTAGCTTTCTTTTTGTAAATTACTTTTCATTTTAAAATTGTGGTATACGAATGTTTACCAATGTGTACATATGCGTTCATATTCATTTTTCAGTCTTTTAGATTGTTCCCAAGATTAAGATTATTTTCTTCACACTTAAAATCAATTGATCAGTAACTGTTTTCTCACTGCGAACCAATAATGATCTAAATGTTTCCAGCGTGCTTGTGAGAAGTTAGTTACGAGACTTGCTCCTTACGAAGCAAGCAATCCAAATGGCAAATGGAAAGATTGGGTGAGTGGGTAATGAAAACTTTGGGTGAATATCACATAAATAAAAGAATGACAAACATTGAACGCAGAGCAAAATGAATAATTCTTAAGGTAATAGTTCTCAAAATATTAAGGCACAGATCACAATTTAAACCTCTCATCTCAGCACATATGATTGTTTGACGTAGAATTTGGATAATCATCATATTGATTTACTTTTTAAATACTGACTGACTAGAATGGAACAAAAGACAATTGTCCTCATGGAATATTGTACTAGGCCGTAGTATGAATATATGGGAATCTGGACATTCCTCGTGGAATATTATACTGGGCCGTATAATAAATATATGGGAATCTGGACATTCCTCATGGAATATTGTACTAGGCCGTAGAATGAATGTATGGGAATCTGGACATTCCTCATGGTATATTGTACTAGGCCGTAGTATGAATGTATGGGAATCTGGACATTCCTCGTGGAATATTATACTGGGCCGTATAATAAATATATGGGAATCTGGACATTCCTCATGGAATATTGTACAAGGCCGTAGAATGAATGTATGGGAATCTGGACATTCCTCATGGAATATTGTACTAGGCCGTAGTATGAATGTATGGGAATCTGGACATTCCTCATGGAATATTGTACTAGGCCGTAGTATGAATGTATGGGAATCTGGACATTCAATACTTCACGACAATAGTTTTCAAATCGAATAGTAACGGGAATTACTTAAAGGCAGAATCAGATATATAGGGGTGAAAAAATTACAAGCAATGTGTACAATTGACCTACCAGTCTATTCCTTACAATCTCAAATTCAATATCTCCCAAAAGATTCACGATATATTATAAATTGGTGAAGTTATTATATATTATATATTCAAAGTGCAAAAATGGGTGAAAATGCTTGAATCCTCCCAAATAACAAGAATGGTAACCATTATTATAGAAAAATAATATATTATTGTAAAAATCGTAAGTTTTCCTGAAATAAAGTGTGCACTTTAGAGCTTTTTAGAAAATAAACATCACAAGGAATGGCATGAGCCAGAAATATTCTAAAAGTGAAACAATTTTTTGTTGGCCTGCTTGCTAGGTTCTAGCAGCTTACAATGATTGTACGAGCCTTTCTGCAACAGGATTCTACCATCACCCTAAGGAGAACAACTGGGAGTTGGAAAAACCACGCGAGGGAAACTTCAATATTTACTACACATACGGGGCAGTTGCAGTAGAGGTTGAAATAGACTGCCTCACTGGGGCACATAGGGTGAGGAGTGCATTTTTTGCTGTGATGGCATGTTTATAATGTATGAAACTCCATCATCTCAACCATTAACAGCAATATATGCAGGGGTTTATATCCAAAGAACATGTGTACGTTTTTATAGATTTTATTACATAAAATATAACATATTACAATTTAACCTTTTTGTCATGGAGAGACGGCTATCTATCGATCAGAGCTTGCGTAATTGTATACCAAAGAAACGATTACGTAATCATGAGATAATGGAATATCAAAACACAGTTTCTTTAGAGAGAAGAGATAAGAACGATAAGAGTTGGGAGTAGGTTTTTTATGATTTTAAAAGAAAAATTTTACAGCTGATTTAGCTTTATTGTAGGACACCCATTCAATTTTATACCCCCCTGTTCAGTTCTAATTAATTTAGACATTTTGCATCTTAAACCTTCAATTGTTTCAACAGAGATCTCCATTTTGTTTTTCAAAACTTAAAATTGGGATTGTAAGGGGGAGATTTTACCATGATATTTGAAAATGCACCTCATTAAAATACTCAAATCTGATTGGTTAAGAGCTGCAGGGTCTATTGCCATACGTGGCAGCAAGACCTCGGATAGGTATTCTGGCATATCCACCTCATGGTCATCCAGTATTTGAAAATATTTCTTCAAAGATCACACAATCTCTATCCATCCTCATTCCTTGACGTGTTATCATTTAGTGGCTGCAATTTTAGAACCTGAAATAATCCTTATACCAAACATCTTATTGGTTGAAATGTTTAGGATACCATATTGGTGTTAGTCAGACAGTAAATGGATAATCTCTCTTGGAGTGATACGTTCAATATTTTATTATTCCTCTTGATAATAATTTGTGGTAAAAACATAACCTTCTCCACAATTAAAAACATCACTCAAAATGATTTGAAATTGTGATACCTTTTTGTAAATAATAGATTATTACTAAAATGCAACTAGTCAGTTGCATTTTTACATGTTAATCATGTGTATGCAGGTTATTCAAGTGGATGGTGTGATGGACTTTGGTAGAAGTTTGAACCCAACCATAGATATAGGACAGATGGAAGGAGCTTTCATGATGGTATGTTTGGTTCCAGTAAAGTAACCTTTTAGTTTGTCACTTCGAGATTATTGTTCAAAATTAACTTGGCTATTTACCACAATATTCTGAGAAATGTAGCCAAGGCTACCAGTATGTTATATCTGAAGTACATGATGCATAGCTTTGAGCATCCTTAGTCAAAGGACTTCATTTATGCCTAAATTCATACTTGTAAAATACCCTTGCAGCAAGGATGAGCTTTGAGTTAAGTCAATGTTTTTCGTCATATTTATTTCAGGGATATGGATGTTTTGTATCAGAACAAATAGTATATGATGACGAGGGTAGACTACTTACTAATGATGCAACTACATACAAGATACCTGGTGTCAGGGATATACCCACAAAGTTCAACATGCAGATTTTAACAAGTCATAGTGATGAAGCAGTACTTTATGGGTCTAAGGTAGAATTTGACTTATTTTTAAGCGAGCAAATGCATAATGGTAAAGTGGAAATAATTAAACTGTCATATATCACAATGACCAGATTTAACATGTACATGACAGTTACAGTAACCGAATATTTATTTGAATAATTATTCTAACTACATGTTTGGCCCATTTTTGTCAATTTAAATTAATTTGAATTAGTTTAGGATAACTTTTAAACAGCTATTCATGTGTATATTCTTCTTTTCTTGTGTTTAATTGTAATAATTGTTTTCTGACAAATATACAGGGTGTCTCAAAAAATGTACCCATAAGTATATCAACCGCTTTTTTGCATGGTCATGTTGCCAAAACATGAAAGTTTTCTCCCCAATACACCATTTTTATTTCAGTCTTGCCTTTTAATGCTTTAACCTTTTACACAACATAATCAATGTTACCTCATATTTTGATGACAGTCTGTCAGAGTGGAATGAAGCAGCCACAATGCTTTGGGTCTTGGACTTAAATAAATTTGATTGTGAGAACGTGATATGACATCTCCTTTTATTCTAGGGAGTTGGGGAGCCCCCTCTACACATGAGTATTGCTGTGATGTTTGCCATCAAGGATGCCATAGCAGCAGCCCGCAAAGATGCAGGAATAGAAGAACCCTTCCAACTTAACAGTCCAGCTAATGCAGAACAAATTCACACTTTATGCTCAACTAAGATAATTTGATGGTCACTTGATTCATAAGCGCAAGATAGGACATGAACATAAAATGAGACACTGTGTTGTTCAGACTATAATGTCATTATAATGTTACTTAATGTAACTATTTTACTACTGAAGGATGCGCGAATTCCAATCTGATATCATAACATTTTGATCCAATGAGCAGGATTTTAAAACATAGTTGCGCATTTAATAAAGACTATCAATTTAAAACTGTCACAATCATTGCCCCGAACTTCAAATTAACATAAGAAAAGATAAAAAAGACACAGACACTGTATTCTTGTATTTTACATCATAAATTACATGCACGTAGTTAATACACAAGTAATAGCAATTCTATAAAATAAATGATTGAAAAATGAATTACAAAATGAAATACAGCATCGTTACCATGGTAGCACAATAGGTTGTATCAAGTAAAGTAAGAGGGGGGAAAGCCCCAGACTGACATCGATGTTATCAATCAGAGATGTATGTTATCTCAATACAGGTTTACATTATAAGCGTATGTCATCTTTGAACTCTTGGGTTAATCCCCCCCCCCCCGTAAGTAAAGTCCTATATTTGCTGACGAGCCTGATCAATGCAGCTATTGAATAAGGTGTGTGCCTATATAATTCCTAAGTGTATGTCTTAAAGTCAATGCTCCACGCCCATTATTTTTCCTCGTCAATTGTTAAACAAAAATTAGAATTCTTGGTTTTCCTTTTGTAGAATATCACCGAGGCACTGATAGTACACAGTATGAAAATCGAACATCCAGTTAATATATAAATCATTAATAAACTCAATGGTTGCTTTGTCGTCTTGACGGCTGGCGTCGCAGTTGTTACATTTGCATGTTGTACTGCTGGCACCAAACGTTTTGATTTGGAAGGGGTGATCAAACATAGTTGTTGTATTTCCTTAATATTGATGTATAGTAAAAAGGCAGAGTTAGACACCATGGCGTTGTTTTCAATTTCTAAATATTCTAATTTTGGTAGATGCTCGCATATATCAGTTGGTATTTTACGTAGGTTATTATCATTTAGATAGAGGTATTTGAGACTGTAAAGGCCTGCAAATGCGCCAGATTCAACATCTGTTATTTCATTGAAACTGAGGCTTAGCGTTTGTAACGAGGGAATATCATTAAACATACCGGAATAAAGTTTTGTGATTTTATTTGAAGACAAATATAAGTCAGTACACTGGTCTAAATTAGAAAATGAGCCGGGTTCTATCGTGTTTATTTCATTTTGTGAAAGGTGGATGTTATGAAGAGATGACAAATTATTAAACGTGCCTATTGTTACATTTGTCAATTTATTTGAAAATAATAATAGTGTGTGTAATGATAGTAAATCAGAAAATGCACCTGGTTCTATGACTGAAATTTCGTTGTCGAAAATATGAAGTTGTTTCAAGGATTTCAGGTTTTTGAATATTTTCTTTTTCAAAATTCTGAGTTTATTTTTCTGTATTTCGAGTATGTCTAACGCTTGCAAACCAAGAAAAGTCTCGGATTCAATCTCTAATATACCATTGTCGTAAAGGTTGAGATCTCTCAAAGAAACAAGGTTTTTGAAGCTTCCATTTTTCAATATTGAAAGTTTGTTTTTTTGAAGGATGAGGTATTGCAATGATAGCAAACCTGAAAATGCCCCAGTTTCTATCTCTGATATTTTGTTTTGCTCTAGGCTAATTACCCGAAGAGATATGAGATCACTGAAAATTCCTGTTTTTAATATTCTAAGATTATTTCTTTGCATGTAGAGAATTTGCAATGATTTCAAACCTGAAAATGCATCTGATTCTATGACTGAAATATTGTTGTCATAAAGATCAAGTTGTTTCAAAGATTCAAGGTGATTGAATGTTTTCTTTTTCAAAATTCTGAGTTTATTGTTTTGCAGTTGGAGAATTTCTAATGCTAGCAAGCCAAGAAACGCCTGGGATTCAATCTCTAATATACCATTGTCGTAAAGGCTGAGTTTTTCTACAGATATCAGCCTCTCGAATCTTGCATTTTTCAAGATTGAGAGTTTGTTTTTTCCGAGGTTGAGTGTATGCAATGATAGCAAACCTGAAAATGCGGCAGTTTCTATGGTTGATATCTCATTTTCCTGAAGATTAAGTTCTTGAAGAGATACGAGGTCGCTGAAAAGTCCTGTTTTCAAGATTTTAAGATTTTTGCCTTGCAAATCAAGACTCTTCAATGATTTCAGACCAGAAAGTGCCTCCGACGAAATCGTTGACATGTTGATGTAGCTGAGATCCAAATGCGTGCGTTTCGTAGACACACCTGCTAAAGTGATGTTGTTCTTGCCCATGTTCGTATCTTTACGTTGCAGCGATTTTGGGATAACAGTCCTAAATAGGACACACACCACAAGCGTTTGTAACAGCATACTCTGAAATAATACAAATATTTGTTTATGCAACATACCTTACCTCTAAAACGAGGAGGTAAAATGGGATGAGGGTGTACATTAATGGTGGACTATTATATATACCCTCATTGCATTGCCCGTTGACAGCTTTTACTAAAGGAGGGGAGCTTTTGACAAGGGGGAGCTTTTTGGCAGTTTCGGCAAAAAATCGTGCAAAAAATGCTCAGAATGGTTTAAAACGGCATAATTTTAAAAGAATTTCCAGCCAGGGGGAGCTTCTGCTCACCCAGCCAACCCCTCCCCCTCCCTGGCTACGGGCCTGTATACTTAGTTTAGTTTAAAAAATAGTTTATTTAAGTGTCACACGTATACAATTGTAGCACCCCAGGGGCAGTGCGCTCTCTAATTACTGATAGATGTTGGTAGCGTAGCGAATAAAATAGCACAACCTGACTCCCGGGGGCGTTACGGTTAATCCCCAGATGGCGCTCCCTCTCTGAAGCCGTCAAATGTGAAAAAGCGAACAGAATAGTGAATTAATTTAATTTTAATTACAAATAAGATCATAACTTTTATTAACTCAAAGTACATTATTTTGCTTGATAAGAATTAAATAAATTCCAAGAATTAATATGAATTGAAATACAAATCAAAGAGAATTACAGATGGCGCTAATCAAATTGCCCTCAAAATAAGGCTGCCAGATATATGCAATGTCATGTTGCGACTTCTTAGCCGCTCTCAACCGCTCCTGGGGGAGAACTGGCAGCGCTGCTAGGTTGGATGATCGCTCCCAGTGCAGCTATCTTTCCTCTCGCTTGGCCGAGCGGGAGGGGTAGCGCAGAAAGGAAGCAACACACCAATGCCAGCCATGACTTGCGGAATGAAATCAATTAATTTCATTTACATTGATTTTTTATAAAGGATATGCGAATGCTCAGGCTAGGATGTTGCAGGTTATGAATTTGAAATAAACTGATGAATTTTACATTTTAGAAATTGTTTCTGCTTTTAACATGAAATTTAGCATAGAATTACATGAATCAGAATGAAAGGAAAGATGATTAGCTTACCAAAACAATGATTTATCCAAATAATATCCTAATTATATCCAATTAATATGATTTAATCCATGAAATGATGATAAAATGCAAGAATCTAGGACGACATGTTGTGCCTGCAAAATCCCAGCAGAAGAGACAGTTGGTTCGAACTGAGCATGAAACTAAAACTTCACTGGCATGAATCTATAAGCTAAAAATTATTACATGAAAAAACAAACTGAGAAATTCTATGGGGCTGCTACTGATAGGTGTGAACTGTTAAAATATACAGGGCTTTACAATTAATGTACAAAATACAAGATAGCTATAGTTGATATCTGAGACAGGTCCAATTAATTGATAATATTTAAACATATTCCTTAATAAAATGAAATTATTACAAAGTGATTATAAATCTTATCTTTAATTGAAATAAAAGTAACGGCACAAAAACATTACATATTGGTGGGTCGTTACATACCTCCCCTCTTTGAAAAGGCATGGCCTAACCTCACAAAACTATGAAACATAACAACATGTCATTGAATACCACTCTAAATATACATCAAATGTTCATAAAAATGATTTAAAAGTAATACATTGTTTATTTTAAAATAATCCTGGCATTTGCCCTGCTGCTCCACCAAGTGATGGATGAACGTAATCAATAGGAGCGCTGGCTCTTCTTAGCGCATCCAGGCAGCTGCTATCAAGTGAATGATGTAACATTTGCATATTCTGGTATCATCATATAATAAGTCACTGGATACTTCACATATAGTATCACTGGATTAAATAATAGAGAAAATCCCCATCCGGACTGAGATTGTTCCTATAAATAATCACTGGATCGTCCATATGGTATACCGCTAGACTGTCATATATTTCTCTGGATCGGTTATTCACTATGAAGTTCATATATAGTTGGTCCTAGAGTGTTCATGATGTAGACTTATGCGTGACAGTGGGGCAGACACCTGGAAATACTAAACATAGAGTGGTAGACAAGACGTTTAAATCCTAACAAAAACAAAGTTACCTTTTAGTACAAAGTTAATTCTAAATCAAAATTACATGATAGCTAAAAATAGTGTATTAAATATTTAAATGATCATCCGCTATAATGAATGATAGAGTTTGGCGAGCTATTCTCAGCCTGGTTAGAAAATGCCATATATCAGGTCATTAAAATATTTTATAAAAAAATTAAAGAATAACTAAATAGCATAAAATAAAAAGTACACGTGCGCTATCAATCACAAGCAGCGAACATCCTGGTAGACATCATAACTGCCACTCTGTGAAAGTTAGCTGACAGGCAAATGCAATCTTCACAAATCAGAGCGCATCACTGCATATTCTGTCATCAGAGTAAAACATTTGCTGATCCAGATTCTCTGTGGAAAGGTCCTTCCTGCACACATCACAGTGCTTGATCAGCCCAATGCTTTACAAGGTGCTCCAGGTCCACTCGTCTCAAACTAAAGACCATTGCAATAGTCCCCTGTTCAAATCCACCCGCACCAATGGAGGGGTCTACCTCTGGCCCTAATACAGCAAGCCTGGTGCCCTCGTGTGGTCCGGCAAGACTAGATGGGGAAACCAACCCAAGTAACTTAAAGGCTCATTAGCAATGTAGGCTATGTGATTAAAATTTGGGGTTTGAAGTATATGTCTTCATTTAATTCATTTACAAAGCATCCTGAAGCCAATAAATGGGGTCCACTCTTACCTCTAGCTCGCCTTTATCTGCCCATATGCCTTCACCACACGAACAGACATGCCCTAGTGGAGGTGGGACAAGCATCAGTTTGAGACCACTTCAAACAATCGTCCATGGTCAACACTATCAAGCGCTCCAGCAAGAGCTTTTGTGAAACACAGAGCTTTACTGCGATAATTATCTTTAGCGCTTGATTTTTCCATCTCAACATCGCTGGGGTGATCAGTCCAAGCGAAATGTATCGCTAAAGCCACTCAATGCAATCAAGAGGGGTGGATCATTGAGTGTCGTATGACATAGCTTGATACACGTGAGACGTAGCGCCTCCCCAAGACAAGAGTTTAGCATCAACTCACAGCAAGATATCACCATTGCCTTGAAGGAAATGGGACGCTTCTCGTTTACAACAACTACTACTGGATTGTAGAGCCATTGCTATTCCTAATATATTACAGCAATGATAATAGCTTGCCCATTCCAAAAGCGTTCAGCCAAAGTGCAGCTTGGGTGATTCAAGCGCAAAAAGGCAAACAACCTTTAGCCTAGATATTTGTGAAATTACACACGATTCTCAGAATGTAGGCCTTCTTTCATCTGTACGTAACTCCACCACAGCATCATCTTCCCAAGAAAAATATGGTCAAGGCGTTGAACCCAAGACATGTATATTGGATCAAGGCGAAGACGAAATGCGACCAAGAATGCGCCATGTGCAATCCATTGGCATATGGACTGCATCTAGGGGCGATCCATTGGCGATCCCCAATCATGACATCTGAATCATAAGATGTATAGAATTTTATTGCAGATATAGGATGTACACAGTACATAGGCAAATCAATTATTATTTCCTACACCAATGTCCCCTTAACTATTATATACACAGAACAGACTGTTCTCATAGCTGAATATGTACATAGTACAAACTGGTTCGATACTGTACGTAAGTGCAGGATCCAAGTTTAACGAATCTTAAGGCTTACCAATAGCCAAAGGAACCGGCTCTAATGCATGTGGCGTTACTAAAATCACCATGTCACAGCCATGGGATAATGCAGCACGATCATTGAAATGCGCATATTGCGGCACAATCAAAATGCGCACATATTTCAGCACAATCAAAGTGTGCTAAAACAAAACAGCAGCATAATTAATACTTGAACTCGTATGGGCTAAATATATGATGAAAGCAGCACAATCACAACATCTCCATAGCACAATAATGTGTGCTTAACTGCGTCGGAGCGGCACTATGAAGGCGCTCGATCACACCGCTGCCTGACCAATGTAGCACCCCAGGGGCAGTGCGCTCTCTAATTACTGATAGATGTTGGTAGCGTAGCGAATAAAATAGCACAACCTGACTCCCGGGGGCGTTACGGTTAATCCCCAGATGGCGCTCCCTCTCTGAAGCCGTCAAATGTGAAAAAGCGAACAGAATAGTGAATTAATTTAATTTTAATTACAAATAAGATCATAACTTTTATTAACTCAAAGTACATTATTTTGCTTGATAAGAATTAAATAAATTCCAAGAATTAATATGAATTGAAATACAAATCAAAGAGAATTACAGATGGCGCTAATCAAATTGCCCTCAAAATAAGGCTGCCAGATATATGCAATGTCATGTTGCGACTTCTTAGCCGCTCTCAACCGCTCCTGGGGGAGAACTGGCAGCGCTGCTAGGTTGGATGATCGCTCCCAGTGCAGCTATCTTTCCTCTCGCTTGGCCGAGCGGGAGGGGTAGCGCAGAAAGGAAGCAACACACCAATGCCAGCCATGACTTGCGGAATGAAATCAATTAATTTCATTTACATTGATTTTTCATAAAGGATATGCGAATGCTCAGGCTAGGATGTTGCAGGTTATGAATTTGAAATAAACTGATGAATTTTACATTTTAGAAATTGTTTCTGCTTTTAACATGAAATTTAGCATAGAATTACATGAATCAGAATGAAAGGAAAGATGATTAGCTTACCAAAACAATGATTTATCCAAATAATATCCTAATTATATCCAATTAATATGATTTAATCCATGAAATGATGATAAAATGCAAGAATCTAGGACGACATGTTGTGCCTGCAAAATCCCAGCAGAAGAGACAGTTGGTTCGAACTGAGCATGAAACTAAAACTTCACTGGCATGAATCTATAAGCTAAAAATTATTACATGAAAAAACAAACTGAGAAATTCTATGGGGCTGCTACTGATAGGTGTGAACTGTTAAAATATACAGGGCTTTACAATTAATGTACAAAATACAAGATAGCTATAGTTGATATCTGAGACAGGTCCAATTAATTGATAATATTTAAACATATTCCTTAATAAAATGAAATTATTACAAAGTGATTATAAATCTTATCTTTAATTGAAATAAAAGTAACGGCACAAAAATATTACATATTGGTGGGTCGTTACACAATTTACACTAAAAAAACAATTAAAATAAACATACAAATGTAGAGGTAAATAATAATATGTACACGTCCAGCCGTTGCCGACTTAGAGAAAGGTAGGTAGAAACATCCCTGAGAATTTCAAATGAATCCCTCAAACGGTTTGGCTGGAAACCTGTAGACAAGCCTTGACAGACAAGATTTTAGGACGGAAAATCCAAAATGGCCGCCTTAACATTTACCCAGAATGCCGAAAAACTAATCAGTTCTAAACTTTCATAGGTAGAAACATCCTTGAGAATTTCAAATGAATCCCTTAAACGGTTTGGCTGGAAACCTGTAGACATACTAGACAAGCCTTGACAGACAAGATTTTAGGACGGAAAATCCAAAATGGCCGCCCTAACATTTACCCAGAATGCCGAAAAACTAATCAGTTCTAAACTTTCATAGGTAGAAACATCCTTGAGAATTTCAAATGAATCCCTTAAACGGTTTGGCTGGAAACCTGTAGACATACTAGACAAGCCTTGACAGACAAGATTTTGGGACGGAAAATCCAAAATGGCCGCCCTAACATTTACACAGAATGCCGAAAAACTAATCAGTTCTAAACTTTCATAGGTAGAAACATCCCTGAGAATTTCAAATGAATCCCTCAAACGGTTTGGCTGGAAACCTGTAGACAAGCCTTGACAGACAAGATTTTAGGACGGAAAATCCAAAATGGCCGCCTTAACATTTACCCAGAATGCCGAAAAACTAATCAGTTCTAAACGTTCACAGGTAGAAACATCCCTGAGAATTTCAAATGAATCCCTCAAACGGTTTGGCTGGAATCCTGTAGACAAGATTATTCGGGACGCCCGCCCGCCCGGCAAACTGATTACAATATAGCACCTAAGGGTGCGATAAAAACATTATACTATTCTGGATTAGACTGAAAACTGTGGAGAAGGTAGAATAAAAAAAATTCATTTGGTCTGTTCACTTAAATAATATAGCATGGATACAATGAAATTATAAAAGTCATTTGATCACCTTATTGATAATTTACATATTTCAAACGCAAAGGGAAAAATCAAATTGGCTACCCAACGTTTTCTTAACCTGGAAACATGAATTATGGAATGACAGTAAATATATAGAAAACGGGAATAAGCTACTAACATACCGCTTATTAGTGCAATCATAAAAAAAATAATATACTAGTACTGTTTTAGCCCATTAAATACACTTGCACAATATGCCACTTTAACATGTTTAATGACTGAGGAAAACATACAATTCCTTCTGGCAAAAAAAGCGTATTTAAAATGTTTAAAATAAAAATTGTATACGATTAATAGCTATCACAGGGAGATATGCCGAGTACTAAAATAGTACTCATGGCATTTTAACGCCGACTGAGTACACATTTCAGTAAATATTAGTACTAAATGAGTACTTATGACATGAGTACTGATTTATGGCATGTTTTAGTACTAAATGAGTATTCATATGATGAGTGACAAAATAGCAGTAATTTCATTGATTTTTTAGCGCTAAATGAGTACTCATATCATAAGTGATAAAATAGTACTAATAAAATTGTTCTCAGCACTGAATGAGTACTCATATCATGAATTGGTACTAAATTAGCACTCATGACATGAGTGCACTTTTGCCAGAATGCTAATTTAGTACTAATTTTGTACTGATTGAGTAATCAGCATATCTCCCTGTGTAGATAAAATTCAGCTTTTTGTCAACAATGTTTTATAACCCCAAGATTTCAATACACAAGTAGTGGTGGGGGTTGATTTGAGAAATCAACTCCACATTTATGGGGGTACATGTATATAGCTTGTTCCTCCAAGACGAGGCAAAAATAAGTCTTAACAAATAATGTAGATTACAAGTACATGTATGAATACCTCACATGAGTCGAAAATGTCACAGATTAAGAACGAACACTATATTAATCAAGATATACATACCTGCATATAATTAGATGCCATTGTAGGTTTTTACAATGATGAGCGTCGTAAGAGTGTTATAGCAATTTCTTTATTGTAAACTCAGATAAATATTCGTCTATTAAAAATATTTAAAAGTACATCTGTATTCGCTTCAATAAATTGGTTTACTGGGAAAGTTTTAGTTTTTTCTCTCATTTTATATCTTTATTTGACATTACATAACTATATTTAATATTATGTAACCATCCTCAGGTGTTGTTTATGATTCTGAGATTGCTCTTTCATTTTAAATCTTAATAATTAGTGGTGAACATGCGCGCCCAACATATAAAAAGAAAATTCCCTATAATTTTGATATCAAATTAATGATTTTCTAAGGAAGATTAATTGAACAAAATTAAGATTGTTCAAGTCAACGTAACTTACCGAGGGTATGATGAGATCCAGGTGTTGTACATTGACGTATAATTATAAACAGTGAATAGACGTGACAAATGAAGACGTAGTTCACAGACTTATAAAAAGGAATTTATATAAACAAGGAATTTATGAACCCTGGTTGACTGGGGATCGACTTGAAACGAAGACATGATGTTTTACTTCGACATGATGTCTTCGTTTCAGCATGGTCGATTCACCTTTATGATATTTAGCCTGTATGTAGTCACTGAGTGCGCATAGGTTCTGTTTTCGAAATATGATTACATTTCAAAAATAGATAAGTAATTATTCGGAAATGTTCAAATCAGTTCATTTGCTTAAAGGAAACGAAAACAATTTTCCTTTTTGTAGCATTGCTACGAAGACATATTGTATTTGCAATTTTAAGCAGTGCATGTATCAAGTTACATGTAATCATATCCCTTGGAGGGTCGTAAGTGCACTTGAAAGCACATTAGATGTTTAGGGAGGGATTGAAACAGTATTTTGAGTTGTCGCCCAGACACATGGACGAACGAAAGGACGGATGACTTCTCTATTCTTTCGGTTGGACAATTATTTCCGCATACCTTAAAACTCAATCGGCCAAGTACATACTAGTAGTACAAATGGGAGAACTAATCCACAGAGGAACATAATTCTACACGTTAACGTAGATGTTTTTTTTAAATACGTGTATCTTAGCCTCCCTATTGTTGGCTCTTTCATCGTGAAAATGAACAATCAAAAGTTTAAAGGACCTATGATTTGCATAAATATTTAATGAACTGCATGAATAATGCATTAAAAACGTGAGTATTGAATAAAAGCCATTTTCAGTTATATGATACCTGATCAGCTATTACTTTTAAAGGTTAGACTAATGATTTGGAAACTGAGATTGTCACGACACGGGTAAGGAGTTCTTTCTAATCATTTAAGTAAGAGAAGTGGGATTTTGATAGTGGCTCTATGTTTATTGTAACTATGTGGGCCATGTATCCATGTACACGTGGCATTGCACAAACCCAGATTATTATCTTGTAAGAGTGCAGACATATCGTTTCAACAGAAACATAGAAGATAGAAATAGAAAAAAATTACATCACAATCATTTTCATGATTCCGTCGCAGAAACGTTTAATTATATCCCTATAGACTACAGACCCATAAACAGGGATCTCAAAACATGACCAAAATATTGCAAGTGCTATTTTCATAAATTACCTGATTGTAGACCACCATCATCTGGGGTTTACGAGAAATAATGGCAAATGCTATTAGTTCTCTTAAGACCCAGTACACATGGTTTATCTAATTTAAACCCTACACTGACTCTTATGAAAGGTAAATGGCCCATGATCAAATTTAAGGGAAATTTTGAAATGAATGAAATTGAATGAGCAAATAGGCCGTTAATAATTCAGCTTTCGTGCACTACATGCATGTGACAGTCTATTGTCTTGTGTGCCACATTGGTTTTAGATAGATTTCAAGGTGTCAAAACTGTACATTCTTTAACATAAACTACAGTTTAATGCCTCTGCAGAATGCTGGAATGGGAGCCAGGACTGCTTTATTTCCCAATCCATAATTTCAAATCAACAGCATATGTCCTTTTTGAGGTACAATAAAAACTGATTCTTCTGTCAAGTCACAACTAGTTCAGCAAATCATTGATTCCATTTCCTAATGTTGTTGTCAAAAGTACACTCTCCTGCCATCTATTTTTCTCTATGTGAGTTAGTGTGAGCAGTTTCTCACAGTACTGGAGCGCCATCTTTAGAGCTCTGCAAATCAAATAATCATAGATACTCTTAAAAGGACTTGGAACTTCTTAGTCGAGTATGTTTCTGGAGTATACTATTCAGTGCTTTATTTTAGGGGTAGACAAACGTACAAGTATAATCCAAGCCATTTTGAAATTCAGCTGCAAAATTCTTTCTCAAACAGAGCTAATGGGCCCCTTGGCATCTGCATATAAAATTTGAACAATGAGATATTTTAGAGAGGAAATTCATCTGATGTGATACATGCACAATGGAAGACACTCACTTGATGCTAGTTTTATTGCATATAGTAGAAGTGTCCAGTGAGAGGTAAAAGTGCAAAGTCAGTAGAAATGTCAGCCTCAACCCTAGTGATAATACTGGTATTCTAGAAAAAGAAATTAAAAAGAGGATTTCAGGACAGAAACAGATCGGATTTAACCCAATGACACTACATGCCTATATGGGATTTATAGTAAAATCCTCTTGCAATAAAATGCTTTTAGAATCTAGAAACACTTGAGAATATGTGCACTTAAGACACATTAATTGATATTGCGCTGCTTTTTATGCTTTTACCAACGAATACAGGCAACAATATCATTCTTATTTCAAAAAGTTCAGTTTCTAGGTATCAAAGGCAAAAGGTTTAACAAGGCACAGACGTTAACAATATCGTACCTAAAACACAGCATTGTGGTCTTGTTGACCAAGAAAGCAAGATGGCCGCAGAAAAGTTAATCAGCTCTAGAACTTATCACTGTGTAACATATGTAAAAATTTGAACGGTTTGGCTGGAAACCTGTAGACAAGTCTTTAAAGTGAAGATTTTAGGACGGAAAATCCAAAATGGCCACCTTAAAATTTACTCACAATGGCGAAAAACTAATCAGTTCTTGACATTGATACGTAGAAACATCCCTGAAAATTTCAGATGAATCCCTCAAATGGTTAGGCTGGAAACCTGTAGACAAGTCTTGAAAGTGAAGATTTTAGAACGGAAAATCCAAAATGGCCACCTTAAAAATTACCCAGAATGCCCAAAAACCAATCAGTTCTTGACATTGATATGTAGAAACATCCCTGAAAATTTCAGATGAATCCCTCAAATGGTTTGGCTGAAAATCTGTATACAAGTCTTGAAAGTGAAGATTTTAGGACGGAAAATCCAAAATGGCCACCTTAAAATTTACTCACAATGGCCAAAAACTAATCAGTTCTTGACATTGATACGTAGAAACATCCCTGAAAATTTCAGATGAATCCCTCAAATGGTTTGGCTGGAAACCTGTAGACAAGTCTTGAAAGTGACGATTTTAGGACGGAAAATCCAAAATGGCCACCTTAAAAATTATCCAGAATGCCCAAAAACCAATCAGTTCTTGACGTTGATATGTAGTAACATCCCTGAAAATTTCAGATGAATCCCTCAAATGGTTTGGCTGAAAATCTGTAGACAAGTCTTGAAAGTGAAGATATTAGGACGGAAAATCCAAAATGGCCACCTTAAAATTTACTCACAATGGCCAAAAACTAATCAGTTCTTGACATTGATACGTAGAAACATCCCTGAAAATTTCAGATGAATCCCTCAAATGGTTTGGCTGGAAACCTGTAGACAAGTCTTGAAAGTGAAGATTTTAGGACAGAAAATCCAAAATGGCCACCTTAAAATTTACCCAGAATGCCCAAAAACCAATCAGTTCATGACGTTGATATGTAGAAACATCCCTGAAAATTTCAGATGAATCCCTCAAATGGTTTGGCTGGAAACCTGTAGACAAGTCTTGAAAGTGAAGATTTTAGGACGGAAAATCCAAAATGGCCACCTTAAAATTAACTCACAATGGCCAAAAACTAATCAAGTCTTGACATTGATACGTAGAAACATCCCTGAAAATTTCAGATGAATCCCTCAAATGGTTTGGCTGGAAACCTGTAGACAAGATGAAAAGTGAGACGCCGCCCGCCACCTGTCAAGCTGACTACAATATCGTACCTCTTGTTAGGTACGATAAAAATTCTGAAGATGGACCTAATGGCAAAATAAAATAACTTTTGTCAATTTTTTAAAATCAACTTTTGTTTTCAAAAATGGGGTATATGGAGTAACACAGATGCTTGAATCGGATCACATGTTGATTACTTACATTTGTAACATAGTATTATATGTGTTTCTTTGTCTTGAATGAAGTTGTTTCGCCTCCAACTGTGACCTCCTGGTCTGCAGCACTCCCTGGATCTGTACACTGACCGCCTTACATGAACACAATATATTTCTACATAGCCGAATCACCTCCTCTTCAGATGGTCCGTTAAAATGTTCATAAGGATTGCTCCTTAACTGACTAGAGTTTCTAGATTGATCTCTTTGGAGAGCTTTTATTTTGCTTTGATTGATATCATTTGCGTGGTTAGAATTATTACTTATGTGATTGACATGTCCCAGAGAATTATCACTCATATATGTCTCGCCACTATTAGTTTCAATGTTATCTTTAACATCATCACAACAGTCAGACCTGACAATATCACAAGTTGTCTTTGTGGGGCCAGGTTTAATGCTATCACTATCAATCTTATCACAGCAGTTTGATCTAGCGGTATCACAGCCATTGGTATCACAGCCAGCTTTATCACAGGTTTCTGAATATGCTGCAGAATGAGTTTTATCAGTTTTATCACAATCATGACTAGAATGATCAACATTCAAAAATTCATTTGGTCCATTTGGAGTAGAGCACGATTGTACTGCATCATTTATGAGTTTGACTTGTTGATAACGATAGAGAGTGGCCACTTTGTGATGTCCACAAACACTGATTAAGGCCTCTAAGCTGAGGTAGGGGTGTATCAATTGGGCCAACTCGAGTCATTTCAGACAAGGATATTCCTTGAGTTTTCTACAAATGGTGGTTATTGCTTTACAAATTGTTTCTTTGTCTCTATCTAGTGATTTCCTGAAAAAGTAAAAAGTACAATGATCAAAATTAGATATAATGGTTGATCAGCTTTTATCAAAATCAAAGTCTTTATTCATTTAAATGCAACTGTCTCTGAATTCATGAGGTTTCCAAGTTTCAACAAAAAATAAGAAGTTATTTCAAAAATGCATAGCTCATATCATGGTGTACATAGAGTATGACCTTACAAGTAGCCCTCAATTTTTCACCCCTCACTATACTATTGTACTTTTGCAAAATTGATGCTAAAGTTTCTTTATTCAAGATTGCTATTATGAATAAGCATGCATGGACGTTTTATTATTTTATTTCTTTAATTGTTCACTTTATTGGACTCCTTGTATTCAAAATACCATGAGATGCGCTTACAGTTTTGTATCACAGGATTCTATGATGTGTTGGATACATTGCCACTCTGACAGCTGGTGTCCTGCATCAAGAATGTCTCGTTTGAGCAATGATATTGGATGGAATCTTGATTCATAACAGTTCATATCTGATATAAGTGATGCCAAGGTATCACTCTGAAAATAAACAAAACCTGCATAGAGATGAGCACAGTAAAACTTGTCTTATTTAAATGCAACTGGGACTAGCCAAAAGTGTACAGATCATATGGCAATTGTTCCCATTTCTAGGTTTTTTAACAATGGTAATCTATGGCGGATTAAAAATGGGACAAAAAATGAGCCAGACCATGAAAATGTAATCTAGCTCAACTAACAATGGAAGTAGAACAGTAGCCTCCAAATGTAAACAACCCAGGTTAGTCTCAATATAAACTTCTAAATAAAACCTTCTATTAGTAAATAACATCCATTCTTTTAGACCCCAAGCAAAATATCTAAACATTGAAAAATACAATAGTCGTTAACTTTAGATGGAACCTTTAAATAGAATACCTTGGTTACATTAGCATCCTCGGGCAGAAACCTGGCAGCTGTTGTGAGACTGATGGCTAGTATAGATGCCGCCACATGTTGTCCTATAGTAGAGAGGTCAAACTGACCATGACTGAGTCTATCCCGGAATCTAACACCTTCAGGATACACTAGATAATCCATGAAAACCATCTGAAAATAAGTATGAACTTAAGCCAATGAGAATGAACAGTGTGCACTTAGATGCCTTGTTTGGTGGCTTATTTCCAGGATCTAAAAATAAGTGTGGCTTTAAATGGTGGTTCGGCAATAAATAAATTATAGGAATTAACAAGGCATTAACATGCAAAATGTCACCAACTGCCATTTGTTACAGATGCTGAATTTAGACTGCCAGACGCTAACTCCCTAGCACCATTACAAAGTTGGAGACCATAACAATATGTCACCATTTTTGGTGGTGACATATAGAAATGTCAGAATTAATAACATTGTGCTGTAAAACGTTGGTGAGGTAGTTGCCATAGATATGGGGGGCCCTGCCCATATAATGATAGAGTGTTAGAATATTTTGCAAAAAATATCTAGTAGGTATACATACTAATTAACATCCATATATTCATTGCTCACACTTTTTCATAGTATTTATTCAAATTACCAAACAGCCATCTCCTAGACATTCTCTGAGTTTATTTATGGACCCGTCTTGTAACACTGGGCTCAGTATCTAAAACAAAACAAAATATGAAATTAGGACATACGTGTCCTCTGGAAAGTTATGAATACTATAAATCAATTACTTATAGTATAGTAAAAATGCTGAGTTGTCCAAAACAAGCAAAAGTAGGAGCTATATCCTTATAAAAAGTGGTGTAAATTACCACAATTCAGTCTCAGATTTCATAAAGAACTGTTGACAGACTGATGGACAAACAGACGAGTTGGTGATTCTATGGGGCTCACCATGTGATCTAAACACATCGGTTTTAATTAATATAGAATGCTACATGTTCTGTTACCAAATTCCAAATTGGTCAATAAACAGGATTACAGTCATTATCACAAACAAATAATTTGCCACTGATATCAACTTACTTCTAAAAATACATGATGCAAAAATTGTTGAGGACAACTTTTTTGACTACCCTAATAACTTCATTATATTTTTGCTTGTTGTGGTTTAATATGTACCTCGTCAAAAGTAGTAAAGTGTACAGCTGATTCGGCAGTTAGTACTCTCTCAGGGCAGTTGTTAACACTGGCATAGACACACCTCATACTGTGCTCTAGTAAGGGAACAAGCAGCACAACACAGTTGTAATATCTGGAACAAACACATTGTATATAATACATTGTACTCTCTTAGTGCAGTTGTTAACACTGGCATAGACACATCATATACAGTGCTCTAGTAAGGGGACAAGTAGCACAACACAGTTGTCATATCTGGAACATACACATTGTATATCATACATTGTACTCTCTCAGTGCAGTTGTTAACACTGGCATAGACACATCTCATACTGTGCTCTAGTAAGGGGACAAGTAGCACAACATAGTTGTCATATCTGGAACATACACATTGCATGTCATACATTGTACTCTCTCAGGGCAGTTGTTAACACTGGCATAGACTCATCTCATACTGTGCTCTAGTAAGGGGACAAGTAGCACAACACAGTTGTCATATCTGGAACATACACATTGTATATCCTACATTGTACTCTCTCAGGGCAGTTGTTAACACTGGCATAGACACACCTCATACTATGCTCTAGTAAGGGGACAAGTAGCACAACACAGTAATCATATCTGGAACATACACATTGCATATCTTACATTGTACTCTCTCAGTGCAGTTGTTAACACTGGCATAGACACATCTCATACTATGCTCTAGTAAGGGGACAAGTAGCACAACACAGTTGTCATATCTGGAACATATACATTGTTTATCATACATTGTACTCTCTCAGGGCAGTTGTTAACACTGGCATAGACTCATCTCATACTGTGCTCTAGTAAGGGGACAAGTAGCACAACACAGTTATCATATCTGGAACATACACATTGTATATCATACATTGAACTCTCTCAGGGCAGTTGTTAACACTGGCATAGACACATCATATACTATGCTCTAGTAAGGGGACAAGTAGCACAGTTATCATATCTGGAACATACACATTGTATATCATACATTGAACTCTCTCAGGGCAGTTGTTAACACTGGCATAGACACATCATATACTATGCTCTAGTAAGGGGACAAGTAGCACAACACAGTTGTCATATCTGGAACATATACATTGTTTATCATACATTGTACTCTCTCAGTGCAGTTGTTAACACTGGCATAGACACATCTCATACTGTGCTCTAGTAAGGGGACAAGTAGCACAACATAGTTGTCATATCTGGAACATACACATTGTATATCCTACATTGTACTCTCTCAGGGCAGTTGTTAACACTGGCATAGACACATCTCATACTGTGCTCTAGTAAGGGGACAAGTAGCACAACACAGTTGTCATATCTGGAACATACACATTGTATATCATACATTGTACTCTCTCAGTGCAGTTGTTAACACTGGCATAGACACATCTCATACTGTGCTCTAGTAAGGGGACAAGTAGCACAACACAGTTGTCATATCTGGAACATACACATTGTATATCATACATTGTACTCTCTCAGGGCAGTTGTTAACACTGGCATAGACTCATCTCATACTGTGCTCTAGTAAGGGGACAAGTAGCACAATACAGTTGTCATATCTGGAACATACACATTGTATATCATACATTGTACTCTCCCGGGGCAGTTGTTCACACTGGCATAGACACATCTCATACTGTGCTCTAGTAAGGGGACAAGTAGCACAACACAGTTATCATATCTGGAACATACACATTGTATATCATACATTGTACTCTCTCAGGGCAGTTGTTCACACTGGCATAGACACATCTCATACTGTGCTCTAGTAAGGGGACAAGTAGCACAACACAGTTATCATATCTGGAACATACACATTGTATATCATACATTGTACTCTCTCAGGGCAGTTGTTCACACTGGCATAGACACATCTCATACTGTGCTCTAGTAAGGGGACAAGTAGCACAACACAGTCATCATATCTGGAACATACACATTGTATATCATACATCGTACTCTCTCTGGGCAGTTGTTCACACTGGCATAGACACATCTCATACTGTGCTCTAGTAAGGGGACAAGTAGCACAACACAGTCATCATATCTGGAACATACACATTGTATATCATACATCGTACTCTCTCTGGGCAGTTGTTAACACTGGCATAGACACATCTCATACTGTGCTCTAGTAAGGGGACAAGTAGCACAACACAGTTGTCATATCTGGAACATACACATTGTATATCATACATTGTACTCTCTCAGGGCAGTTGTTCACACTGGCATAGACACATCTCATACTGTGCTCTAGTAAGGGGACAAGTAGCACAACACAGTTATCATATCTGGAACATACACATTGTATATCATACATTGTACTCTCTCAGGGCAGTTGTTCACACTGGCATAGACACATCTCATACTGTGCTCTAGTAAGGGGACAAGTAGCACAACACAGTCATCATATCTGGAACATACACATTGTATATCATACATCGTACTCTCTCAGTGCAGTTGTTCACACTGGCATAGACACATCTCATACTATGCTCTAGTAAGGGGACAAGTAGCACAATACAGTTGTCATATCTGGAACATACACATTGTATATCATACATTGTACTCTCTCAGGGCAGTTGTTAACACTGGCATAGACTCATCTCATACTGTGCTCTAGTAAGGGGACAAGTAGCACAACACAGTCATCATATCTGGAACATACACATTGTATATCATACATTGTACTCTCTCAGTGCAGTTGTTCACACTGGCGTAGACACATCTCATACTGTGCTCTAGTAAGGGGACAAGTAGCACAACACAGTTGTCATATCTGGAACATACACATTGTTTATCATACATTGTACTCTCTCAGTGCAGTTGTTAACACTGGCATAGACACATCTCATACTGTGCTCTAGTAAGGGGACAAGTAGCACAACACAGTTGCCATATCTGGAACATACACATTGCATATCATACATTGAACTCTCTCAGGGCAGTTGTTCACACTGGCATAGACACATCTCATACTATGCCCTAGTAAGGGGACAAGTAGCACAACACAGTTATCATATCTGGAACATACACATTGTATATCATACATTGAACTCTCTCAGGGCAGTTGTTAACACTGGCATAGACACATCTCATACTGTGCTCTAGTAAGGGGACAAGTAGCACAACACAGTTGTCATATCTGGAACATACACATTGTATATCATACATTGTACTCTCCCGGGGCAGTTGTTCACACTGGCATAGACACATCTCATACTGTGCTCTAGTAAGGGGACAAGTAGCACAACACAATTGTCATATCTGGAACATACACATTGTATATCATACATTGTACTCTCTCAGGGCAGTTGTTAACACTGGCATAGACACATCTCATACTGTGCTCTAGTAAGGGGACAAGTAGCACAACACAGTCATCATATCTGGAACATACACATTGTATATCATACATTGTACTCTCTCAGTGCAGTTGTTCACACTGGCATAGACACATCTCATACTGTGCTCTAGTAAGGGGACAAGTAGCACAATACAGTTGTCATATCTGGAACATACACATTGTATATCATACATTGTACTCTCTCAGTGCAGTTGTTCACACTGGCATAGACACACCTCATACTGTGCTCTAGTAAGGGGACAAGTAGCACAACACAGAAATCATATCTGGAACATACACATTGCATGTCATACATTGTACTCTCTCTGGGCAGTTGTTCACACTGGCATAGACACATCTCATACTATGCTCTAGTAAGGGGACAAGTAGCACAACACAGTTGTCATATCTGGAACATACACATTGTATATCATACACTGTACTCTCAGTGCAGTTGTTCACACTGGCATAGACACATCTCATACTATGCTCTAGTAAGGGGACAAGTAGCAAAACACAGTTGTCATATCTGGAACATACACATTGTATATCATACATTGTACTCTCTCAGGGCAGTTGTTAACACTGGCATAGACACATCTCATACTATGCTCTAGTAAGGGGACAAGTAGCAAAACACAGTTGTCATATCTGGAACATACACATTGTATATCATACATTGTACTCTCTCAGGGCAGTTGTTAACACTGGCATAGACACATCATATACTATGCTCTAGTAAGGGGACAAGTAGCACAGTTATCATATCTGGAACATACACATTAGGGTGGTCCAAAATATGGCGAAAAACCAACTTTCTTTCGGATCATTTTCCTCATTTGACTTACTGTTGTCCATGACCTAAAACACCTGCACACCAAATTTTGAGACCCAAATCCCATGGGAAATTTACCCACGCTTTGACTGAAAAATTCGGTTATTTCATGATTTTTTTGCTTTTTTCGATAAATTGCCATCTCCTTTTTCCTGGTATAAAATGTTTCTATTTTTTCATAATAAACATTTTTGTAGGACTCTTTATTACTTAATAATACTAGGAGCCCAAACACCAAATTTTGAGACCCAAATCCCATGTGAAATTTACCCATGCTTTGACTGAAAAATTGTGATTTTCACAGTTTTGTCCGATTTTCAATAGATTACTGTCTCCATTTTCCTGGTATAATATGTTTCTATTTTTTCATAATAAATATTTTTGGATGACTCTTTATTACTTACTAGGAACCCATACATTTTGAGACCCAAATCCCATGGGAAATTTACCCATGGTTTGACTGAAAAATTGTGATTTTCACATTTTTTCCGATTTTCAGTAAATTGCTGTCTTCATTTTCCTGGTACGATATGTTTTTATAATAAACATTTTTGAGGACTCTTTATTACTTCATAATACTAAAAACCCATACACCAAATATCCACCAAATTTTGAGACCCAAATCTAATGAGAACGTTACCCATGCTTTGACTGAAAACTGGTGCTTATGATGTCTGTTTTAGGGGCATAATATGTTAATAAACATTATGGTAATTCCTTCTTAATCCAAAGAAACACCTAAATATCATGACTTTAAGTCTTATTGAAAGGCGACAAATTCAGTAGTTTGGGGAAAATTTAGGATCTTTTACTTGTACATTTATATACTGTGGTTAATATTAAGAAGTGATGACTCAACAGCAACTCAAATGCCTTGAAGATTTGGTTTGTTGGTTTCAGTAGGGATACATCACAGGACTTTGTTTGGATTTGTGTGAGATGTCATATTCTTTCTCACATCTTTGCAGGGTAAGGTCAAATATCAAATTTGATTTTCTTTGGAGAAATGATTTTTTGATTGATCAATGTATCAATGGCATGGTCTCTGTTGTAACCAGTAAGCCTGTACCAAATCTTCAAGGGATTTGAGCTTCCACTGAGCTTTGTCATTTCTCTGAAAATGTTCATGCCCTGAAAGTACACAATGTAGAAGATAGGAAGAGCAATGAGAAACACTTAAGGTAATTCTGTATGTTCAGAAATTTTAAGTGGAGTCCAATGTTATTTCTGGAACTCATTCTATACTTGGTCAGCTCTTTCAATTTTACACTGAGTTCAAATATGTATTTAGATTATTAGCTGATGGTTAGTAATTTTCTATAATGTACTATGTGCTATGTTTATACACTGTTTGTGCATCTGAATGGAATGAGTTATGTGTTCCTGAAAAAACACGGGGCTCCAATTAGGAAGCCATTAAAGCCATTAAAACTGAAAATAAGGAATTACCTTAAAGTACTTTATAACCATCTTTCACGATGTAACGTATGTAAGGCCAAACAGGATAATTAAGACAACGTGTAATACAATTTATTACAAATTGCACATCACACAACAATGATATGGCGCTCTAAACGACAAAAATCAAAAGTATATGATCAAAGCAAACGTGAATTTCCCATGGGGTTCAGGTCTAAACATTTGGTACACATTAAATGTATGGGTTCCTAGTATTAAGAACGTATTAATGTCCTCCTAAAATGTTTAAAATCTAAATAAAAGATTAATGTTGATCTATTGAAAATAGGAGAAAATTCGCAGAAAATCACAAATTTTTGGTTGAAGCATGAATTAATTTCTCATGGGGCCAGGGTCTCAAAATTTGGTGCATATTTGGGGTATGGGTTCCTCGTATTATGAAGTAATAAAGAGTCCTCCCAAAATATTTATTATAAAAAATAGAAACATATAATACCAGGAAAATAGAGATGTATTGTATTGTATATGAAATAACCCAATTTTTCAGTCGAAGCGTGGGTAAATTTCCCATGGGATTTGGGTCTCAAAATTTGATGTATGGGTTCCTAAGTATTATGAAGTAATAAAGAGTCATCCAAGAATATTTATTATGAAAAGACATCTACCATTTTATACCAGGAAAATGGAGATGGCAATTTATCGAAAATAGCAAAAAATCATGAAATAACCGAATTTTTCAGTCGAAGCGTGGGTAAATTTCCCATGGGATTTGGGTCTCAACATTTGGTGTATGGGTTCCTAGTATTATGAAGTAATAAAGAGTCCTACAAAAATGTTTATTATGAAAAAATAGAACATATTATACCAGGAAAAGGGAGATGACAATTTATCGAAAATAGCAAAAAATCATGAAATAACCGAATTTTCAGTCGAAGCGTGGGTAAATTTCCCATGTGATTTGGGTCTTAAAATTTGGTGTGCATGTGTTTTAGGTCATGGACAACAGTAAGTGAAATGAGGAAGATGATCTGAAACAAAGTTGGTTTTTCGCCATATTTTGGACCACCCTAATACACATTGTATATCATACATTGTACTCTCTCAGTGCAGTTGTTCACACTGGCATAGACACATCTCATACTATGCTCTAGTAAGGGGACAAGTAGCACAACACAGTTGTCATATCTGGAACATACACATTGTATATCATACACTGTACTCTCTCAGGGCAGTTGTTTACACTGGCATAGACACATCTCATACTGTGCTCTAGTAAGGGGACAAGTAGCACAACACAGTTGTCATATCTGGAACATACACATTGTATATCATACATTGTACTCTCTCAGTGCAGTTGTTCACACTGGCATAGACACATCTCATACTGTGCTCTAGTAAGGGGACAAGTAGCACAACACAGTTGTCATACCTGGAACATACACATTGTATATCATACATTGTACTCTCTCAGGGCAGTTGTTCACACTGGCATAGACACATCTCATACTGTGCTCTAGTAAGGGGACAAGTAGCACAACACAGATGTCATATCTGGAACATACACATTGTGTATCATACATTGTACTCTCTCAGGGCAGTTGTTAACACTGGCATAGACACATCTCATACTGTGCTCTAGTAAGGGGACAAGTAGCACAACACAGTTGTCATATCTGGAACATACACATTGTATATCATACATTGTACTCTCTCAGTGCAGTTGTTCACACTGGCATAGACACATCTCATACTGTGCTCTAGTAAGGGGACAAGTAGCACAACACAGTTGTCATATCTGGAACATACACATTGTATATCATACATTGTACTCTCTCAGTGCAGTTGTTCACACTGGCATAGACACATCTCATACTGTGCTCTAGTAAGGGGACAAGTAGCACAACATAGTTGTCATATCTGGAACATACACATTGTATATCATACATTGTACTCTCCCGGGGCAGTTGTTCACACTGGCATAGACACACCTCATACTATGCTCTAGTAAGGGGACAAGTAGCACAATACAGTTATCATATCTGGAACATACACATTGTATATCATACATTGTACTCTCTCAGGGCAGTTGTTAACACTGGCATAGACTCATCTCATACTGTGCTCTAGTAAGGGGACAAGTAGCACAACACAGTCATCATATCTGGAACATACACATTGTATATCATACATTGTACTCTCTCAGGGCAGTTGTTAACACTGGCATAGACACATCATATACAGTGCTCTAGTAAGGGGACAAGTAGCACAATACAGTTGTCATATCTGGAACATACACATTGTATATCATACATTGTACTCTCTCAGGGCAGTTGTTCACACTGGCATAGACACATCTCATACTATGCCCTAGTAAGGGGACAAGTAGCACAACACAGTCATCATATCTGGAACATACACATTGTATATCATACATTGTACTCTCTCAGTGCAGTTGTTAACACTGGCATAGACACATCTCATACTGTGCTCTAGTAAGGGGACAAGTAGCACAACATAGTTGTCATATCTGGAACATACACATTGTATATCCTACATTGTACTCTCTCAGGGCAGTTGTTAACACTGGCATAGACACATCTCATACTGTGCTCTAGTAAGGGGACAAGTAGCACAACACAGATGTCATATCTGGAACATACACATTGTATATCATACACTGTACTCTCTCAGGGCAGTTGTTTACACTGGCATAGACACACCTCACACTATGCTCTAGTAAGGGGACAAGTAGCACAACACAGTCATCATATCTGGAACATACACATTGTATATCATACATTGTACTCTCTCAGTGCAGTTGTTAACACTGGCATAGACACATCTCATACTGTGCTCTAGTAAGGGGACAAGTAGCACAACACAGTTGTCATATCTGGAACATACACATTGTATATCATACATTGTACTCTCTCAGTGCAGTTGTTAACACTGGCATAGACACATCTCATACTGAGCTCTAGTAAAGGGACAAGTAGCACAACACAGTTGTCATATCTGGAACATACACATTGTATATCATACATTGTACTCTCTCTGGGCAGTTGTTCACACTGGCATAGACACATCATATACTGTGCTCTAGTAAGGGGACAAGTAGCACAACACAGTTGTCATATCTGGAACATACACATTGTATATCATACACTGTACTCTCAGTGCAGTTGTTCACACTGGCATAGACACATCTCATACTATGCTCTAGTAAGGGGACAAGTAGCACAACACAGTAATCATATCTGGAACATACACATTGCATATCTTACATTGTACTCTCTCAGGGCAGTTGTTCACACTGGCATAGACACATCTCATACTATGCTCTAGTAAGGGGACAAGTAGCACAACACAGTAATCATATCTGGAACATACACATTGTATATCATACATCGTACTCTCTCTGGGCAGTTGTTCACACTGGCATAGACAGATCTCATACTATGCTCTAGTAAGGGGACAAGTAGCACAACACAGTCATCATATCTGGAACATACACATTGTATATCATACATTGTACTCTCTCTGGGCAGTTGTTAACACTGGCATAGACACATCTCATACTGTGCTCTAGTAAGGGGACAAGTAGCACAACACAGTTGTCATATCTGGAACATACACATTGTACATCATACATTGTACTCTCTCAGTGCAGTTGTTAACACTGGCATAGACACATCTCATACTATGCTCTAGTAAGGGGACAAGTAGCACAATACAGTTGTCATATCTGGAACATACACATTGTACATCATACATTGTACTCTCTCAGTGCAGTTGTTCACACTGGCATAGACACATCTCATACTATGCTCTAGTAAAGGGACAAGTAGCACAACACAGTTGTCATATCTGGAACATACACATTGTATATCGTACATTGTACTCTCTCTGGGCAGTTGTTCACACTGGCATAGACACACCTCATACTGTGCTCTAGTAAGGGGACAAGTAGCACAACATAGTTGTCATATCTGGAACATACACATTGTATATCATACATTGTACTCTCTCCGGGCAGTCGATAATACTGTGGCATAGACACATCATAAACTAGAAAATATTACAACCTGCCATTTGTCACAGTTGCCAAACACCAAACACCACCCACCAAACTCTAAATGCCAAACATCGTCCATAAAAAAGTTGGACACATAATAATATGTCACGACTTGTGGTCTATAGTGTAAATACAGGAAGAAGGATGTAATGTAAAAACACATATGTTCATGTCAATTTGGGGATTCACTATTATTTGGATAAACAATAGATATAAATCTGTTAATTTTGCTCAAAAAACAAGAACAGCAAGTAAGACAGATATAACGCAATGGTGACAGGTAGATGGATGATTCACTATGATCGACAAATTTGATATTTTGTTAAACAACAAATAGAAATGCATATACACAAATAATCTAATATTTTTTTGCTTATTTTCATTTTATTTTGCCTATTGCCAATAATACTAATGATATTCCTCTTAGTGACAAAACAATAATGGTTTAAACACTAATTCATATCATAATTGGCATCAATATTTGAATGGCTTCTTACCTCCGTGCTGTGAAATGAGCTATAGCCTCAAACCAATTTGTCTTCATAATATGCGGAATAAAGTCACTATTGCGAATAACTTCTTTGAAGGTAATTTCATCTAATTTATCTATGCCTGGAAATAAAGTGAATGGATTCAAAGAATAGCTATTATATATAATTTTATTTAACCTCTTGACTACCCAGAGGCCTTATTCACAATGTGTCGCATCCTATGCGATTGCGACATCGCAATCGCCATCGCAAAAATCGCTAAAATTCTTATTCACAATCAAAGTGCGATTGCGACTTAGCAATTCAATCGCATTAATAGCGTCATATAATTGCGACTACCCTCAACCAGCCGCAATACAGTCGCAATATTAAGGGTTGCTTTATGTTTTAATTAAATGCGTTTAGCGTTCTCCGAATTATCTGCTATTTTAATACAACGTTTTTCGGTATACTAACCAACATTCGATTTAAAAAAAATCGTAATTTCATGTGTTCTGACGAGATAATAAGGGTCTAAAGTCGTCTTAAATAATGGAAGAATATTTTCTATATTTCATCTAAAATTGCTATCAATGAATCGCAATGTTATAATTCCCGCCATTATCAGTCGTCTGAGACACCGTAAAACAAAATGGCGATGATAGCGGTGAACCGCAGACAGCATCTCGTAAGACCAAGATTATTTCGCGACAGAACACATCCATTGGATATTTACGATGATCATGAGATGATCGAGAGGTATCGTCTTTTTATGAGGGAATGGACATGAACTTTAATTCCATTAATAGATAAAGAGATTGTTGTATGGGGTTTTCTTCTTAGATTCAGCCCCACCCTGAATGAAATTTATATTTGCCCCGGGGATCGTGGTGCAATCGGTTACTCACAACAGACCATTATGTTCCCCAATATTTTAACTTGTATTCCATGATTCCCAAATAATTGTAACGGACTTGTTAATTATAATTAAAACAAATATTTTTATTCCAAGCTTTACAGTTCTCTAATTAATGCAATAAGTACATTTATCTTAATGGATCAAATGCTTTGCCAATTGTATGTCTCTTCATAAATATTTCCTAATTGAACATCAATCATATCAAATTTTAAATTCTTAACTTTCAATTCTAGATTCTCAATTTCATAAACTTCTCAAACTTCTCAAACTCCTCAAACTCGCTTGGCCTGTGATAATTATATAAAATAATCTCGATGTGAGGTTTGTAAAGTGTGTTTTTACATTTTACAAACATATATGTTTCATGTCAAATGCAGATCCTTGTTGAATGATTTAATTCCTATAATATATCCGCGCTTGTTAAATAAAAGAACTTCTCATACAAATAATGAATAATAAATATTAATTGAAAATACTTCGTCCCTCATTTGCCTTATTCCGAAGCCGCGCAAATTACCCGTATCAAATTTGTTTCCCCTTTCTCCCTCTTTCCATGTTTCCAATCCATTCTCTTTCCATGTTTCCAATCCATTCACAGATCCCTTCAAGATTCCCCATTTCAACTCCGTTCCCAGTTCCGAGTTTGTTTCGAGTTCCCCGTTGGTTCCGCGCTTTCGATCCGTTCCCAGTTCTCCCTGAATCAAGTCTAAACTGCCATTTATATACCCGTAAGCGATGCTATTCTTAGCTAGGGGCCGCGTGACGTCATTTACGTATGAAAGTAGAATTGATACAAGAATGAATCATAATCGGAAATGATTCCATTTATGGTATTGACCGGAAATTATGCCTTATAAGGAAGGTGAGTAATAGTTCTTCTATATGTGAGATCGGCGGTAATTTTTGAATCAAAGAAAGTGTACAATGTTTGAATTTTGAGTTACAACATTTACAGTAAAGTTGCTAATTAACACATTGCTATCCTAATGCGATTGCTATTGCTACGCGATTGCGATATCACGTCATTGTGAATACCGCGCCAAAATTGCGATGTCGCAATCGCATAGCAATAGCAATCGCATTCAAATTGCGATGCTTTGTGAATAAGGCCTCAGAGTGACAATATTTCTTGTCACCTCAGATATGACCAATCCAGGGTGACGAGAAAATCTGTCACAAATTTTTTCACTAAGTTGCTCTTATTTCAACAATTCCAATTTACAAAAAAAAATTTAAGATGTGTAGAAACGATCTCCCTCATCTAATTATACTAACATGAGCATTATCTGTTGTATATGGGTGTAGTCAAATGCCAATAGCTGGCAAAAATGAATAATTCTCTGGTTTCAACCAATTTTAGAGCTGGCATTCAAGAGGTTTAATCAGCATCTGACAAATATCTTTTTGTATGGGATATATATACATCATAATTAATATTATTCGGGTATTCATATTTGGAAATCAATAATTTAAAGGGCAAATCTTCTTTGTTTGTATATTTCATACAATAGTAAAAAGCATCAAAGAGATCTTTTAAGTTGGGGAAATACTCTTAGAACTCCTCAAAATACTGAATGAGGTTTTGATTTTTTAGAATGTTTAAAGAGGTATTCATCAATTAATAAATGAGTATCAATTGAGAAATTAACATGAGCATGAAATCAATTTTCAATATAGAGAAAGTAAAATAACCCTTTAAAGCATTCAGACAAGCACTGACTGATATAATCTGTAAAGATTCTAAAATTGCTATTAAAAGGTTGCTCTCAAGAAGTTAGTTGAACACATCAAACAATTACATATTATGATATTATTAGGTACGATATCAGAGCATATTGGCAATATCCGTGTCAACCACCTGTCACTCCCATGTCATATTTTCCATTTAAGGCCACACGTGGCCAAATGAAAACGTGTAACTGCTGAAGGCTCATGGACAAAACCCAATCGCACAATGCCCATGGCTGCACTAACATGTAAGTCATTGAAACTTTACGTGCGTCAACTGCATGACAGACAAATTTGAAGCAGCAATTCACAAAAACAAGTGCTCGAAAATATCTAGAAAAGAACAAACAGAAGCCGGGAAAGTTGCGACAACCTGTCAGTTAACGCATCTTTACATCCGGTGAATTAGAAAACTTGCTGATATGAGGGAACAGATCAAAATATGAGAAAAACAGATGGCTGTATAGGACTATATAATATTACAACACCTGGAATACTTGTTATTGCGGTCTATTTATTGTGCTAATATTGTGTAAGGAGACCTAATCAATTTAATAAATAGTACAACAATTGGAGCTGGCCTAATTTTGTTATGTATAGCAAATTATGAATTGACATATATACACTATAATAACACAATTGCAATTCATTCTCCATGTAATATTATGTAATGCCCCCTATGGTTAAAAGGTTCCACAAATTGTATTTTGACATCAGTTGAGGTATGAAAACAAGAAGGTGAAAGTCTGAGGATCCGTATGGCAAAATATAAATTGGAAAATATTTATGAAGATGCGTAATTGCTCACAAAAATTCTAGGAAGTAATATTCATTTGTCAACACGTCATAATATTTATATTGGTTGGTTAGGTCCTCGATTTTAAACCATATTAATAGCTGAGGAGCAGTTTGAATTACATAATTTGGACGGAGCACTACGCTAAATAAGGATATCTGAACTATACTGTGATAGGCAATTTCAAAAAAGGAAAAAACAATATCACCATAAAATAATAATGATAAGAAATATAACGAAATGTAAAATATCATTGGATTGTATGGGGCCTATAGGTCATTCAAATCAATTTGTGAAATTCTTCATATTTATCATACTGTGTCTGCTCTTACAAACTGGAGACTTTAAAGTCTGTAATCTAGATTCAAGACCAGCTCAAGATGGCGTATGTGGAGATAAACTTCCAGAGCTGGTCAAACTGTTCTGTGCTAACTACGGTGGGACATACAGCCCCCCAGGAAAAAGAACAATGGAATCTCGAGGTATAGGTATGTATCAATTTTGGAATTTAATTCATAGCTCAGCATTGCATGTACAGTAAAACCTGTATATTTGAACACCTTTAACAGTTTAGTATAGTGAACACCTTTCTCTCTGTTTCATGATAAAAATTGAAATGTGAACACCTACTATGCCAAACACTTTTGGCTGGTTCCAGTAATATTCAGATTAGACAGGACTTATCTGTTATGCCTCTTTTCTACAAATCAGATTCAAAAAGTGTTCATTTACCAAGTTAAATTTACAGTGTTCATATTCAAAGTTACATTCTTCACATTTCTGCCTTTTAAATCTTAGCAGTAAGTATCCGATAATAGGAAAGTCTAAGATATAATGTAAATATAAGTCTCATAATTCATTGCCATGGTAACGAATATGATTTGAAATATTAACACTTTAAGAGCATTAATATTTATGTGTTAATTCACTCTTGAGCTTCTAACAGGCTCAATCAAGGTGAAATTAGCCCATCTGGTCCATGATATAGTGTCATTTTTATGTACTGGGTGTACCTTTCACAATATTTCACCCTCAATTCAGACTCAATTTTCATTTAAAATGCCCAGAAATCTCATGGAATACCCTCAATTTCACTTGCAGAATTCATCATTTCAACTTGCAGGGTTGTATATACAGGGTGGGCCAAAAAACAATACCCAAGTTTAAAGATAAATGAATCAGAATGATTCATATGATATATCTTAAACCATGCCATGTATTATATATCATTTTAAAGATAAATCTTTTCCAAATAATATGACACCATTCACAATGATTTTTTAATCGGATAGTGTCATATTGTTAAATGATTTAGCTTTAAAATGATATATAATACATGGCATGATTTAACATATATCATATGATATTCTATTTAAAATTGGGTATTGGTTTTCTTGGTCTACCCTGTACAGTGGTACATGTACAGGGTGTCAAATGGCTTTGTGCCCCCCTTCCACAGCATAAACTTAGAAAGGTACCTACACATTATGTATGTCATTGGAAAGAGCATTCAATTCTGGATAAAATAAACCCTAGATGACCTAGGTCAGATATTGCTACATAGTGTCACATGCATTTTAAATGTACTAGTGTAGTGCTCTATTTCATTGATTTTTGAGAATCTGGCATAGACTTTTTTGGTATTGATGAATACCCGAGCAACAGCCCTGACCTGAATGCTGCAGAGCACATGGGGTCCATATTAATGGATAAAACAGAGCAACTTATTGACACTGAAGCTGCAGAGAACAGATATTCCAAAGATGCCCTGCTCAAGAACCTCCGAAAAGTATTAAAATCTCTTGAGAAAGACACAGCCCTTTTCAATTCCCTTTTAGCTTCATATCCGGCTAGATTGGTAGCTATTAAGGCTGCCCAAGGGGGTCATACTCACTTTTTAAAGTAAGTTAAAAACATATCTTATTTTTCATCATGCATCTTCATCTTTTCACATGTTAACAATAACCAAATGCTCTTTCCAATGGTATATGGTATGTGTGTGTATCTTTCCTAGTTTATGCCGTGGAGGGGGGTCACAACGCCATTTGACACCCTGTACATATCTCAATATAATAAAAGACACAAAATGAATGTAGTTTTTGATTTCAGAGCCCCTTAGTATTGTGTATTAAAAAAACTTGTGTCATGGCAAGTCATACTTTTTAAACAGGCTTTTTAAACTCCATGCTATCAAAACAAAATTACTTTGATAAAACTGAAAAACAGAAAAATCCTCCCCAAATGTGGTAGATAAAACTGCATCAAATTATTTCATGGACAAATTTTTTTGTAGATAAGCGTCCAGTGCCAAAGGCCAGACCGGGCTTTCTAATGGATAAGCGAGAGGCTCAAACTTTTCTACAACATGTTCAAAAAAGAGCGTTAGTGTGCGAATGCTGCTTTCACGCCTGTAATTATCAGAGAGAAATAAGGAAATATTGTGCATATTAACGTAGACATTACAATCTTTTTCCTAAGATCTGGACAAAAAATTGGGATAAAATGCTTATTCTGTCCAAACTCTTTCTTGACTTTTGTCATTTTTAAGTTATTACAAAATGGGTGGAAGCCTATTTTCAAAATTGTATGTGGGTGGAAGCCTATTTTCAAAATTGTAAGTGGGTGGAAGCCTATTTTCAAAATCTTGAGTTAGTTGATCCTATTTTCAAAATCTTAACTAAGGCAGTAGCCTATTTTCAAATTTTTAATTGGGTGGAAAGCTATTTTCAAAATCTAAGTTAGGGGAAGCCTATTTTCAAAATCTCCATTGGGTAGAAGCTTATATTCAAAATGGAAGTGGGTGGTGGCCTATTTTCAAAATTGTAAGTTGGTGGAAGCCTATTTTCAAAATCTTGAGTTATTTAGTTGATCCTATTTTCAAAATCTTAACTTAGGCAGTAGCCTATTTTCAAAATTTTAATTGGGTGGAAAGCTATTTTCAAAATCTAAGTTAGGGGAAGCCTATTTTCAAAATCTTCATTGGGTAGAACCCTTTTGTCAAAATCTTCATTGGGTAGGAGTCTATTTTCAAAATCTTAAGTGGGTAGCGGTCTATTTTGAAAATCTTAAGTGTGTACAGCAACCCTTTGATTTGATGCTAGGAAGATGAATATAATGGACACAGCTAAGAATGTACAGAAGACTGGATGGAGGTTACCATACCAACAACATGCAGGCTACTATAGAAACTGAATCCAAATTAGTAGATAATGGATTACATGAATAACGCACAAAACTAACAAAAAATAACCATTGACAAATGAATTATGACTTCTGATACATGTATATAGCTTATGAGAGGAAATATTTCAATCTGTGCTACTTGCTTATTTCCAGTATTTCAGTTTCACCCTATACAGACTGTGCTATGCCGAAATAAGTGGTGCTGATATCATGTATGCCGACATGCCTTAGTTTGTGAAATATCACAAATAAAAATTCAAAAATGACTGTAATATCCGCACTGTGCCAACATAGTATCCACACCGCTTGTATTCATATAGCGCAGTCTGAACAGGGTGAATTATTAAAGGCGAGGTATTCATATAAAAACTGAATATTGAGTTTTGTGTTTGAAGTCTTTTTTGTAATTGACATATATGTCATTTATTTTCTTATCCCTTTGATTTAATTCATACTCAATATTTTCTGTTTTTATATACTCAGAGATTAAGTGTGCATATTTTATCTACTCAAATGTACAGTAAAACGTGTATATATCTGAACACCTCTCTTATATGTACACCCCTCAATGTGAACACTTCTTTGAGGTCCCATTTTTAATCTGCCATAGATTAGTATGTTAAAAAAACTTTGAAATGTGAACACCTGCCAATCTGAACACTTTTGGTCAGTCCCAATGGCATTCAGAATATTCAGGTTCTACTGTACATTTTCAAACAGAACTCACCTTTCACTGTCAATGGAAAAATATTTGCTGTTTTGATTTGACAATCATATAATGAAACAAATATTTGAATTTGACCTGACACATATGCACGTATCATGAATGAATGAATTTGGAATGACAGCTATATTTGATATGATAATAATATGTTTGTTGTCATTATTCTTTCTGAAATAAAAACAAAATTTCAACAGATTGGCACTTAGTTATTTATTATTCTCTTTTTAATAAACACGAAAGGAAAATAAAATGCATGGATGTGAAGATTGATAATTGGAAATATTTGGAAATCATGAGAGTTTGTATCATTAAATGTGGTCAATTTGAAGCAATTTGAAAAAATACCTTTTTGACCTTTTTTGACCTTGAGAAGGCCATTGAAGGTCAAATCTCAAATCTAAAGTCAGATTTGAACTTCTGACCTTTGTTAACATTTTTTTACCTTGAAAAGGTCATTGAATGTCAAATCTTATATATAAAGTCAGATTTGAACTTCCGAAAACTTGTAAATGATTTTGAAAAAAATGAAGTCAGTAAACAGTATTTGTTAAGTTATTGGAAGTTTTAGGAATTTCTTACAGACGCCAACCACCTATTGCCAACAGCCAATCACCAACCGCCGATCACCAACTGCCTCCACAAAAAATGGAGACCATAACAATATGTCACAAGGAGGCTTCTTAGAACCTCTTAGGGGCCGGGTCAATATTTTAATGTCCGTCAAAAAACATAATTAATTTTGTTAGGTCTTAATCCCCCCATCCCCCCTTCTAGCGAAAGTCAAAATTTGATCCATGCATGGTGTAAATGAGACAAAATGTTAATTTGCATGTGGTGTAAAAGTACAACCCCTGAGAATACAATATCTGATAATGCTATAAACAACATATTTCAAATTATGTTTATACATCTGTTGAGTATCTTTGTGATCATCCCATGCTGTCAAACCAGAAATTAAAGGAGACGAAACCCAGTGAAACTAAAAATCAATGTCTGTCACCTTATTAGATTGCTTTTATCCCCCCCCCCCTTACATACGTTAATCCTTACATTTTTTGATGGACATTAAAATATTGACCCAGCCCCTTAGTCTTAGCTATGAGAGCACTTTCTAATATAGAATAATCACTTATTAATTAGTAAATGCAGAAGAGTCATTAGCCCACTTTGCACATTTCATAACCTAATTTGTGGATAAATATAGTTAAACTATGTGACTATATACTAGTTACCTTGTCACTTTGGTAACTAAAAAGGTTAATAAGTTAGTTAAACATGTCTATAACTAATCATGCTTATACTCTACCTGGCATGGCTAAATAATGTGAGTCTTTTATGTCAATGTACTCTCTGTGTGGAATGCTGAGTGCTTTCTCTCCCAATATTGAACCAATGGTCACCGTGACCATCAACAGCATATAGCCATGCCTATCAAAGTACAGTAAAACATGTAAAGTGAAATGAAATAATAACTGATGCGCTCCCATTCAATGTCTGATGAGCTGTCATTCAATGTCTGGTGAGCTGTCATACAATAAAAGAGCTGTCATTCAATGTCTGATGAGCTGTTATTCAATGTCTGATGAGCTGCCATTCAATGTCTGATGAGCTGTCATTCAATGTCTGGTGAGCTGTCATACAATAAAAGAGCTGTCATTCAATGTCTGATGAGCTGTTATTCAATGTCTGATGAGCTGCCATTCAATGTCTGATGAGCTGTCATCCAATGTCTGAGCTGTCATTCAATGTCTGATGAGCTGCCATTCAATGTCTGATGAGCTGTCATTCAATGTCTGGTGAGCTGTCATTTAATGTCTGATGAGCTGTCATTCAATGTCTGTTGAGCTGTCATTCAATGTCTGATGAGCTGTCATTCAATGTCTGGTGAGCTGTCATTCAATGTCTGATGAGCTGTCATTCAATGTCTGATGAGCTGTCAGTCAATGTCTGATGAGCTGTCATTCAATGTCTGATGAGCTGTCATTCAATGTCTGGTGAGCTGTCATTCAATGTCTGATGAGCTGTCATTCAATGTCTGGTGAGCTGTCATTCAATGTCTGGTGAGCTGTCATTCAATGTCTGATGAGCTGCCATTCAATGTCTGATGAGCTGTCATTTAATGTCTGATGAGCTGTCATTTAATGTCTGATGAGCTGTCATTCAATGTCTGATGAGCTGTCATTCAATGTCTGATGAGCTGTCATTCAATGTCTGATGAGCTGTCATTCAATGTCTGATGAGCTGTCATTCAATGTCTGATGAGCTGTCATTCAATATCAGGTGAGCTGTCATTCAATGTCTGATAAGCGGTCATTCAATGTCTGATGCGCTGCCATTCAATGTCTGATGAGCTGTCATTCAATGTCTGATGAGCTGTCATTCAATGTCTGATGAGCTGTCATTCAATATCTGGTGAGCTCTCATTCAATGTCTGATAAGCGGTCATTCAATGTCTGATGCGCTGCCATTCAATGTCTGATGATCTGTCATTCAATGTCTGTTCAACTGTCATATATATATCTTTTATCGACTCTTTTAGATGTCATATCATGACATATTAGTCAGTTAGGTAGAGCAGTTCTTCCCATTGTCGAGTTGAAGAACTGGTATCTTTATCCTGGCTAGAACCATAGACAATTCTAGCCAGCGCCAGCCTTTTATCGAGTTAGCAGCACTCTAGTAATCGCCGGTATAGGTCAGCAGTCATAGGTCAAAGACAAATCACAAGAAGTGCTGTGACCTGGGTTTGAACCCAAGACCTCTACTTTTCAGCTTGAAGCCAGACTTCCTGCTTTTCAGACCAATGCCTTAACCACTAGGCCAACCCGGCGACCACATACAATAATACAGCTGTCATTCAATGTCTAGTTAGCTATCATTCAACATCTGGTGTGGTGCCATTCACCAGACATTGAATGACAGCTCTGAATGGCTACTCACAAAACACTGAAAAGCAAAGTTAACTCACCAGCTAAAATAGAACATGTATATTCATTCCATATGATGCAGCAAATATAAAATCTCATAAATATGTCTAACAGTTATATGCAGATTTGTACAAAACACATATTTACCTTTTGTGAATATCAGACGGCCCGGCAAAACCATGCCATACCACATTACGCAGATTTAGAGATATAGGGGGACCTAGTAGTACCCGTAATAGTCTGACCTGCAAACAACATAATAAAACAAAAAGAATTATGGCAAGATCATCACATTTTTTGTGTCCATTGTGAAAATTGGGGGAGAACCCACATGAAAATAAACTCAATAATATTCACAAAGTGTTTAAATACTGAAAGAAAAGATACACACCAATTTTTCAATTTATTTATTTAGAAAAGCCATTTTTCACAACAATCACAAGAAATTCAATAGGTAACCCAAGGAGTATATTCCTTCATAAGTCCGTGCTTTGAGGTACTATAGCAAAACACACAGTGATAAATATCACGCTTTAAAGAGCAAAATGGCTACCACATAATTTACCCATCATGCCCAAAACCTAATCAGATCTTCTCATTAGTCTGCTCTTGTATCTTAAATAGTTAAAAGGATAAGCTTTTTACCTTGAATTTTGATAACAAGATTTATATGGTGCTGACCCATACAACCACACACAAAGCAGCACAAGTTATTGGAAAGTAAGCACTTTGAAAAATGCAATAAAAAGTTGGTTTAACTCACCATAGTGTCACCTAGCAACTGTGTTAACTCTGCCGTGACAAGGAGATCTTTCAACATGGAGGGACACTGTTTCCCCTCCAACATGTAGAGCTGCAATAATATAGGCATGTTATATAAATGAGTGGAACATTGTAAACATTTTAACAAAAATGATTATCTAAACACCAGAGTAACTTGACGTACAAATGTAATTTTCTAAGTTTTTTTGCAAAAGCATGTCTAATTAAGGTTCACAGTTCTTTGTTTTAATGCTTTGATTATAAGGTCATCTGGCAATAATTTTGAAAATGTTATTTACACATAGACTACCAGGCTTGGAGCCACAGGGGGATGGAGGGTTTGAGTATCCTTTCAAAATTATGCAGTTTTTCACCATTCTGGCACTTTTCAAAAGTGAGCCCCCCGTGGATTTTTTAAAAAAGTGAGCCCCCTTCGAAATCCTTGCTACGGACCTGACTACATACATGAATCTAATTTTGAAATTGTACATTTGCACATTGACTACATACAGTATATGTACCTACATCTCCCAATGATCTCTCAAGCAGTAATGTGTTCAGCAAGATTGGTAATACACTGCAGCTTTCTGGCTTCAATAGCAATGAGTGACATTGTAGCACTTTCTAAAATATGTAGTAAATAAAAAATATGTAAATTATTAGATATTTTATAGTGTTAATTAATTCTCTCTGGATTTTTATCAAGTAGGTGAAAAATCTTAATTTCAATAATTTAGACCAAATGTCAAAATATTTCAATTTTCTCACTTTCATTTTGGTGCAAATGGTTTCTCTGGTGGGTGCAAGCCTATTATTATCACTGTTTTAGGGTTACTTTAACGTTAGCTTTTTTCACACATACCTGTACAAGAGAGGTTAGGACACATATTTTTAAGAAAGCTCATTTATAGCTCAACCTCCCTATTGTACACAAAACTGTCATGCATAATTGTATATACAGTAAAACCAGTCTTAGTGAATATCTCTCTAGTGAACACCTATGTTTAGTGAGTACCACTTCAAGACACATTTTAATTGACTCTTGTATAAAATCCCCTCTCTTTAGTGAACACCTACCTACAGTAAACACTTTTAGTTGCTTTATAGGTGTTCACTATATACAGGTTTATTGTAGTACCTGCTTATCACATGTCCATTCAATATGTCCTCCATAACGCTTAGAGAATTCATCAGGTGAAAGTGTTCTCAGCAATGATTCAATCTGCTTGAATACAGGGGACAGTTTCTTAACACACTCGATGAAATATTCCGGAGTGTCTTCTGCAACTGGAAATTGTGGATACCACTTGACATCACACAGTCTAAGAACAGATGTGATACAGAGAATAAAAAAAATTGTTGTAAAAATGTAATTTGAATCATGGACATGCAACATATAAAAGTCCTTAAAAATTTTGAAGGGTCTGAAAAATATAAAATTGTCTGTAAAACATAAGTCGCTAATCATTCAATGTCACATAAATATAATTCATCAAATTCAAGGATTTGGAAAAAGATTGGACACTTTTAGTAATCAGTGCGACTAAAATATATTTCCATATGATACCTGGAGGAAATTGCAGTTTAATGTAATCCATATCCAGGATACCATCATCATTTAAACAGCATCTGTCAGGTACATCAGTCAAGTCCCCTGGAGTGTCACATATATTTAGCAGTCCCTTCACATATGGAGACAGATAGCTCAGCAGATCCATGATTTCTTACATGTGGACGTCTTTTCCCTACATGTAAGTAAATGAGAATCTTTCATTTCAATTCGAAACACTCGTTTTCGTACATATCTGTTGTCTCATTTTTGAGAGCTGTCATCTCTAAGTAAATGAGAATCTTTCAATTCTTAACACTCGTTTTCATATACAAGTTGTCTCATTTTTGAGAGCTGTCATCTCTGGGTATCTGCAAGGGCCATCATCTCAACCAGCGTGGTTGTTCACAGTAAGTTACCCCCCCCCCCCACACACTCTCTCTCTAATAATCTCTAAATCAAAATATCTAATACTGTATAGGCTATAAGAGGGAGCGGTGACTTACTCCTCATGAGATAGTGTCACAAACAGATGAAGAGAGGGATGGGTTCCTCTTAGTACACCCCTAAATGTGAGGGGGTCACAGGAACTTGTAGGGGTTACTCCCACAGGCACCAGTATCGCCACCTTTTAGCAGTCGGATTAGAACGATCTAAGTCCTTTAAAATACATTTTAAAGGTATTTAGGGCTTAGATCGTTCTAATCCGACTGCTAAAAGGTGGCGATACTGGTGCCTGTGGTTACTCCTAATGGCTGTTTTATGAAAGACTGTCATAATATCGTACAGAACACAAATATATATACAAAAGTATATAGAATTAATTATCTTACTCTAATAAAGTGTCTACTTACTTGAAAATTGAGAAAAAGAGAATAAAATAAAAATTTCTTTAAACTTGAATTAATCCTTTACAATAACGAACGTTCAACTTTTAACTTCCATTTGTCTAGCTTGTATTTCTGCTACTACTTAACCCAAATCAAAAGATGATTTTCAATGGACTGTAAGGATTTTCTGTTTGTGTAACTACGTAATTGTAACATAGGAGGCTATGATTGAGAGTAATTCTGAATTTAAGCCTCTAATATATTTAAGAACAAATTTATTTTATGATTTTGTATCGTTCGTATATTTGGCGAAGAGATTTCAAAATGTCCGCTAATTTTGAACTGAAGATATCAATTTTTTGATTATATTTTGGAAAATACGGCAACACGGTAGACTATATCAGGTAACATAAATGTTGTACTATTTAATTATATTGTATAGAATTTGAATATGTTGAGTTAGCAATTAGATACTCGGTTTTACAATTACAAATGCTAGAAAATAAATTTTTTCAGTTTCTTTGATTTTTTAATTTTTTATCAAGCTTCTTGTTTTTTTTGAATCAATATAATTCAAATTTCAATTCAATTTTCTAAGCTGGACACAACCTTTTTTTGGTCCAACAGGATACATTTTGAATTGACAAGGTTTGAATTAGAATTTCTCATATCTCATCCCATCGATTCTGTATCACACCATCTTTCTTTCGAAACTTACTGCCAAATAATTTTACCAGGATGGGAAACAAGCAGCTTTGGCAGAAGGTCACATGATCACCTCTTCATAAACAGGTATCATTGGTTAACTCTTGGAAAATGTGTGTGTCATTGATCACATGATAATATCGTGCTATTTGTTTGTTCATCGTATAGACTGATGTACATAATTCTGAAAATGTCAGCCATTGCCAAAACTCTGACTGGATCTTACCAGTCAACAATAAACAGTCAAATGAGGCTAATAGATACTACAGTTATAATTTTGAGTGATAGGATACTATAAGACTCTTGTTAATATAGCTGTGCAAGTTCAAGTCACCAAGATGAGCTAATCAAGGTGAGAATGGGGAAATAAAACAGGTAACTTTTTTTGAATTTGTGTTTCCAATCCTGGTAAAATTATATGGCAGTAAGTTTCAAAAGAAACATTGACTCGCGTCCGTGACAGCATCAGGGATATTAGCATTGGTGCCATACCCTTCTAAGCGTCTAGATCCATTGATTCAAAATGTAGTCCTATTCAAAACTCTTCTTAAGCTTTAGTATAGGGTTTGCGTAAAAAACCAGGTACTTAACGTTCCTAGCAGGGTTAGGAATTTTTTTATTTATAACGTTGAATTTGGACGATACATGTACGTTATTTTCGACGTCATGTTTTGAGGTTATTTCACATCGTAAAAACGTTTTGACAACGTTAACTTTTAACGTTAAAATAACGTTGGTAATGAACCGATTTAGTGAGAACATATGACGTCTTTGTAACGTTTCCTTAACTCACAAATATTTTGAAGCCATTTCCACAATGTTGAAATTCAACCATCCATCGACGTTTTGCTGAATATTTAAATAACGTCAGATCAATACGGTCCATGAACGTCATTATTGACGTCACGTTTTGAGGTTATTTCAAATCTAAAAAAACGTTTCAACAACGTTAAATTTTAACGTTAACAATACGTCGGAAATGAACTGACTTAGTGAGAACACAAAGTTTTTGTCATGTTTTTTTCCACCAACAAATATTTTGATATTAAAAGCCTGTTTTGAGCCAGAAGCCTGAAAATGTGGAACTTTGAAAGTTGGTAACCCTGCTAGGAACGTTAGGTACCTGATTGACCGGGTACCCGGTTACCCATTTTTTTACACAAACCCTTTAATATAACATCATGAGTAAAATATCCCGTGAACAAAAAAGAATATTGTTGCATTTAGCTGGCAATGATTTTTGGGTCTATAAAAATCATGTGAGCCCAAAAATCATGTGAGTTGTAAGGCCACTGATTTCATGATGTCCATCAAAAAAACATTTCAAACTTTTGGTTCAAAATTATATGCAAGTGTCAGCAGTCCCTGATGGTGTCCATCAAAAATACAATTCAATCATTTTTGGTTCAAAGTTGTACTAGAGTGTCAGCAGTCCCTGACACCCCTACTTGCTGTATACCAAACATTAATTGTCATTGCATATTAATTTTACTAAATCCTCAAACACACTTGTCTGACAAATTTTTAGAATGACAAATGCATCTGTAATAAACTTACAATTAAATGCACTTGATCCCAAAAACAATTCATATTTTCCCCTATAAGTGCGCTTTTCCAAGTAAAATCCCATCACGTAGAAATTATTTTTTCAAATTTTAAGTTTTTCCAAACTTGTATTTTGAAACATTCCTCCGTTTATAACAGCTGCCATGTTCAGTGTATTTTAGGGAAACTGACCATTTAAAAGTCTTGTTTTAAATTGATTTAGAGACAGTCTCAGACAGACGAAATGTTGATAATGTTAAAGGAGATTATCATTTTTTATCGGGGTAGGATGCTTTTTGGTGGGATAGGCAATTTTTATATCAGCCTACCCAAGTTCAGGATAGGCACTTTTTAATGGGGTAGACCTGAAGTGATTTGTTTACATCTCTCCTTATGTACAGCTATTTGTCATATCAATTGAAAGTATGAAACAATTGAGCATTAATTTAGAAACAGTCTCTTAGATAAGACAAAATGCAATTTTAGATCATTTTTATTTTTTTATTTGTCAAAGCCTGATATTCAAAATTTGGATCTTTCCAAATATTCGAAGGGATCACAGATTTTAAATTGAATGAATACAAGGAATGGGTATGGAGTTCATTTCTTGAGGCAGATTATATTAGAAGAAGACCTCCATATATATCCACACCCAGGGGTTTCACTAGATTTTTTCACAACAGGCTAAATTAATGAAAACTACAGGCAAAATTAATGGAAATCATAAATTTCACATGGAAAAGTTGAAAAGGCCCTAAAAATAACAGTCGATTTCGTGAAAACAACCGGTGAAAATTGCCTTGTTACCTGCTGCTAATGAAACCCCTGCACACCCCTACCATCCTCCTACTACAAGACTCCTGGATCCAGGGTATCTCATATCAGAAGAAAGAGGAATGGGTCATGAAATTTGTGTTCTGGAGATGATGACCTCTCAAATCATATCCTTCACCTTTATGTGATGATTCATTGCAGATACTCCAAGATGGAACCTAGAGATGATTGTGTCACTGTTGGGACGTATATCTTCCGGGGAGTTGAATATGTTGTCACAATGAATGTCACCAATGGGAACTCTCTAATTGTGGAGGTAGAAGACAGACTGGCAGCTGACCAATGGAGAGGAACATTTGATGCTGCATGTAAGTGGGATCAAAATAATTTGAAAAAATTCAAACTCAAATCCCTATAAATCATATGAATCATGTTAAACCTAAAGCCTAACTGTTTGTAGTGTACAATTTGCAAAAACCTAAATCGTATATTGGACAACTGCCTTACTAAATTTTTACATACGAATGATGAAGTATTTTAATATTTGCCTCACCAATTAAATTTGCCTCGCCTGTCTTAAGATCCTGGGAATGCCCAATTGCCTCTGCATTTAACAATTTTTTTCCCTTGTAGACATTCACATTTAATATTTTGCAATGTTGTTTCAGACATAGAGGACTTAACTCACAAGACGGGAAATTTCAAGCAGTTTCCAATTTTTATCAACATGTTGGAATCTGCAGTGACCCAGGTATGTACTCAATTACAGAAAACACATTTCCTTATTTAAACAAGTTTTAATTTAACCCCTATCTAATTTCCTCAAAGTCAATTTTAATATCCCAATAAATATCTGCTCTTAAAATCAAACATGACAAAATTGATAGGCAATTACCAAATCAATATGTTCAAAGTCATCTCAAATACAATCTTATTCGTTAAAGGAATATTAAAGGAAATAGAACTTTTAATAGCAAGTTTAGAGCAACTTTAAAGTCTGTAACTATTTTATGATATTCTAATTACTCTCACAAACCCATATCAATCATGCCATTTTTTTTAATGTTCAATCATTTTAACTTTAATTTAGGATAATCATGTCAAAAAAACTGAAAAGTGGATGCCCCTTTTTAAATTCTAATTAATTTGATATTTCCTCTACATTTTATTTTAAGGCAAACACATAATAAATGCTTTTCCAATGAAAATAGAAACAAAAGGAATGATATTTAAACGATTATGAAAATGCTATTTAAAAAAAATTGCTCTCATTTTGCTGGTTCAAGCACCATACTTTTAATTAAACATCACAAAGTGACTCAGACGAGGTTATTATCACATTATTAATAGGTTATTATCACATTATTAATAAGATATTATCACATTATTAAAAGTTGTCACTACATTTTGCAGACATCTGACTCTGTGTCATTAGACCTTTTAACCTACGCTGACCTTGAATCACTACGCAGCAAGAAACCTGGGGTGACATCTAAAGTTCAAGCAGGCAAAACACAGGCGCTCAACACTAAACGCTACCTCATACTCACATATTCTGTAGAATTTGATAGGTAGGAGTTTCTAATGGTATTATAATGGACTGTACCTTTTCTTACTACTATAGCATGCCTAAAAGTATAATTGCACGGTGAATACTGTAAAGTGAATCTAAAAGTGGAACACCTCTAAAAGTAGAACACCTCTAAAAGTGGAACACAATGTCCAAGACCAACTGACTTAATATTAGATGAACCTCTATAAGTGGAACACCTCCCAAGTGGAACACTTTCTAGAGGAACCAAAGGTGTTCCAACGAGACAGGTTATGCTGTACTTTTCTTTCAGTAAAATAGTTTCATTCAAAGATGGCAACAATTACTTTGAACAAATCAAATGACAAAAGGATTTTCTTTGACTTTAACTAGATATTTTTGTTTGTTTGGTGAAAACTGCATGCAAAAATATGAAACATGAAACCAGAGGATTTTCCACAATGTATTGATGACCTTTAATTATTATCTTTTCAGTTTCATGCATTAGTGTTAGTATTATCATTTTCATCTCTGTATTTTATTCAGTTCAATGATTTATTTTAGGATACACTATCCATTGCCTTTACCATATATGGGAAAGCCAGACCCCAAATCCTTACAGGAGACAATAAGAGATTTGAGAGCAGAAATCAAATCCCTAAAGCAGCACAGTAGTAGTGACTACAGATTACGAGAACTGGATAAATATAGGAAAGAGTAAGTTTAATGCAACGTTACTTTGAAATGAGAATTCTTGCACAGTTCTGTTTGATTTCAATTTTTGGATTTTTTAAATTGGGAATGTAGATCCCATTTGATATAAGTTTGATATAAGTTGTGAAATTATGCTGTGATTAATCTGTATATGATAGCAAAATTGAATGCATATGAATTTAAACAAATACAATTTTTCACAATTTACTTGAAATTATCAATTATTAAAACTGTTAATATTCAGTATTACATGTAAATATGATTTAATAATCTATACTTCATTTTAACCGATTTATAGCTATGAGTTGGTGCTACAAGAAAAAGAAGACCTGGAGGCGGATTTTTTAAAGTTCCGTCGTGAGCTGAAAAACACAACTACAGGAAATGCCGCTAAAGAAATAAGAATTTTAAAAAATGTGATCAAGAATTTGGAAGAAGACTTGCTAAAGGAGAAGACTAAACACCAGCGATCCAGCAGTAAAAGAAGCCAGGAATACAGGAGTTTATTAGAAGAGGTACTTTTGAGCACGACCAGGGGTTTCACTAGAATTTCTCACAAGCTAAATAAATTGAAAATTAATGGAAATCATAAATTTAACATGGAAAATTTGAAAAGTCACAGAAACAACAGTCAATTTTGCGGAAAAAAACGGTGGAAATCGCCTGTTGCCTGCTGCTAATGAAACCCCAACCAGTACTAGTATTTTCAAGTTATGTAAAATGGCTTAATTTTCCAAGATTGATCTGAAATAAGAGTTTAAACCATTGCTTCACCTCATTCAAACAAGACCAGTCTTGCTAAAGTCAGGTATAATTCATATTTTGAGTATGGCTGTTTCAGCAAACAATCAATTATTAGTCAAATACTGGCATTTGTTTAGTTTTCCGGATCATATGATGAATATCTAGAAAATTATAAAGAAATAAAAGTGATTTATGAGCAACAACTCCCTCCTTAAACCACAAATTCCGACTTGTCAGAATTTATAATATGTAACAATGATTTTCAGGTAGAAGAATTACGAGCTGCTGAAAGAAACTTGCGTGTACGAGTGAAGAGTCTTACAAATGAACTTGCTCTTTATAAAAGGTAAAGATAGAAATGATGCAGTAGAACCTTACCTGTCTTTTCTAAATTCCACTAGGACCCAAGTCAAATTTGTTTGAATTAATAGGTGTTCCAAGTTTTTTTAAAAGAGAGAATATAAAATTGGATGGAGAAAAGTGTTCACATTGAGAGGTCTTTGAATTAGAGAGTTGTTCGGATTTACAAGTTTTACTGTGCAGTAATGGCTTATACAAATTGATGAGCTTATTCCGAAATCTTACTGTATAATATTTTTAACCCCATTTGTGACCAATTCTTAAAAGCAAGGGCAATCTTTATGTATTTTGTTCAAAGTGGAATTTTCTAAATTCTCTAGTTATTCTCTGAATGCAAAATAGATATAATTTGCATGATTTGTGATTTTAGGCGTGGTCCTCGAACTCCAATCACTGGCAGCCAACAGCATGCATCTCGGCCCAGGGAGCGCTCACTTTCACAAGATAGGCCCCAATCTAGAGAGAGATCTTGGTCCAGGGACAGAAGTAGATTGTATAACAGAGACGGGTACATATTCAATCGCAGCCTTTTCAATGGGAAATTAGAGTGCAGAGGGGGTCTCCATATAAATAAAACAATTTTAATTAATTTATTTATTTATTTGAGCCTTACCTGAATTCCCCACTTAAGAGCCTTTGTATTTAATAGATCATTTCCATCTAAAACTGCTCCTATCTTTCCAATGCCAGTAGTTAGTGCAGTACAACATAAGTGGACTAACAGAAAGAATTCCTGCATCCAAGTTTTGAAGTCAATCCAAGATGTTAGACCATTATTAACAATTCAATCCAGTTAACCACAATTTTATTTTACAGGCGCACAAACTGAGTTGTTTCCAATGGAAACTGTTTTTATGTCACCACCACAAGTTTTTTTATGGATGGTATTTGGTGGTTAGTGTTTAACGGTCCTCGTCTGTAACAAATGGCAGATGGTAACATTTTATGTTAATGACTTCTTTTTCATTGTTAACTGAAGGTCTGGGTCTAGAGAGAGGCGTGGATTAACAGACAGCCAAGAGAGACGTGGGAGAATGTATGGTTCAGGTGATAGATTGGGATCTCAACCACTCTCAGGATCAAGAGAAAGAACAAGCTCTCAGAATAGAAGGTATTTTTCTTTACTACGTCAGTAAATGTTGAATAAGATAGGTTTTACTGTAATTGCATAAGTCCCTTAAGACTTATATTCATTTTGGCTTAAGAATCGTTTTCAGATTAGAAGGTTAGTAAATGCTGATCGTTCCTTATTTAACTTATTTTGGAAATAATGCATCTCCAAAAACGATCTCTCTGTTTTCTACTGGCATGTGGATATCTCATATCTAAATGGAATAATAAAGTTCCAAGAAATTGTCAAATATGTCATGAATTACACAATATGAAACATATGTTATTTAAATGCATAAAAGTAAGACATGTGTGGCAAGAGTTAAGTGAAAAGTTTAAGTGTCAAATTAAATACAAACATATTGTTACTGGATTTTTACCAGGGAACAATATCACCAAATTTAGAAATGTCATAATATCAATTCTTGGCATAACAATTTATAATAATTGGTGCAAATTTTCTGAAGATCATGAAAGTTGGAAAAGATTCGATATAAGAACAGCCTTTGTTACAAATTTACACTTTTATGAATCTATATTCCATGTCATAGAAAGGGAAACTGTTTTAGCATTGTGGATTAAAAATTTAATCAAAAACTTTTAATTCAATATGCCTATACTTTTGATTGATTGTAATTTGATTCTTGTACGGTTATATTCATATTTATTTGTACTCATATATTGTATGTAATATAAGTAAATGATGAAATAAAAAAAATAAAAAAAAAAAAAATCTCTCTGTTTTCCAATAGGAAATGGGCAAAATACCCAGTGTGGCTGAAAGGGAAACTGAAATTGGTTGAGTTTTATCTACTATTGTCATCGGTTCATTTGAAAACTCTCCACAATGTTTTATTGACAGTAAAAGCTTTATATCTGAATGGCTCTGTAGGCAAAACACCTCTCTATAGGAAAATATTCTCTTAGTTCTAAAGTCTCCTGTTAAGGAAATCTTGAAATGTCATTCCAAAAACACTTTGGCTTGTCAGAGTGGCGTTCAGATTGGTTTTTATTACTTTTTATGTCACCACCAGAAATGATGACATATTTTTATTGTCTCCAACTTTTTGTGGACAGCCGTTGGCATTCGGCAGTTAGTTTTCAACAAATGGTTGTTAGTGACATTTTGCATTTTGATGCCTTGTTTAAAGTTTTATTGTAATAACAGAAGTCTCCCAAGGCTTATATTTATGCTTCAAATCTTCTTTCAGGTTTAGGGAGAGATCTGGTTCAAGGGACCGACTATCATTTGGTGACAGGCGACCCTCACCCCGCCCATCGCCTGCATTGTCGGCAGCAGGAGCACGCAATCCTCGGTTTGACCCTACAGCTTTTATCAGGGAAAAAGAAAGGAAAAGAAAGGAAAGTGAACTTAAAAGGTATAATTTCTGTATTAGAGAGCTTTTGATATACACAAACTTGTTCTTGTACAAGTCAGGTATAGCAGAGGGGAAACTCGAATCACATCAAAATATTCGGCAAGTATGTAGTTAGTGAGTTCCAGTTTCAAAATATGATTACAACTTAGAAATTAATTCTGCCAATGCTGGGATATTCACAAATCAATCCCCTCGATTAGGAAACAAGGAAATTCTCTCAATGAAATCTACTTTCCTTTTTCTTTGAGAAACCTTCCTCTCCAGTGGTGTTGAAATCATTTAAAAGTTAAAGTTGCTGTATAAGTTTGGCTGAAAACTTATATCGAAAGCTCTCTATTATGACAAAATTGTCCTTTATGTATTCTTTTAAATATAATAAGAATTTAATAATTTGGAATAAGTTTTTTTTGGAATTAAGTGAAAAATTGATATCATCAGAGAGAACTTCTGTGTACCTGTGGTAGGGTTGGGATGGATGGCTGAAACTGTCCCATTTTACAGTATTTGGCTTCAGTATTGTCCCATCTCTCACCTGTTGTGAGGTTCAACCTCATGAACTGTAATATAATTCCAAAATCTATCCAAAATGTAAAGAAGTCAGGGGCCTAGGCAGGATTCAGTAATACATGAGGAAAAAATTAAAAAGAACAAAACCTAAATAGATTAGGCAAAAGGTATCTGAGATTGTTATACATGTACAACTATGAGATTTTCAGTTTCAGTTCAAAAAATGTGGAAATTTTTTTTTTAAATCTTTTTTCATAAAATATCATATTTTGATGAAATTTTTAACCCATGATTTGATTTCTTGTAATTCCAGTAAACGTAATACCAGATACAGATTAAGTGGCAGCACTGAGAAAAAGCAAAGAACTGCATATGGTATGTGAATGTTGAATTAGGCAGGATAAGCTTCATGTTTTTAAGAGAAGTATAGTACTTGAACAACTGAATGTGTAATATTATCAACACCAGTGACCACTGTCCCCCTGTTCTCAATTTTTTTTCCAAGGTCCTAATCCTGTAATCAGACAAATAATATTATTTTGGGGAACCTAATTGCAACACTTTTCCTTATACCTTTATACTCAAGTGGACAGATAAACAAAAATTTTATAAAAAACTAATTGAGTGATTTTTCAGCGCTGGCACATTCAATGTGATATGTGTAAATTACTGTATAAGTGATATTTAATCCGAGTTGTTAGTTTGCCGAATGGTCAAGTTTTATCATTTTCATGATTTTTGATTTTTGTAATGACAAGAAACTTCCCATTGGATAGAATTATGAAGATATATCCGACATTTAATTTTCCGACCATGGCAGTAATTAGCCAATAGGCAAATAAAATGATTAGGCATTTACCACTTATACCGTATAAGGAATAATCTAACATGCACTTGCGTTTTGGCTTTAATTGTAGGTCGCAAGCGTACATCTTCAATAGAAAGTGCCCAGAGTTTGCATTCCTCACAAGAATCTCTAACAGACATTGGGGTCCTATCGGACGCCTCTGAGAAACGCTTGAGGTTAGTATAGTATACTAACATTTTTGAAAATCTGCCTTGAAAACTGATAATTGTACACTTTGATAGACAATTTGATCTGAGTCGGTGTATTGTCTTGATGTCTTAGCATTAAGTTCATTAAACATGTTTGGGCCATCTATTACAAGATGAAAATTTTGTTCTTTTTTGCAAGAGTTTTGGTAAGTTTGCCAAGAAACAACTATTGAGTAAAAACAATGTAGGTTTGATTTGAATTCAAACCCTGCTGTGCATAATAAGCAAGTGTGATTCCTGAGATCATCAGAACTTTTAGATCAATACAGTAAAGCCTAAAATGGTAATACTTAAAGGCCCCATGTAAAGTTTAAACCACTTTGGCTTATATTGTAGTCTTACCCAATGTTATCAAAGTGTGATATGTGAAACTTTTTTTTTAAATTTCAAAAAGTGGTTTTTGATAGACTTTTTGTTCCAAAATTTGTGAATTTATTTAAAACCAACTTTTAGAGGTCATTCATACCTTCTAATTACCCACAATTCATACCAATGCATAGCATTCATCCTCCCATGTTTTTGACGAAAAAATTAAGAAAATCGGTTGATAAACAAGCGAGAAATGAACTTATCAGTGCATGAAAATGGTTCTGAGAAAAAACGCATTTCAACATTTTAGTTCTCATAGTAACCAATGGTACAATGATATCTAAAACATAATTTATTCTTCCTTTTAACCTGGTTAGACAATCAACATTGGTTTTTTATGAAAGTCTAGGATATTTAGAAAAGATTGACATCGAAAAAAAAATTTCAATTTTTTTCAAAAAGTTTTTGTTACCTTAGTGACATCACTAATGTTTCAGAATATTTTTGATGTGCTAAAACATTGAAGTGGCCCATTAAATATGGCATTTTATTATTGAAATAGGGTGTCCTTTGTTCAATCTTTGCATTGGTGTTAAAAAGATAATCTTTTTTGAAATGCATTAAGAAATATTTGGTGATTGAAAAATTTCAGCTTTTTTTGAAAAATGGCGGGAAATTTGAATATTTGAGAAATGAAATGCTCACAACTTTTTTTGAAAAATTTTTTTTTTGTTCAAAAATCTCTAAAATCACTTTTTAAGTCCTGACAAATAGTAAATGAATGATAAAAAAATATTTTCAAACTTTAGACGGGGACTTTAATTTATTTCTCAAACACATTTTGTTATAATGAACTGTCATCAGGAATTTGTTGCAGCGATTATGGTCAATAAAACAATAACAAAACTTCATCTGCCATAATACGAGTGACACTTAACAACTCTTTAGTATGTTTTTATGTCACCACCAGAAGTGGTAAATTTTGAAATAGACTTTTTTGTGGACAGCAGTTGGTGTTCTGTGTTCAACTTCAATGTCTGTGACAAATGGTAGGCTGTGACATTTTGCATGTTAATACCTTATATAATTTTGTTTTTAGGGACATCAATGGTATCACAAAGACTGGGAGAAGGTCCACCTCTACATACTGGGACAGTCCCAACATAGTAAGTTTATAGTATCACGCCCGGTGATCGTACAAAATGGATGGAGGGGGGGATTAGCCGATTTCTGCAAGAAAACTCAACAAATTTGGAAGATTTATTTTTTCAAGAGAAAATTTACAACTGAATTGTCAAATGAATAGGCGCAGTGCATGGCAAAACATGTTAGGTAATCTAGTATTTTTTTTGAACTGATACCCTTCAAAGATATGAGATCTATTAAAAAAGGCGCATCATCACCAACGTGCAAAAGTCAATGTTTTTGCTATAAATCGGGCAACAATGGTCTACACAACCTGTAATAAATAGGTATAAGGGACGTTATTATCACAATACTAATGACATTGCTCATTTTTTAAATTTAATTTCCATGCGTTATACAAAAAATAATCGAAATAAATTAATTTTGGATGGAGGGGGGGAGTGGATGGAGGGGGGGATTAATATGTCTTTACGATGGAACAAATTCACAAGAACTCTTGTATTTGAAAAAACTAAACTCAGTACCCCAGTAAGAAACTGGATATTATATCTCTGGAGAATGAAAAATGGGAAAATTTGGAGTCATAAGAATAAATTCAAGCAGCATGTCTTATCATGTCTTACATACACGTGATCCCCCCCTCCATCCAATCCCCCCCTCCATCCACTATCAATTTATTTCGATTATTTTTTGTATAACGCATGGATACTAACTTTAAAAAGTGAGCAATGTCATTAGTATTGTGATAATAATGTCTCTTATACCTATTTATTACAGGTCTGGAAGACCATTGTTGCCCGATTTATAGCAAAACCATTGACTTTTGCACGTTGGTGATGATGCGCCTTTTTTAATAGATCTCATATCTTAGAAGGGTATCAGTTCAAAAAAAATACTAGATGACCTAACATATTTTACCATGCACTGCGCCTATTCATTTGGCAATTCAGTAGTAAATTTTCTCTTGAAAAAATAAATCTTCCAAATTTGTTGAGTTTTCTTGCAGAAATCGCCTAATCCCCCCCTCCATCCATTTTTTACGATCACCGGGCGTGAGTATAAGGACTTTGATCTATCAAAATTTACAAGTACATGTAATAGAGAACCTTGAATTGTTTCACCTTATGTGAAAGAGGACATTGAACATTTACCACTTAAACTCAAACTAGATTACTTTTGTGTAAAACAACATTCATATTTTTATTTGTTTCAAATTTATATGCTGAATTTGAAGGGAAAACTTAAGTTTTGTCTGAACATACTTCCTGATTCCCATCTCCGCTATAATATAGACTAGCACTAGAACCAAAAACTCAATTAACCTCTTGATTTTTGCCCCACATGTTCAGCCTCTGGAGTGACTATTGACTAACTCATTTGCATGTTCAGCTGTCTGTCCTGCCTTCCATCCTTCAACAGTTTTCTTTTCAGTTAAGTTTATTGTTCCATTCATAATTTCATACACATTAATTATCACAATGTGATGCAGGAATATTGTTTTTGCCATTTGGATGTTCAAAAATTATGCATGATCTTTTGTTATGTTATGATAATGTATACATTGTTATATTTTATGTTTCAGCCAATCAAAAACAGAGGAAATGCTAGATCAAAATTATATCCTTTTAAAGCATAAATGTGTTGCCTTACTAGAAGTTGTGTTGCTTGCTGATCGGTGACTTGAAGTATTTCCCTTTGAAATTAAAAATTGAGAATCCCATCTCATATATGAAGATTAATGAATCGTATTCATGAAGATGCATTTTATATTCATGAATATTCACGAACTGTTCATTAACACACATTTCGGCACATAATATGCATGTTAGGTTGTTTCACTTTTCGACTTTTTTTCCGAATCAATATGGAGTTTTGCCCAGTTGGTCTCATGGTAGAGGAAAGCAAGCAAAAGCCAAACACTTCCCAAGAATGAGATTTTTTATTATTTAAATATTGCAATAGTATGCTAATGATTTGACTGAATATTTCCATTAAATAGAGTGTTTTCCTTAATTTCCTCACATATTCCAGTACTCCTGATTCTATAAAACCAAATAGGAAAACCAGGCATTCATCTAGAGATAAAGAGAACTATCCATCAGATGGTATGTATAGAAAACACATTGATGTTTTATGGATTTACCATGGCAACTTTATAGATAACATTTCTTTTGTTTAACTTCACCTTGGTAGGTTTAGTTAAAATCAATCAGCTGATCAGTTTTAGAGACAGCTGGGTGAGAGTGGACAATATTCAAATGGAGTTGTGTCACACTATGACTATAAACCCTTGTTTTGGGGGTATCATTGACTTTAAGTGCCATGTTGGTAAATCATTGTTTCAAAAATGGAATGCTTCATGGCCTTGAATGAGAGATGAATTGTGGCAATTCTAAGTGTTCAAAATTATTTTTATTGCAAATGCTATTTAAAATCTACTCCTAACCTATATGACCTAATTTCCAAGTCAAGGTAACATCTGACAGGTTTAATTTTTTGTTTGTTTTATAAATAATACTTGTACATCATACAAGTGTATCTTTTTAACTTATTTTCTCCTATTAAAAACAAACCATATTCTCTATTAAACCCATGTATTTTCCATATTGGTTTTCCATTGATGTGTTAATTTTCAATTTCAGTACCTGATAGTGATTTCTTTGACCGCTCCAATGAGATGACTGAGATAGATGCACGACTGAATAGACTACAACAATTCATGAAGACAAATATGCCAACTTGATATCATACAGGGACCACACTGTCAGTTCAAAATGTCAGTTATTGTGAAATAACTTAACTTACCCCCTACTGCACTGCTTAAAGCTAGGGGCACTATTATTTCAACATTATGGAAATTCCAGTGCCCTTTTCTGTGTTTTATAGAAGGGCCTCTTTGAAATTAACTTTGCATAAAAAACATTGATATGTTCCCTATCCTTTTACTCAGGATGTGACTCCATATATGGTTACAATAATGCCTAAGGCAGTAAGGAGATGATTATGTCCATATATGGTAGCAAGATGTGATTTAGATCTATTTTCTTTGATTTAGATATTTAAGTATAAAGTTGTGTATAAAAGCGATGAAAGCTTTGGTCCAGGAATAAAGTAGCAATGATATTTGAAGTCCATGATGGTTGTATAGTGGACAGATTCTGTTTTTTGTTCTTTTACAAAGACACTGCATTCTTGATGATATTGGTGTATGTTTAAATGTGCCTTATGGATAATACTCTCACAAATATGAGGTAGAACTATTATAACTGTTACCATGTTACCAATACACATATGACATGGACAATATGAAAGTATACAATGTAACTTCAAAGTTGACTGCTGGCCAGTTCTAGAAACAATCAGACATTCAACTGTTCATGTTTGGATTGAATGTACATTAAAAACCCACAAGTGTATAAATAAAGGATATCCTATAATTTTCTCAAAATATGATTTTTATCCATCAATGGATATGATATGATCAGTGGAATCATTAGATATGACCCACATTTTTTGAGAAAAGTCAAATTCAGAGGTTTGAAGAAATTTTGCCAAAATTTTTTTTCCACTGGTTTGTTTCTTTTGACATGATATGCAATGACAATAACTATGAAATAAGACATTTATCCCATTCTAGGACATGTTGAATTTTGAACAGCTGAAAGGATGTAAAATTTTTACATACCAGCTGAATGGGTTGATATATTATATCTGCCTGCCACAGGAAAATAAAAACAATAAAAATTTTGGATAAGTTTCATGCTAAATTAAAATTGGGAAGAATGCTATTGTAATGTCATTATAGAAGCAATATTGTTCTTTTTATGAAGAAACTTGGAATTAAAAACACCATCCAAGAATTTTTTGTTTTGAATGAATGTACAAACATATTATTAAGTAGTATTAGAGTAACAAATGTTTTACTGTAGCTCAGATATCAGTTTTATGATAGAATTTTTAAAATAGGGTTTCAGTTGTTTTTGTTAGATCTGAAACTGGATTTGCGCCAATGAGAGTAATGAAAGTTTGATAGAAGTCAAATGTTGATGAATAAATCCCTTCCTTGAATGCATTATTGAGCATATGAAAAAACCGATTTGATGATACAGGCATGCTCCCTGGAGCACATTTTGCTCCTTCAGATTGTAAGAAACATTAATTATAAAATAATACTGACTATGCATCTGTCATTGTTGTACTGTAAGTCTATTTAATTGTAACATTTAGAAATGTAATGGATTCTTGATGCATATTGTATATACACTGTATATTAAATTGTAAATATATAATTATAAAGACAATCTACACATATTTATTTACTTACTAAGACCCTTCACAATATGAACAAGCATATGTTCTTCCATTCTTTATATATTTCATAACGTCATATATTTTTACAAAAAAAATTTGAATGCCGCAAGTTAGGTATTTGCATCAGACCGAACATATAGCATCATTCCTAATTAGTCAATTCAAAGTCACATGGCAGAAAGCAGAACTACCATAGATGTCATCCATACAGTGTCAAGATGCCAAATATTGAATGATGATGTCATATAACAATCTTTTTATTATCAATTCATAATCTTGGCTTACTGCAATAATTGGCAGCCATTATTCACACTCAATCTTGGCTTACTGCAATAATTGACAGCCATTATTCACACTCAATCTTGGCTAACTGCAATAATTGGCAGCCATTATTCACACTCAATCTTGGCTTACTGCAATTATTGGCAGCCATTATTCACACTCAATCTTGGCTAACTGCAATAATTGGCAGCCATTATTCACACTCAATCTTGGCTTACTGCAATAATTGGCAGCCATTATTCACACTCAATCTTGGCTGACTGCAAGAATTGGCAGCCATTATTCACACTCAGTCTTGGCTGACTGTAAGAATTGGCAGCCATTATTCACACTCAATCTTGGCTTACTGCAATATTTGGCAGCCATTATTCACACTCAATCTTGGCTAACTGCAATAATTGGCAGCCATTATTCACACTCAATCTTGGCTTACTGCAATAATTGGCAGCCATTATTCACACTCAATCTTGGCTTACTGCAATAATTGGCAGCCATTATTCACACTCAATCTTGGCTTACTGTAATAATTGGCAGCCATTATTCACACTCAATCTTGGCTGACTGCAAGAATTGGCAGCCATTATTCACACTCAATCTTGGCTGATTGCAATAATTGGCAGCCATTATTCACACTCAATCTTGTGTTGCCTGACATGGAACAATTTGGTAACAGTATTGCCCATACGTTGAAGAAAGCACTGCCAAAGAAGTTTGACTATTACAACACTCGACTTGTACTGTACATGATGTATATTGACTAGATAGTCCAGATACATGGTCCCAATATTACCATACCACTGGAACATTGCCTAGATCCTTGATCCGAAGATGGACTTTATAGAAATAACTAAATTGTTCCATGCCAGGCAATGATAGATCAAGATTGAATGATGACTGCCAATCCTTGGATTTACCTTATTCATGTCACGTGACCATGAATTAACCAATCAGAATTAGTTACATATTTGGTGTACAATAAAATAAAGTATCTTACCCCTTTCCAATGACCTTATGCTGTCGCAGAGGGTCATATAGAACTGATATAACATGTCAATTGTTTCACTGGTAAGACTTCTTATAAATATTTACTTGCACTTCAAAAGATGCGAATGGCCTATTGATATACTTTTAAAGAAGACTGCAACTCCAAGAACACAATATTTGTGGTATTGTTAAATGCCATAACATCATTCCATAGTGCAATTTACTACAAATAAATAACTTTAATAAACAGCATAAAAGCTAGAAAAAAATATACCATACTTCTACTTAATTTGGTGGCCGTTTTAATTTTGCGGATCTGCCAAATTGTTAAGTCCACCAAATAAAGTAGCCGCCAAACTCAATATTTCATATTTCAATTGTATTTCAATATGTATCATATCAACATTTCAATATTGCAAGTCCGTCAAATTAATTAGCCACAAAATGTTCAAAACAGCAAATCAACCAACGTGAGTAGCGCCAAATTAAGAAGAGGTATGGCTATAATAGGCCAAATTCATATAAGAAGTACTGATGTTTAATTTATTTCAAAACCAGTCACTGATACAATCCAAAAGAAGCATTAAGATTTGTCAAGCATGTAACTAAGCTGCCTTATAAATTGGAGCAGTGCTAAAAATCAGGGCAGTGCTAAAAGTATAGTCTTGTTGGTTTGTATGCATTGCAACACTGAACCTTCTCATTATGCAATAATATTGGAATAAGGAATTCACTTTCTAAATCAAGGAAATGACTATTTAACCAAATATGTTACTGTACTCTTGGTAGTTTTCATTCTTATATCCATATACATGATATATTTCCAGTGATTGACCAGTCCAATATTTCAAAATGTTTTTCCATATAGCATTACTGTAGATAATACCAAGATCAATGAACTTTCTCTTAATTAGTTTTGCACTCAGACTGATTATGCTTCAAAATAGTAAATTAGATTGCTTAATAAAGCGCTTTTGAGCCTGAATCACAAAATGTCATCAACCAATGATTGCATTTCTTGCAAGGATCTAAAGTCAATTTGAATCTAGGCGATTTGGTCAAATTCCAGCTTAACCGGAAACCCATATTCAGGTGTGGAATAACTAACTCCACATAATAATTCTGCATGTTTTGTGGTTGAATTATTTTGTCTCCAGTTTTTTTCATGGCACAAATGAAATTATGAATGCTTCCGCAATAAGATTACTCTAATATGATACTTCATTACTGCACTCGTGATTTTGTTCACAGTCACACATGCTGGTGCATTGATGCTTTAACTACACCTCACACAAACACTATCACTGCATCTGCATTTATGGCACTGCGTAAACTCCACTTTCAAGTTTCATCAACATTTTTTACAATTTTCACAATCTTTTCAGTTATGGATTGTGACTTTCCTACGCTGTGAACAAGTCTTGTTAATTCCCTAATCTTAGTGTCTTGTTCCTCAATGAGTATTCCCATCTCTTGAACTTTAATGTCCAACTCATCAAGTTTATAATTTTGCTTATTCTCCTTACGCTGTTCATTGCGGTTACTTCTCCAGTATTCGTAAGTTATTAGCCCTCCACCTACTATAAATAGGATACTCTCTCCTAGCAAGTCTGCTCCAAGATCAGTAGCCATCTCTTCATTTAATGGTTTAACATCCTTTGGTTTTCCGAGTCCCAAGATACGCACTTTCATGTTGGTATCCCATTGATGATACACTGTAAATGAAATAAAAAGATGTATCTTAAGCCAGTTTTGTTGCCTTTAATATGTTTGTTTGACAAAATATATTTGAACAATAAGTTGATGCAATTTCCTATAGTGGACGGCAAGATTCTTTTGTAGTCAAATCATTAGCTCAATAAATATTCCTCAAGATGAGACACTAAAAGCAATTTCAAATTGTAAAATGAGGATTGTGCAGTCATTTCAGAAAAAATAGAGAAATTCTACCTCATTCAAATTTCTGATCACTAATGAACAGTTTGCAAGCAATCCTGCATTGATAAGAGGTCAAAATAGTGATATTTTATCGGTGGGACCCTGTTTCTCTAAATTTGAATGGTGCTTCCTTGATTCCAGAAATGTGACGTCAGCATTTCATTGATATTTGGACACACAGGTTATCCCAACAAGAGTCTCATCTTGGGCAATATTTATTGAGTTGCTGTTCACACAACAATAGAATTTTGACGGAATGTATGCCATTAAATTTCCATAAGAAACTGAGTGAAAAATGGCAGGTGAAAATTAGAAGTGAAGTATACTTACGTTGCGCTGGTGGCATACATACATATTTGCGGAAGAATGGACTAGACTTTGCTCTACGCTTCATGATATTTGCCATTGGTTTAGCTATCTGTTTTATTGCAAGTGCCGCTAGTTTAATCAAAGGAAAAGGCATTTTCAGTATATTTTTCAAACCGGAAGTTGTTTCTGACACATTCTATTATGTTGATGTTTTTCATTGAATTATTTGTGGTTAGCAAATCCATACTTTCGATAAACCTTGACGTATTGTTGATTTGAATGTAATTAATGAAGCAATAAAGCTTGATCAATAATTTTTGAACTAATAACATTTTTTTGTAAAATTCAGACTGTGTCAGGACTGTGTAATGGGCTAGTTTTACGAACGACACATAATACGAACGAGGATCTGTTCGTTCGTTTTTCAATGCAAAAGTTTTGGTGTAATTATTGACCTAAATCACGCGTGTAAATAATCCTTAATTGTTTTTGCAATAATATGATAAGCTTAGGATCACAGGTCAAGAACAAGAGTTCATCCCCACACTCATTATGTATCATCTAAAACTACTTTTATAGGCCTGGTACTACAGTGAGTGGGGGGATGAACCACCGGTTCTCAGTTGAAAATTCCCCCGGGGTTGTTCCTGGGCCGGTGTAAAATAAATTATGGTCCCCTGGGGATTATGGTCCCCTTTCCTAAAGGCCCTTACTGGCCCTTATTGTGGATACGATAATTAGGGAAAGATATGTATTTAGGTCACCATATAAATCCGGGAAGGTAGGACCATAAATTGATAGGACCTCCTACCCTTTTACACCGGGTTCCTGGGTTTGTGGGGGCTCCCTAGGGGGTATGTGATAAGGTGACCTGGCCTCTAAAAAAGTGACTAATAATGAGACTATGTATATTTAAAAACGAACAAATGTGACAAATAAATGGCTTGCAGGTGGCAATTTTCATTTATCTGACTGACAAGTGTTTTATAAAAGTGACAAAAATAGACAATTCGTTCTGAATGTAAATATATGCAAGTTAAGATGATATATTCTAACCAGTGATCAAACAATGGAATATAACCGAAATCGTTTGTTGCATTATATGCTTTGACTGATTAAAAATGAGTCCTGGTAAAATATGACGGCTCAAGTAAAGGAGTGGTATCGATATGGTGAACTTTGAACACGCGTTTCTCTTAAACCAGTAATCAAAACGTTCTGAAAATTTTACACATCGTGAATTTAATGGTCATCTTTTCTCTATATTGTTTTTAGAAAACACATTAGACACTTCCTTCGCTCTTGGTATCATGTTCGGAATGAAATGAAACATCTATCCGAACCTCATTGGAACAAAACGACATAAACACAACGTGTTTAGGTCTCTCAATATTGTAATTGTACAAAGGAAAGTATGCCTTGATTTTAAAAAAGTATCTTGTTAAATAAATTAATTAATTTTTATCTATTTCGGGGGGTTTTGTTTTGAGAGGTCTAAGAAAATGTTGTATATGCTATTTCTTTCAAACAAGGTTCGGAAAGACATTTTATTTTATTCTCAAAAATTGGTAGAAGAAAGGAACAAAAAACAATTGCACTAAAAAACAAAAAATGTCAACAAAAACAGTTATATAAAATATATAAATAATTTTTGCATTAAATTGTTGCCAATCAATCAATATTACATAAAGGACAGTGTTTTTTACGGAATGTTTTCAATAATTGGTTTAAGAGAAAAACATTGTTGAATTCAGTTCTCCATATCGATACCTATCCTTTTAAATGTGACTCAAAGTGGCAATTTTGAAATTTTAAAAGTGACAAAAGCGATCTCACTGCCCCTCTTGGGGAGCCCTCCTGTGCAGAAGGCATTGGCCTAAGTAAGTTTGGAAACACTGGTCAAAGTGATTTCAAATTTGAAATCGACATGTAAAAGTATCTAGAAAAACTAATAAACCGTACATAATCAGAGACATATAAAACTTAACTTTTAACTTATTTTATTATTGCGTTTTCAAGTGTTATTATGTTGCACTACATGTACAACTAAGTTGTATTATTTACAAAAGAACGTAAATAGGAACTAGGCCGCAAGGCTAGTCTTGTCATTTATGGCTTTTTATAAGATCTATTTTTATTCTATACAACAAAAAATTCCGGTCGTTATGGTATGGTCGTGATGGAATTTGAATTTTATTATTCTATGCCCCTCCCATTGAATAACCTCTATTTATCCATAAGCATATACATATGTATAAGGATGATATTTTTATTCCAAAGTAAGTGAGTAAATTAAATTATTCAAATTAAACAGAAAACATTACGTACTTTTATAATGGCATTATTTTTTATTCATTCTTTACATCAAACCAAAGACGTAACTCTATCAATTTGTCATCATTTCTATGTCCCTTTTTCATGACATGCTAGTATGATACACATAAAGTACTTTAATATGATTGCCCAATAAGTCGCAGGTCGGAAGTCCGTCTAAGACCCCTTACTCATCCAAATTTTTTCCACCATTGCTAATGCTTATACCCCATAGCTACCTAGGGCTTTCATCTGAAGTCCATTATATATATAATTCGTTCATTTTTCTTACATCAGTATAATTGATGGATATTTATTTATTGTACCAATAATTCCCGTGAGGGCAAATGTACAAAAGAAGAGAAAGAAAACTTACATAGACATAATAACGTACAAGTAGAAAAGTACATAAATACAGATATATATGTAACTGGATCACGTCGTTACTGGGTGAGTCTGTCTAGTAGAAATCTACCTACTGAGCAAAGTACTCCTTATAGAGAATAATTCTGCCTTCAAGTATTTGTAATGAAATGATGGCCCAACTTTCCCCTTCGAGGCTGCGACCTCTTGTTACCAAAACGGATGGGCTTTCGCAACATGGCTTGTTGAGCTCCTCAAGTGCATTAAGGAAAAGACAAAGCTGAACATTATTTTGGCATAAATGCTTCTTTGCTAGATTCAACTTCTTTATCTGTCTTGTACATTTTATTCTACATACATAATATTATATGCTCCGAAGTATGATATTTTGAATGAAATATGTCAATATATCTTACATAAAGACAAATTATTTCAACTGGCCCACCCCATTAACATGAGTCAAAACATTATTTTTGGCAGTGTAAAACATATTTTTTTTATTGAGCTCCGCGTAGTCTTATCAACGCTTTCCTTAACTTGAATTTTACGTTCTGATACAGTTTTGCGCATAAAAGAATATAGGAAACTTATAAAATATGCAATTGTGCATCATGTCACCAGATCCAGGAAATTGGCAAAACATGTACAAGTATCTCGTGCCTTTTTTCTCCTATACATTGGCAGTTTAAGGGTCAGAGCAATGTTAGAACCTTCACCGATGAGTAGTTTTTCTAGATTTAATATGTACTACTTTTATTCCAAATATACAAATTCAAAATTTTAGCTTGAATTCGCGAATGCAACTAACGCCTATCGGCTACCGAACTATCCGACTATTTTATAGGCAACTATGAATAGTACCTGCCACTACTCCATTCATATTTAAATGAGTTGGTCATAAAATAGTAGTTCAATCCGGTAGCCGCTAGCCGTTAGTTACATTCGCAAATACAAGGTTAGAAAAATTATGTATGGATATCCGAAAATGGTGTAAATTCAAATATTTTTTGAAGAACATGTCGGATATAGTCATACTGAAACCCTGGGTGTCTAGATGAAAACCTAATACCTGGTATTTTCCCTACTAGAAGCCAAGAGTATTATTTTGAAAGTTATTTCTCTTGGGTGAAAATGGGGGGGGGATACCCCGCGTGAAAGTGATGTTTCAGTATGTTTGCTTACGTACTACTAGGTTTATGTAATGATTCCACATGCCACTTTTGTTAAATACAATCTATATAAATTATTCATATGACATATATTCAACTAATCGTGTTATGACATATTAGTTGTGGATTGCAATTTCTGCTTTGGACATACTCCTAGTAAAACTCATTGTACTTGAGCGATTATATTCTTGACTCTTTCCATTTTCAATTGCAACCGTTTCAATTACTCTAGTACCAGCTGACTCGAATCTCTCCCCGTCAAACTTAATTTCTCCAACAGGAGTTCCATGGGAAACTAATGACAGCGTTTCTACATTCTCTGGAATGTCAAGTTCATTTTCTGGATTCATTTTACGATTTTTCCTTTTGTGTCTCCTTTTAGATTTTTTCTTTGCTTCTGTAGTTGTGTCCAATGGTGCTAGGGAGTTGTGTGGATTTTTAGTTTTTTCATTGTCTTGTCTAGCCGCTCTTTTGTGACTCTGACTAGGTACAAATATATTTGGGACTTCTTGGGCTGTATCGTTTATCAAAGCACCGGTTTTGGTACAGCCACTCTTTCCAAATATGCTGGGTAATTTAAACAGTCCTTTTTGACCTCCTTCTGGTTTCTTGCTACATGCATTCCGGAACATCGACGGATGTATTGAAGCACCAAGGTCTCCATTCTTCACAAGATGAGGTTCGTCGATTTCATATCCCAATTCAGGACAACTCGGGGACCGCACCAGCTCTACTCGCTCTAAATCTTTAAGGGCGTTTAGAGGAGAACTAGCTCTTATGCTGTTCACACTTTGGGATTTTCCCCGATCTATGCTCGGCAGAGTTGTCGTAGAGGATATGGATGGGGCGATACTTTTAATAGAGCACCTGGAACTTTTGCGGCTTCTGGCTCCATTCCAGCCGATCTCGAAATCGCAGCCCGACTTTGGGCTTGTGTTTGTTGGTGCTATAGGAGGCAAGGACATGCATCCCTCTTCGATAGGAGCACAACTGGGCCTTGTGGTATTTCCTTCCTCCGTTGGATGTTGACCTTTGCTCATATCGTTTTGAATCTAGCGTCAATTCCAACGGGATGTGTTTTTGATTTCAACCTCACTGAATAATCCAATAATCCGTAACAATACTATCTGGAGAATTTGTTTACGTGTAAAATTGATAGTCTTTACAGAACGTTCAGGTTTTCCCATCTAACGTTCAGGTATTCCCATCTAATACACAAATATTGTTAAACCTGAAAAACAGAAAATAATTTTAATGAAAATTTTGAATCTTCTTTTGTTTAAGACACAATGGATGCACTTTGGTGTTAATGCATTGTCCCCATAACCAATCGACTAAATAGTTTACTTTAATTTTTATATAAAGGACCAGATTTAGTATGGCAAGTGATTTTGGACAGTCATATTTTTCACCATGAGTACTTTCTGGCCATAAATACAGTCGTTTTTATCAAAACAATATGTTTTCTTCCAAGTTAAGTCCTCATGATAATAAAAAATGTTAGGCTTATTTTCTAAAAAGAGGATCTTGTTTTTCTCAATATAAGTATATCAAAAATTAATTCTACACTGTATGAACAACTTTTTGAAAAGAGGATGGGGATTGGAATGCGATAGTTAAAAACCACATATTCCATTTTATTTTCCTATAATGAAAACTCATGCTATCCATTGTTTTTAGCATAATTTTGGTCATCGAAAATTGATATCTTCAAAACTAGACTTTCAATACCATTCTACCTTTGAAGGAGTTTTAGACCCATTGTTCAATAATATTTTCATGAAATGATAATCAGAAAAAGAAGATCCTCTTTTGAGTAAATTGGTTCAACATTTTGAAGACTGGATCCTTTGATCAATTGATCTCTCACATTGCTCAATATTTACTATTCATTTTTTACCGTTTATGCTAGGTAATTTTAGCAATGTGATACCGAGTGATACGTGTATCTATAAAACTTAAGCAATGTGATACCGTGTGGCATCTATATAATAGGTAATTTTAGTAGCTATACGGTATAACTAATTAGTGTTTACATCGGTAGTTTCAGGTTTAAATTTACCTATTTTAAAGGGTAATTTTACATGACATCAGTGCGAACTTACCTGACCTATAAGAATGACAAAGCACTGCAAATATCCTTTACGGTGATGACATTCTGGGATAACTTCATTTATTTTTACTATCCATTACAGATTTGCGTAGTTTCTGACGAAGATTATCCAACAGTTGTAGGCAGTCATTTCAGCCGAAGGAATATCCTCAGTTGATGATACCCCTTTAAGGCAGCACTCGCAAGCTATTCTTCAAGCAAACGATATGATGTCCCGTGTTATCTCATCTGATTTAGTATAACTCCGATCCCGAGTAAGTATACCGATGGTGTTAAGACTCCTTTAGATGGTTATCACTTGATCGCTGAGATTGAGATTTCGACTGACCTCTGATCTTGGATACACTTATCCATTGGTATACAAACAATCAAAGTCTCGTGATATAACAGCAAATCTGTTAATCTCTTAATCTCTATAGAAATCTCTAAATCTAATCCCGACCTCCCTTAATCTCAATTGCGCCTCAAATGCGATCAATTCAGATTAGTCGGAACCTATTGAGAATGTTAACGCATTATATACATTGGGAAAATTTTTGGCAGCAGAGCAGAAACGAACAAAAGGCTTTCATAAAACGAAACCGCTCAATGAGGGAATATAATATCTTGGAACTAAACAATTGAATATTAGTTTGTATTAGATTAGGAAGCATTAGATAAATTCAAATGTATCATTTGTATTCATTTTCTACACCCCACACAGTGTAGACTGCCAAAATATTTAAAGTACACTACAGGGGCATTGCTTTGTCGTTAGCAGTTGGCACAAAAGCATGAAAGGGAATTATTCTTGTACTAAAGAGCAACGCAAGAACTCCAAAGCTTTGATAAATCTTTGTAAAAGAAACTTCTATTGAGAACTAATATTATACTAATCATATTGAGAATATTAAAGGAAATATTAAGAAAATACTAGCTTACAATAGTCAAATGAAACATCAATATGCGATGTACCTTTGATTTTTGGTTGATCTTGACCTTCAACATGACCTTGAAGAACCATATTTACCTTTGACATGGGAGGCCTGCCTTGATATTTTAAGAGTCTTATTTAGTGGTCAATAGCCTCAATGTTTAGTTTAAATGGTTTATTTTTAGAGCTAGTATTTTATTTATAAAAAGGAAGGACCCGTTGAATATAGGTTTAGCAAGTACAATATCAATAATATTGACCGAAGAGTTAATATTTTAAAACTCTGATAACACATTCAATATCATGTAACAATTTATTACAATTTGCAGCTTTTTGTTTTGTTACATAAAAAAAATCCATAAGCGCTTGAAAACTTCATTATGATCTTCATGCTTGTAAATGCTTCAATACAGACATTTCCCATCAAAGACTTTGATTACATCGATTACATAAATGTTTCTTGACCAAGTATTTTGAGTTGAATATTGAATGTGCGTTAGAAGTTACATCATAAATCTTTAATGGTTGTTGTTGTTATGAAACGTTCGTGTTTTTTCTCTCTTGGGAGTTAATAGTGTCAGCAAAGTAAGTAGGTATTGCATGTCTGATTCTGACATCCAAATTGAATTTACTAAAATTAGTATTGAGTTTGTTTAACACATGTCTTTGGGATCCGATCAAATCATTTATATTAAATAATCTCAGAATTGATCCACTTTTTAAAATGTTTTTGAATTTGAAATATTCCATATTACTTGTTTTCTTGTATCAGCAATTGCAAATTATTTGTTTCTAGACTATGCTACTCCAATAAGGCTCCGGCATCAAGAATGTCTTGGTAGAATTTAGGAAGGATTTCCATAAAAAATATACCCAAATTCAAAAGGAGACAATGTATTAACATGCAAAATGTCACCACCATTTGTCACAGACGCAAACCGCAATCACAAAAACGGAAATCATAACAATATGTCACCACTTTTTAGTGGCGACTTAATAACTAGAATCCCGAGCGATGTTTCTAAAATACGAAGGTAGCAGTAAAAAGCCTAGTACGTCCTCCATCAACTTGTACCAAGACCATTATATGTAACTGTCATGGATGTCTGACCAACCATTACCATGGGGGTAAAATCAGCACTGTGCCAAGTTAATTTCACCGTCTCACGCGTGCGTCTGTGAAACATCGCTGAATTCAAGGTACAACAGCATAAATCTAACCAAGAGAATATTTTTATTCGAAGGGTTATATGCAGAGAATCAAGGGTCAGATTGGGATGGTTATGGCTCTCAGTCCCGAAGACTTATAACTTGAAGCAACAATAACATTATCAGGCATATTTTAAAAAGAACATAAAATTACAAATATTCAATAACATAATTTATTATAATGTTGATGAGTGTCTTCTGGTCTTTGACACTATATCATATTTTATTCTTAATCAATCAAAAGTTTCTTTATTGCTGGCGGATCCAAGGGGGTATGGGGTCCCCCAGGATGGGCCCAGAAAAATCCTCAATTAGTGGTGCTTTGTGGTCATTATTTTTATTTTATGCTATACTAGTAATCAAATCCCATAAAATGATTCCTAAATCAATTGCTCATGCATGGATACACTCCCCTCCATAAGTTTGGCAACCCAAAGTTGCCAAACTTTGCAGTAGCATATCAAAGCCTTTCAGTGATTGAATCTTAATTCTATTCCTTAGTTCAATTGAATCAGAAAATGACAAAATTGGTAATTCCATTTAAATTGCCAAAATAAACAGGCTTTGGTAACTGATCCAAATGGGACTTATGGGAGTCAAACGTATGGGGGGAGTGATTCATAATGTCATATTATAAGAAAAATACACTTAGGAATTCTTAACTTCGAGAAAGCTTCTAGTAATGACCCTTAGATACCTCATATATCTATATACATGATATAACATTTGGAAAATATTCAATTCAGATCTATGAGTCTCAAAACACTCTAAAAAGCTCTAGATAAAAAAAGGTTTAAAACATTCATGTTTTTTTTAACATAGCATATTACACTAGAAAAGCAAAAAACACTTCCTTATGAAGTTATTTTAAAGTACACTTTTAATGTACTTACATTTAGGATATCTGGAAAAGGTGTAAGTTAACTAATGTAGAAAATATAGTTGTCAAGATATGACACACTAGAGCTCCTCTTTATCAGTATATCGAGAAAGCATACACAACAAAGAATAATGATGTTTGAGTGCAATTTATAACTTTGAAAAAGAATCATTTAAATATTGTATACATATAATATATTTGTGAATAAATTGTTAAACAATTTGTTTAGTTTAGTTTAGTCAAACCACAAGAATATTAACAGATCCCCATTTTATATCAAATACAACATAAATGTTATAAAATAAAGAAAAATACATATTATCTATGATCATGAAGCAGATGTAACTGTAGGTCAATACTGAGTCAAATCTAAAATTGATAAAGGAAAAAACTTGAAAATATGACCTCTAACACTGCATTTTGTTGAACTGCACTGAATATAATCACATCAACAAAAAAGTTCATTACATTTAATTTGTGCCACATCTTATATTCGACATAAAGTCAAACTTTTGACACATTTGATTTGTGCAAGATTTTATACTCCACACAAAATCTTTTGACACAGAAGTTCATTGCATTTGATTTGTGCTTCATTTTACATTCCACACAAAGTCAAAACTGTAACACAGTAGTTCACTACATTTGATTTGTGCCACATTTTACATTCCACACAAAGTCAAAATTGTGACACAATAGTTCATTGCATTTGATTCGTGCCAGATTTTATATTCCACACAAAATCCAACTTTTGACACAGAAGTTCATTGCATTTGATTTGTGCTACATTTTACATTCCACACAAAGTCCAACTTTTGACACAATAGTTCATTGCATTTGATTTGTGCTACATTTTATATTCCACACAAAGTCAAAACTGTGACACAGTAGTTCATTACATTTGATATGTGCCACATTTTACATTCGACACAAAGTCAAACTTTTGACACAATAGTCTTTTGCATTTGATTTGTGCTACATTTTATATTCCACACAAAGTCAAACTTTACAATAGTTTACAAATGATCTGTAACACAGTTTATATCCATGTGTGTCATGTATGTCTGTACCACATGTCATGTATGTCTGTCACACTTTGTTCAAGACAAAATGTCACAGTTTTACAATATATGTTCCCATTAATCCTTTTCGTGCCTCTCTTTATCTGGCAAAAGGGTTTAAAAAGGGGAACATCTTTATTTCAGTTTTAATTTCAAATCTTCTATATTTGATCACATATCTCAACAAAAAGAAATTAAATTGGGTTTATAAAGTAAACAATGACTTTTGAAAAATGCTTCTTACACTCACTGCCAAATAAATCTTCAACATAAAATGTAATATTTCATTTACCTTGAACCTTTACGTGCAATTATTATAAAATCAGGTTACGTGTAGTAAGAGGGAAGTCAAAGAAAATTTCACAGGTATTCGCATGGTGTTTAAATAATTCATCTTCAAAAAGGATGATTTTTTTACATTTACACACAATTCACTCAATAGGTTCAACATAAGCTTTACAATTAATCACACAAGATTTGGTTTTTCTAAATTGAGGTAGCACATTCTTAAATAGTATGGTAAAATGTGTACTTTATTACACATTATGTAGTAGTTCGAGCTTCCAGGACTTCGAGCTTTGTTCATGGACTAAGTTCTTGGCTACAGTATGTGCACGAGTATGACTGTATTAAAACTATAAAGTCAGTTGGAGCAGTCGGAGGGAAATGTGACTAGATGATAGTGTTTCGAGGGTAGACATTCTGATTACATATGATCGTGCCGCGATCTATGTACATGTAGTCGGTTCAGTACCTCAATAATAATAGCCTCAAGATGTGAGACCACATTTATTAATTGAGCCTAGCCTACTTCTACTTCTATGATGACCTTAGTTCAAGTAATTATGACATCATTGATCACCTGATTAACGCTGTGGAGAAAGTCGAACTTAAAGATCGCAAGCTGACAATACGTCGTCTTGGGTAAAGTCTGAGACATGTAGGTAAACGGTGATGAAAGGCAACAATCACAGTCAGGAATATAACAGCAGAGAGCAGTATGTATCCGAGAGTAAGTGGTGGAGTCTCTAACTGGAAATAAAAAACATATAAATTTCAACAAGGCATTAACATGCAAAAAGTCATCACCTGCCATTTGTTACAAATGCTGAACCCTGAACTACAAACACCAAACACCGTCCACAAAAAAAGTTGGAGACTATAACAATATGTGGTGACATAAAAAGCATATAATGTTTTAAATAACAAAACAACAGCTGCCATCTTTATATTAGCTTACATTGACGTAACCAAATTACCCAAAATGGCGTCTATTTTAACTCAGTCAGAAGTATAAACCTAAAGTTATGTAAAACACCATTAAAATATGAACTTAGTTCGGTGGTTGCAATCGTCTGCCTTGTCATGGCTACGCTAGAGGCTTAAACCCCATGGATTTTTTATCCAACCACTTACCTCTGGATGTTGTATGCGACTAATACTGCGTCTTTGGGAGTTGATTAGATAGATGAACAATGACTCATACACTTTGTGGATCTTTATCAAGACCCTCTGCAAGCAAGAAAAGTTGATCTAATGTACATGTTTCAAGGACATCACATAGGACTGGTTAACATGGAGATTGGAACATCAAATTGATCACATTTTAGATTTGGCAGTTTTACAGGTAGATCTCAAAGAATATATTTGCAGAGTTAACGAAAGTTAATGTCTCTGTACCATGAATTTATTGGCATTTCGATCACTTTTAACCAATGGCACAATTCCAAAATCATGTTAGGGTAGACAAATTATGAGAATAGACAGAAAACATAACATTTTCATTGTTAACCCTCTAAAATAATGAGTGCATTACCAGAGATTCATAAATGATGAATGCATAACCAGAGATTCATAAATGATGAATGCATTACCAGAGATTCATAAATGATGAATGCATTAGCTGAGATTCAAAAATGATGAATACATTACCAAAGATTCATAAATGATGAATACATTACCAAAGATTCATAAATGATGAATGTATTACCAGAGATTCATAAATGATGAATACATTACCAAAGATTCATAAATGATAAATACATTACCAAAGATTCATAAATGATGAATACATTACCAAAGATTCATAAATGATGAATGTATTTCCAGAGATTCAAAATGATGAATGCATTAGCTGAGATTCATAAATAATGAATACATTACCAAAGATTCATAAATGATGAATACATTACCTGAGATAAAGAAAATGATGAATGCATTACCAGAGATTCATAAATGATGAATACTTTACCAAAGATTCATAAATGATGAATGTATTACCAGAGATTCAAAATGATGAATGCATTAGCTGAGATTCAAAAATGATGAATACATTACCAGAGATTCATAAATGATGAATACATTACCAAAGATTCATAAATAGTGAATACATTACCTGAGATAAAGAAAATGATGAATGCATTACCAGAGATTCATAAATGATGAATACATTACCAAAGATTCATAAATGATGAATATATTACCAAAGATTCATAAATGATGAATGTATTACCAGAGACTCAAAATGATGAATACATTAGCTGAGATTCAAAAATGATGAATACATTACCAGAGATTCATAAATGATGAATACATTACCAAAGATTCATAAATGATGAATACATTACTAAAGATTCATAAATGATGAATGTATTACCAGAGATTCAAAAATGATTAATGCATTTTCAGGTAATGCGCATATGAAATCTTTCTGAAAAATGTTTGAACAGAGCACGCGCTAAAGGAAAACATACACACACTCAACTAAGCTTAGTTTACCTTTAATTGAGCACTTGGTGGATTAAAGAGATCGAAACACTTGGAATCTTTAGTATCTCCTCCTCCCCACAATTCAATGGCTAATGAATATGGAATCTGTAAATATATAAGTCAGTTCATTCATAGAAGTCAGCATTAATTATTATTCACTTGGAGTAGCATCTTCTATACAATCTCGCAAAATAACTGTTATAGATGTGAACACATTCATTATTTGTTTTTTACCGCAAAATAAATGTGGCAGAAGGAATATGAGTTTATTTTTCATTTTTGTAAAAAGTAACAAAGTAATTTTAGCCAAAGGTGAACATTTCAATGAATATATGTAGGTTCAAATTATCTTCCAATAGCTTTCATGTAAATGGTTTGTTCAAATGACAAGTTAACACAGTAACAAGTAGAATTAATTTAATTCATTTTTATTATATTTTATATTCCTTTTTCAATGAGATATCTTAGCCAAATAAACACATTCTCCTGGTGTCCCTTGATAATATGTGTTTTTGGATTTATTGTTTGTGTTTTGATTTGATGTGTGGAAAACTTGTTGCAAAAAGAATGTGGCAGTAGGGCTTTCAGTTTTTCATGTTTGTGCCCTAAACAGATCAACAAAGTAGTGTACCCCTTAAATATCATTTTAAGCCTTAGTTTACCTTAGTAAACCAGTAACGGCCCTAGCATGCTTGTCAGGGGAGCTGTAGCATAACAAGCCAGATACAGGACATGAAAGAGAGTGTGCTGAATTCCACACCCCGTTTCGGAATCAAACAGTGGACCTTCCACTCCATAGACCAATGCTCTTCACTGACCAATAAGGGCTAGCCACTACTGCTGGGACTGGGGGTCACTCGATACATTTGAATCATTCCATACCTTTCTCACTCCTGCCATATAGTCAAACAATGTCCCATCAGCTGTGTAGTCATTCAGTTGCCATGACAACCCATATTTGTATACATTCCCAGTTGCATCAGAAATCTGTTGGGCAAGTTGTAACATCCCTGATACATTTTTGGGTTGCCTACGAGTCTTCTTCGATAAAGTATCTGGAGAGGAATCATGAAATAAATGTTTGATATATATTGATTTACATTTATATTCCAACACCACCAGAAGAATCTTAAGGTGTGATCCTGGATTTTGCAATCTTAGATCATTTCTGAAAACCTACATATTTTGCACTAATAGACATATAAAGTGAAACCTGAAAACACCTCTAGAAATGGATCACCTCTTTTAGTGGAACACTTTTCAGAGTCCCAAGACCAACTTACTTAATGTTTAATTGAACCTCTATAAGTAGAACACCTCACAGGTGGAACACTTTTTTCAAGTTTCTGGTGACTCTCGCATCTATTTCTCGAAACAGTGTTTGAAAGAATTGGGAGGGGGGCATAGGGGCTAAATGCAAGACATCTTATCAAAGTACATGTACAGAATTAATTTATGTACATGATCAAACAAAAAATGCAATTGACTAACCATGCTAACTGACCCATATATTAAAATTCAAATGCAATTAATCTGCAGTACGTAATTTCCAAAGATGTACATTTACCTGCAATATACACATATTGAAATATGAACAAGTCTATGTAAAATATTTACCTGCATATGGTATGTATATTTGCTGAATTCCTGAATGTAGTGAAAAGAAAGCATCAAATTTGTACTGCATAGTTAACTCTGTCAAAACCCTGCACTCCGGCTCTGTAATAAACATACCATATGATATCATAACTACAATTCAATAAATAAAAATAACAACGTAATAAAATTACAAACTTATTAACCCATCAAGAAGTAGACTGGATAAATTGTGTATCTTCAATGTTTTGGAAATAGACCTGTTTATCAGAGCAATGCTCTTAATTTGAACACCTCTCAATGTGAACACTTTTTTCTATCTGTTTTTAATTTGCCATTGACATGTTGAAATGAAAAACCTTTAAATGTGAACGCCTTTTCTGTCTGTTTTTAATTTGACATTGACATGTTGAAATGAAAAACCTTTATATATGAACACTTTTTCTATCTCTTTGCCAATGACATGTTGAAAAGAAAAACCTTTAAATGTGAACAACTGCCAATCTGAACACTTTTGGCTTATCTTAGGGGTATTCAGATGAGACAGGTTTGACCGTATGTTGATTTTCATTGCCATGCTAAATGAAAACTGTAACTGAGAGTTATAGTATAACTTTACCTGAGAAAGGTTTCTCTCCTCTATATTCCTCGTCATATTTATCAGCCGAGCTCCCCATACCCCCAAACTGCCAATCAAAGTTCCTGTTGAGATCTACGCCCTCACTGGTTCCTCGCCAGCAGTAATTTTTTGTCCTTTCTACATATAACCTACCATCGGGATTCATCATTATCACAATATACATTTCAATTTTAGAAATTATTAAAGCTGAGTATTTGTATTGCTGTGATCTAATCGGAGCTGCTAGTCCATTGGTGATATTTGTTAACAAGTGAAACGCACTCTCAACTGGAAGGAATTCTCGTGAATGTTCACCAAATGATAGAAGCATTCGTAGCTTAGGAGAGTTAGTTGTATTGTGATTTTTTAATATAATCAGCATCTGTGGATTCCCAAGTCTCGATTTGTAACTCCAGTCGACTTTCATATATGAGGGATTGTTCTGTTCTAGCAGTTTCACATGGTTCATAATCTGCGTAAGATTATGATAGATTTTATAATCGGGTAAATATCGTTCCTGTACTGGTTTTACATCTCTACTATGTGCCAGTCCTTGAACAAGTATGAATATGATGTATGAAGAAAAGAAAGATGGCATATTGTCAGGTTACTTGCTGTCAAATCGTATCACTTCACAATCATGATCTGAAATAAAATGAAAGTGTATCAGTGGTATTGAAAGATAAAGTTGTGAAATCTTTATTTGTTAGTTTTACAGTAGTTTATTGCACTGATATCATACAAGGTCCATGATACCACATGCTCTCTCTTGTATCAATTTTGTATCTTGGAAATGTAAGCCTTTCTCACCACCAGGAATAATCAAAAGTACCGTATATCGAATAGACTAGTTTATTACTCGAGTCTCTAGGTTACAGCGGAATATAGAGAAGGCTTGGACTGAAGTAAGTTTATACACACAGTAAGTTTATACACACATGTAGACATAAAATTTTTACAAGGCCGTCTCTGTATTACAAGGCAAGGGACTCGAGTACACGCATCGGTACGTGTCATTGTGTATGTCTTGGCTTTGGCTTCGGAAAAAATGTGATAAAATTCCTGGTTTACTTACCTTCTTATGTACTCCAATCAACGCTTCAAACGTTATGGATAATGAGGTTGCCTTTACCACTTATTATTTACATTGGTTTCTATTGTATTTCTTAGTTTCTAACAGTTCCTCTGGTAAAAAATTCAGTAAAATAAAAAATTAAATTGATTTTCGAATATTGGTATTCCCCAAATAATTATCACGTGATATAGATGTAGTTAAATTTCAAACGTTAGAGCGTTTACATTTTGTCTGCACAAAACGGAAGTGCAAGAAGCACATTTTATTTGTATTCAACAGAAAATGCCTCCGACAACCTTCAAAGTGGAACCTGGACTGGTTGATTCATCTAATCCAGGTCCTTTCATCACCAAACCAACACAGCCGACCGAAAAGAAGCCTGGACAACTGACAAAAGAACAAGTTGACCACTATTTTGAGCAGGTAGACTTTTTTGTACTGCCTATTTTTTGTGTTTTTGAATTTCAGATTTGACCTACTTTAGCTAGCCTTCCTCGAGTCTCTAGAATATAAGAGAACTTTAAAAGGGGTTTGTCTGATTTGCCGCCCCACCCAAGGTAAATTTCAACCTATCTACTGTAGCACACATTTACAGTACTGTCAACCCCCAAAGATTTTCTTGCTGGACAGATTTTTTAGACCCAGTGCCATAAATTAGCGTGATTTCACGGGACATCCACCTAATTTCACGGTATTTCTCTGGACATTTATAAGGGATTTGCTTGATTGCGCTAATATGCCAAATTTTTATCAAATTCGTGGGATTTCGAGGGACCATTCGAGGGGCAAACACCCTAATTGCGGGACAGTTAACAAGGTTTATCCCGTACCGGGACTATAGTCCTGTAACGAGCGCATTCTTTTGCCTGTACGATTACAACTTGGGAGAATTATCTACGCCCCTTACACTTAAAGGGGCAATAAGGCTTGTAGAGAGAAAATAGGAAAATTTTAACTTTTTCTGAGCTATCAAGGCAACAGTTGGCTTAACATCTTCTTCGACATACCTATTTTCTTAAAATATATGGATAAACTATCAATTTCGGCATTAAAAAGTGTAAATTCAGTTCAAAGCTTCAAAAAGGGGACGTCCACTTTTATATTTTTAAGATCCACCATGTTTCAAGAGGAATATAAGCTGAAATAATGATTATCTAGGGGGTTTCTTTGTAGAAAATTAAAATAGATGTTAGTCTAGATGAAATATCCAAACTTAAATATATTTTGACACTGGTCCATGATCGTTGAATGGCCCTCTGCACTACTTGTTGCACCTTTAAGATACCTACTTCAATAGATTCCTGGATATTTTAGCATTCTTTTCGTGTAGTTGAATCCACAATTGTTTGGGTATATCGGCAGAATGTGAACATTTTTCTTTTTCATCGAGAGATATTCCATCACTTTCCAAGATGGCAGTTGGATTTAAAAGGTGATTCCCCATTTGACTGACCAGGAAGTGGTCCGGATGTACCAATAAATGGAAGAATTTGACGGTTGAAATAAGTTAAATATTACACGCAAATATTGCGATCAAAAACGAAAATTTCTTTGTTCTGCCGATAAACTCAGACAATTGTGGATTCAACTACACGAAAAGAATGCTAAAATACCAAGGAATCTATTGAAATAGGTATCTTAAGTGTAAGAAGCGTAGAAAATTCTCCCATGTTGTAATCGTACAGGCAAAAGAGTAAGACGTTCGCAGGACTATAGTCCTGGTACGGGATAAAACAAGGTAACCACAAAAGACTTCACAGAGGGACAGATTTTTTGAACAAAGTGCCCTGAATTTGCAGGATTTCGCGGAAGATCCACCTACATGTAAGTTTGCGGGATGTCACGAGACATTCAAGGGATTTGTGTGATAGGGATTTTAGTCTAAACTTTACTCCTCAAAAGTGCAAAAAACTTGGCTTCTTACAGTATATCACAAGATAATCACAATATAGGGGATTGCAATAATTTTTGAAATTCGATCGCGAAGGTCAAAGCCGACATTCGCAGGACATTGCGGGACACATGAATTAGCCTAATTTTGATCAAATTTGTGGGATAATCCCACTATTTGCGGGACACTTGACAGCTCTGCCTGTAGGGTCTGATCTTTTTGTTACAATCCAGTGGTGACATATTGTTACAGTCTCCAACTGTATTGTGGATGGTGTTTGGTGGTTGGTGGTCGCAGTCAGCAGTTACTTAAGGTGCCATGCGGTACTTAACAGGAAATGACAAAACAGGAAGTGACAAAACCATGCTGGATTTCAAACATTTTTTGAAGCGATAACAGAGTTCTGTGTTGACCACTAGTCAATTCAAATAGTTCCACATTTCATTTTCATGACCAGGATCACAATGTGCATGGTCAAAATGACCCTAAACATGATGAAATAACTTTTTCAGGCCTCTGAAAATGTGACTGAAAAATACCTAAAAGTAGGCGCTAAGGAAAGATCGCTGAACATGATCTTTTGAATTTTTCAGAAAATGTGCCTAATATATTGCTCTATTGATACAAGCTTTGGATATTTGATATCATTCATAGAAAAAGAAAAAAATGAAAAAAACCGAATTGAAAAGTGATCTATTTTCCTTTTTATATTACCATGGAAACAGATTATTTTTTGTGACTGTTGGGGTGCCCAATGTTTTGTTCTGTAACTATTGTCACACTTTTTGATCATTTGCAATAACTCACTTTTGTTAATTTAATGCCTTGTTCTATTTGGAATTTCACTTTGGCTTATTTTAACCAAAATTATCACTACGAACGATACCAGCCATACATGTATGTGACTTCAAACACGTACATGTATAAAGTTATAACTCTTAAATTGTCCTTGTTCTACATCTGTGTTGATTGTATTTCTTAAGGTTATAAAAATATGCCAAAGTTTTTTCAAAAGCTCTTGACCCTTTAAGATATGATAAGATTGCCAATGAAACATTTCCAGCCGCATGTACACTGACGGTTTTTTGAATGAAATCTTTGTTTAGCTGGGTTTTCTTTATACCCGGTCCCTCGGGTTGATATATTGTATTTCCCGCTGTATCAAAAACATTGCATTTAATAACCTCAATTTATATGAAGTACCCCTGAAATAAGCATGTGCAACTTACATTGAAAAAGTTATTGTTTATATAAAATGTAAATTGCATTGTAGATATACAAGTCGATACATTCAGGCATTTGATACTGTATTTGACAATTTTATCCCAACATAAAATAATTTAATTCAAATTTCTCAAAATTACTTCATACTGTAAGTCTTGCTGAGACCTTGTGTAACCCCCCCCCCCCCAGGACAGAGAGGGAAAGGCTTGTCTGCAGGACTAACCATTTCTCTATCTTCTTTATTGCAGGGTCACTTATTAATTGATGACTTCTTCAACATTGAGGATGACTTAGAACCTGCAAGAGATGCGATCAGAGACAGAGTCGAGGCTCTCGCTCAGAAACTCTATAAGGCTGGCAAGATAAAAAGTAAGAAAAACATTTTTTGATTTTTGGCTCGACTCCAACAAGTGGCCATTGTTACCATTTTATGTCCCCACCAGAAGCGGTAACAAATTGTTATAGACTCCAATTTTTTCTAGATGGTGTTCGTTGGTTGGTGTTTGGTGGTCAACATCCTTAAAATTGGTAGATGGTGACATTTTGCATGTTAATGCCTTGTTGTTACTGGTACGAGTGTTTGACATGGGCATCTCAAATTGTAACTTCACACTTCTTAATGCTGAAATTGATAGTTTATCCAAACATTTTAAGAAAATAGGTATGTCAAAGAAGATGTTAAGCCAAATATTGACCTGATAGCTCAGAAAAAAATAAAATTTTTGAATTTTCTCTCTACAGTCCTTGTTGCCCTTTTAAGTACAGTAAAACCTGTCTAATCTGAACGCCATTGGGACCGGATAAAAGCGTTCAGATTAGGAGGTGTTCACATTTCAAGGTTTTTGTATCCGCAAAAATCCGGATTCTGAAGAAATGTGAACACATTCTCGGTAAATATTTATAGTTCTTTTGACCAGATAGCTTTATGGCATTTCAGAAATTTGAAAATTTGATTCAAATGAATCTAATCATGCTGGAAAGCCCCAATATGAATGAGACCATTCAAGATTATTTCCCAAAGTTTTGATATCATGACAAAATTTGAGCAATTTTGTATAAAACATCAGAAATTTTATGAAAAGTGTTCAGATTAGACAAGTGAATTTTTCAAATATGACTGCTCACTGTTCAAATTGGGAGGTGTTCACATTTCAAGGTTTTTTAACATGGGAGTCAATGGGAGAAAAAAATAGGACCAAAAAAGTGTTCAGATTGGAGGTGTTCGGATTAGCCGGGTGTTCAAATATTCAGGTTCTACTGTAAGTGGTAATTAATCCCATTGGTTAATTTTCCGAATGGTCAAATTTTATAATTTTACCAATTTTAATTTTCTTAATAATAAGAAACTTGCCATTGGATAACAATATTGAAGATAATATTTCCGTCATTTAATTTTCCAAACCTGGCAAAAATTAGGCAAGAATCAAATTAAATGATTAGGCAAAACATGGGCTTTCGATAGATTGAATGTCCATGGGCAAAATTACCACGTATTCCAAGTGCAAAATGAAATCAAAATGATAAGGGATTCTCTGTATTATTTAACCTTTTTGACCATGCTACAATGGGTTTAAAACCAGAGCAATTTTCATTTAACCTTTCAACACTCAATATGATTAAACTATAGTTAAAGTGATGTTACATTCTTATTTACCAGAGTCTCTCTTTATTTAATGATTGAGAGGGACTGATTTATCATAAGACAAAACATGTTCTTGGCCAGTACATTCTTCAAGTAATCAGTGCATATATTTTCATACCAAAGCTAAAGCTGGGTACGGGGCTGTAGTCTCTGGTAATAAGAATTAACAAGATAATCCAGTGAATTTCACTAGAAAAATATGAAGGCCATATGCTAATGGAGACAACTGATCCACTTCTTATGAAAAGATCACGGAGAACAGCAATGAACAAAGTAAATGCTTGTTTTGTTGTTGGTTAGGTAACATGCTAATGACGTCGCATGTTAATATAGGATCAACAGAGATGTGTGACGTTACGATTATTTATTTGTTTATAGTTACTCAATGGAGTAAATATGTGACTGATGTCATAGTTTATGTGATACGTCATATCTCGAATCACAATCACATAATTTGACGACTTGGCAGTTGCCTTGATGATTTGCCATTTAGCTAATGAAGGCGGGACTTAGGTCACGTGAATGGTCTTAGCCCGGTCCATATAAAGAAGGGTACCGCCCACATCGTGGGGGGCCTTCATAAAAACAAGAATGGATGGTAAATCAATAAAATATTATCCCAATAATTTGTAGCTAAATCATAATGACATTAATTATCCCAACGAACGAAGTTCGGTAGGGATATAGTGAAGCCCTCCGTCCGTCCGTCAGTCCGTCAGTCTGTCCGTCTGTCCGTCCGTCTGTCCGTCCGGAAGATTACTCAAATATTAGTTGACGGATTTTCTTCATATTTGGTGGAAAGATGTATATTGATGAATAGTTTTACGCAAAAAAAAAAATTTTCAAGATGGCCGCCGCTTTAAAATTGACGGGACTTTTTCGCAAAAATCATAAATTTTTCATTCTAAACCAAAGTAATTAATATTATTGTTTGAAATTTTGGTAGTATATTCGCAACATCTATCTATTTCACATATATTCCGTGTTTTTCATCCTGACCCCCAGGGGCCTGTATGGGGGGTCAGGAAAACAGAAATTTTCGCTAATTTTTAGATCTTTCTGAAGTATGGCTTTATTATACTCAAATGAAAGGCAATTAAGAGTAGATTGCAAATATTGTATCTTTTTTCTGATTCGAACCTCGTAAAATTCAAAATGGCAGTCTAATGTACGATTTCGCAATAATTTTTCGATCCCTTCAAAGTATGGCTATATAATACTCAAATTGAAGGAATTTTGGAGTAGATCACAATTATGGTAATATTTTACAGATTTGTACCTCAGAAAATTCAAAATGGATTTTTTCAAGATGGCCGCCGCTTTAAAAATGGCGGGACTTTTTCGCAAAAATCATAAATTTTTCATTCTAAACCAGAGTAATTAATATTATTGTTTGAAATTTTGGTAGTATATTCGCAACATCTATCTTTTCCACATATATTCAGTGTTTTTCATCCTGACCCCCAGGGGCCGTGTATGGGGGGTCAGGAAAACAGAAACTTTCGCTAATTTTTAGATCTTTCTGAAGTATAGCTTTATTATACTCAAATGAAAGGCAATTAAGAGTAGATTGCAAATATTGTATCTTTTTTCTGATTCGAGCCTCGTAAAATTCAAAATGGCCGTCTAATGTACAATTTCGCAATAATTTTTCGATCCCTTCAACGTATGGCTATATAATACTCAAATTGAAGGAATTTTGGAGTAGATCACAATTATGGTATTATTTTTCAGATTTGTACCTCAGAAAATTCAAAATGGCTGCTTTGCAGGAATTCGCAATTCTAAAATCTAAATTTTTCAATTTTAACCAAAGTAATGAGTATGATTGATTGGAATTCGGTAATTGATATTTTGTTCGTTGGGATTTGCTACTCCGCAGAGTTGCCATCATCTAGTTATATTTGCAGAGTTATATTCAGACTATGGTCTGTTCCAACGTCTAACGATGATTGAAAAGGAATTCCCAGGTGCCAACGTACTACTTCATAAACAGCAAGATGTACCTCAGGTATACCATAACATTAGTCCACGTCTGTTGCTCAACCTCCCTCCCCTTGCCAAAAATTCTTTCAAATACATGCAGTTTTTCACCACTTTGAACACTTGTTAAGAGAGTTTGGGTCAAAATTGTCAAATTTGGTGACAGGTCATCTCAACCCAGTCCAACTCAACCCCAAGTCAACTCAACCCCAAGTCAACTCAACCCCAGTAAAACTCAACCCCAAGTCAACTCAACCCTGTAAAACTCAACCCCAGTAAAACTCAACCCTATTCATTTGTGCAATGTCTAATTTAATTTTTTTATGATGAATAATTTAAGTCATTCATTTCTGAAAATCTAGGATTTTGCATGATACTTTGAATAGAAAGTTGTAAAAGAATTCCATATATGAACATGCATTAACAAAATCATTAACATTTAGTAATTAATAGACTGAAAGCATATAGGCATAGCCAGGAGGGGTGCGCACACACCCTCCTCCCAATTTTGAAGGAAGTTACATCATTTTTTGTCAAAACATATCTTTTTTTGGCTCGCTTATACTACGATCGGCACCCCTTGACTGGAAATCTGATTTTTTCGGCGACCGCATCCCTCCTGACTGAAAGCTGGCTATGCCCCTGGAAAGCTTGGTCATGTTCCAACTTTCCAAATAATAACGAGCGTCAACCTCATAGGGATTACAACAAAACAAATTATTATTGTATTAGCAAGATTAATAAAATGACCCACATTTTAATCCCATTAGTACCATGTTGATATTTTGGAGATGAACTCATTATTAACTATAATCTAATAAAAAGGCAGTGGTCTAAGAATGGAAATCACAAACTGAAAAATCCGAATTATTTTTATGAAATGAACTTTCTTTTAAGTTTATCCATATATAGAAATATAGGGGTTGAGTTTTACTGGGGTTGAGTTTTACAGGGTTGAGTTGATTTGGGGTTGAGTTTTACTGGGGTTGACTTGACTTGGGGTTGAGTTTTACTGGGTTGGGTTGACTTGGGGTTGAAATGACCAGGAAGCGTCAAATTTGACCCCCCTGGAATTTTTAAAAAGTGCTGAAAAATGAAAAGCTATTAACGACTTCTAAAGAAATATTAAAAAAAATTTAGGCTTTTAGAGACTTATGGGGCAATCAGCGACTACTGAATGCTGTGGAACAATTGGTTGGGCCAGATATAGCTGCGAGTACAGTGTGGAACTTGCGCACAAAGACACCCAAGAATGAGGCTACTGTAGTTCCCTGGCATCAAGGTTTGTGACTTAGTTCAACATTTAGCACATAGAAAGGGCCTTAGTCATCTAAATTTCTGCTCTATCCTAATCCATTTAATTGGTTGCTAATCTCCAGAGCACATGTTCTATTGGCACATTCTTTACATTTTAAATTCAATTTTTTAACAATAGGCTTAGTTCTATGGTGTAAAATCTGTATCAAAATTGGACATATTATATTTATATGATATCTCTAACACATAAAATAGCGTTTAGCATACACGGTTTGTTCGAGATTGCACACCCTATGTTTGTAAAATCACACTTGTACATGCGTATTTGTGGATGTACAGTATTGTTTAAAAATGACATCAAACAGAGAACACAAGACGAAAAAATGCTTATACAGCTCGCACAAATGTTTCTCCTTTCACAAACCATGATGTGCCGATCACACACCCTGATGTAACATAAATTGGTTTCTAGAGATGTTCAAGATTTTTCTAGCGATTTTTTTGAAATCTTGTGTGACTTTTGACTTTCTATGAAAAGCACCGTATTGTAGAAATCAGGATGTAAATGTTACGTGACTTCGAATCTCGAACACTACCTTTCACATGGATTGTGTATTGTCCAATTTTGAAACAAAGTAAATTCCATATAGTTCAGTCTACATGTAGTGTACATGCGCACCCTTTTTAATCATAAGGGCTTCATGCATAAAATCCTAGGGAAAATGTTTGTACACTGTATCTCCTAAGTCACCACAGGGCATTACTTTTTTTGAAAACACTTCTATCATCTCCTACCTTGACATTTTTCCTTAATTAATTTACTAGTACTTTTTTTGATTTTTTGGTTTATTTTAGATAGTGCCTACTTTGATAACCAGTCTTACAATTGCCACGTGGTTACTGCTTGGATACCGTTTCTTGATGCAAATGAGGCTAACGGATGCATGCAGGTTACTTAGCATAACCAATTTTCTGTAAAAAGTCTTGATTTCTTGTAAATATCAGAGCCTTGTTTAAAAAAATCTGCTTCTCTTCTATTTTTTCTAATCTCTTTTTGTTTAATTTTTTTTAAACTGTCAGATCTCCAGTTCTCTTTGTCTGTTCAGCATGCTATTATATATTTATTTCTACATTTGTTGAATTTTTAAGAATGTTTTTTTGTTTTTTTCTTCACATTGAAATCACCCTCTAGTTAGCCCTTTGCATTGGTTCAACTTCACTTCTTAAAAGAGAGCTTCGTCTTCGTTTACAACTAGACTGCGTGCTAAACATTTTTTTTTAATTTTTATTGTTTGGCATCTTATAAATCAAAATTGAATATTCTACTTGTTTTAATTGTCAGGTTGCAAGGGGAGGGCACAAACTTGGGAAGGTTGCCAGACATGAATGCTGCGCTGGTCCAACATGGTACGTCATGCTGGATGATGAGACCATGAGTAAAACATTGAATGTGGACTTGGAGAACGATATTATCACATGCCCAGTGCCTTATGGTGGAATGCTGCTCATAAACAACATGATTCCACATCGAAGGTATATGTACTATAATTCAATATATTTCACCCAATTAAGTATACTACACAGAGACATGATGCGTACTGTAACATACAGGGTGGTCCAAAAAAATGGGACACTCATATTTCAAAAATAAATATTGAATTTCTTGATGAAAACATGTCATATTATATACTAATGGATGGGGAATTTACTCATCTTAAATTTGGTATATCATAAGCTCAAATTTATTATAATGTCTTTCAACCAGCGTCCATAATATAAATGACGTCATTTTCATTTCAAAATGGGTTTTCCATACCTTGCAAAAACCAAGTTTTATTGTCAACTTTATTTACATAAACAGACGTGTCCCTTTTTTGGACCACCCTGGAGTTAAGTCAAAAATTACTTGGTATCATCATTTTGAAACATCCTTAAAAATAACCTTCAATATTATAATGTAAAATGAATTTAAACAGTACAACTTTGCATGTTACAAACCATGTTTAAGAGCTTGATAGCCCATGTCCAGACAAAGTGCATTCCTAAAATTTGAAATCATTCTCTTAATATGTAACTTTGAAACTTGATCACATATAGCAGTTTTATACTAATGATATTCTCACAATACTAAGTAGTTTGACAAATGTGTTTCAATTTTTAGTTTGACCGATATGTCCAATTTTTAGTTTCACCAATGTGTCCAATTTTTAGTTTCACCAATGTGTCCAATTTTCAGTTCGACTGATGTGCTCAATTCTCAGTTTGACAATGTCTCCAAATTTCATTATGTCCAATTTTCAGTTTGATCAATGTGTCTAATTTTCAGTTTGACCAATGTGTCTAATTTTCAGTTTGACCAATGTGTCTAATGATATCCGCTGGAGTGTGGATTTACGCTGGCAGAAAGTTGGATCGCCCGACTGTTTATGGGGGATAAAACAACCCCTAACTTTGAGAACTGCTGCAAACCCTAACATGAAACCAGACTGGGCTGCATATGAGGCTGAAGATAGAACAGAGGTGCAGACTACTTCCATGGGAGTGGTAGGTTTACTTGTTTTGTCATTCCACTCTGCCTTCCTAAATTTAGTAGGAAATGAATTTCATGGGAGTGGTATGTTCACTTGTTTTGTCATTCCACTCTGCCTTCCTAAATTTAGTAGGAAATGAATTCCATGCTAGCTAATGGTGGAACCATATAAATATGCAAAATATTTTGATAATTTTTTTTTAACAATAGGTTTATTTCATTGATATATTTTTCAAGGCATAATGCACAATCAGGCGGCAAATCGCTTTTGATAGAATATATTTTTGCCCTTCAGCGTTTCCAGATCTGCCATTGTATAACCTACAGTTTATGTGGCAGGCAACAGGAAAAAGGGTCTTATCACAGATTTTTTCAATATTTTGATTTTTTGTTTTTCTTAAAAAGCACAAAGAGACCTTTCAAATGCAAGCCATTGCTTGTGTCTTAACAATTTTTCCTTGCAGATGTAGACCAAAAAGAAGGATTTGAATTAAGCACATTTTCCTCTTAATCCTGGCCACATTTTCGGCAATTTAAAATTTTGTGATTAGACCAGTTTTCCTAGCTATGCAGGCTCATATATTATACTCATATATTATATTTGGTGCGCATGCACCAAATAACTTAAAAGTTACAAAATAGTAGGAATGTCATGCAGCCCTCTTATGACGTTCAAAAGATCTGCTCTGCATAAGCAAAACCAGAAGAAGAACAATATTCCAAACTTACCTATTCTTTTTTTACAGAAAATGGATGAGTTTGATACAACAATAGCTGGGCCCTGGATGAAAAAATGGGAGCTAGTGCACCACAATGAGCACACAAAGGCCTGGATGGAACAGAACCCAGATAACTGGAAATTGGAGAACAATTAAGATAAAGTAATACGGGATATAGTGATACGGGATAACTGCAATAAAGCTGAATAATTTGAAAAAGCTTGATACATCATATCAGCAAAAGTCTGATAATTAAAAAAAACAAACACTGAATATGATACAAGGAGGTGCAATTAAGGTGATTAACTGGGACTGTTTTAGTGAATATGTTGGCCTTAGTACACATCTTGAAATAATATTAACTGGACTATAATGATTTCCGTACTGTACTGTGCTAGATGTACTTTTACATGTTGATTCTAAATATGACATCACTTTGACTGAATTTAGAATATGTAATGGCGTAAATCAAGATTATTTCTACTCGCATCTAGCCTATTGTTCTAAGGCTGCAGAGATCACTATCAGAGTGATTATATTCTTAGAGATAAGGGTTTCTAAATACAATACTCCTTACACATGTTACATACATGTATTTAAAACTCAAGGCTACTACATGTTCAATGGCATCTTGTTTTACACTGAGCAATTGACTCAAATTAGAGCTGGGTGCTAATATATTGGGTGTCCCAAATGTCACACTTTTTCTACTCTTAGGTTGCTTGGGGTTGCTTTAAAGAAATTTTTGATAAATTCGAGTCAGTAAACTTGTCAAAAAATGTTTTTTGGAGACACCAGATAAATAACAATTATGAATTAATATGTCTATGAACTGATTCCCTAGCAAGTTGGGCTTCCATGTATCAACCTAATGTAAAAAAAAACAATGAATTTTTTTAATTGTTATGATCAATGCAGTCTGAGACTGTATTTATAACAATATATGAATTATTAAGCAGCTGTTAACCTCTTGAATCCCAGACTCTAAAATCGGTTGAAACCAGAGAATTTTTCATTTTTGCCACCTTTTGACATTTTACTATATACGTATACAATTTTAGATGCTCAACTTCGTGAAATTAGTCGGCAGAGATCATTTCTACACATTTTAAAACAATTTTTGTGTAAATTGGTCGAAAATTGTTCAAATAAGAGCAATTTTAGTGAAAAAAATTGTGACGGATTTTCTCGTCACTGGGTTTCAAGGTCATTTCTGAGGTGACGAGAAATCTCGTCACTCCAGGTAGTCAAGAGGTTAATGGCATAAAGCTTTTAACATGGTACAGTACTCATTATATTTATTTTGATGAGTCTGTTTTTTAAAGCAGAATGCTTTTATTGTGTAAAGTGCAATTTTGACATGCATGGTTTATCGCATAAGTCTCACTGTATATGCTTTAATATTTGATTTTTGTCACTTGTTAATAAGCTATTTCTATATACATGTACGTATAATGTACAATGTACATTATGATTTGCTTATTATGCTTATTGTTAAGTCATTAAATTAGTCATTTCTAAATATAATATGTACATCACACTTATTGGTTTGTTAGTTTCTTCATTGGGAAATAAAAGTCATTACTATTTCGCAATATAAAAATTAGCTAATAGTTGCAGTTCTTGTCCTAAATAACTTGAAAATATAGTTGATAATAATAAAATAATAATTGCACATTCAATGGACTTTGACACAAATTTTATCGAAGCAAAAATTGAATAAATCGGTTTAAATTGCCTTTTAAAATTGAAAAATATGCATTACAGTTAAGTTTCTATTTTGGAACTTTGCAGTTTTCTCTTAAACGATTTTTGAGCTTTGGAATATTGCAAAAATGGAATTTAGTGATTGTGTAAGTTATATATCATTATGGATGAGAAATATTTTATAGGGTTATTAAGGCTAAGAGTTACAGGGATTTCCACTCTTAAAGATATTTCCAAGATATATCCTCAACTTTAACATTTTAAAAAACTACTCATTTTATAGATTTCATGACATTTAACAAGATTTGATTTGATCAAGGCATGCTCTATACCAATCAGTCATCAGCCCCACAACTACATACAAAAACATATTTAACTGAATTCAATACAATTTGTGAATGATCTCACTGATCAATCATGGATGTGTATGTTAAATCTTTAAATCGATTCAGTGTTGACAATTAACTGTGTAGCTTGTCTTCAATGTATTCCCATCCAGTAAATAAAAGGCATTAAGATGCAAAATTTCACCACACCTGCCATTTGTTAAAGACACCTATTGCCGAATGCCAACGGCCAGATGCTGAATAATATCCACAAAAAGTTGAGAGATCATAACAATATGTCATCGCATCTGGTTTTGACATAAAAGGTGAAAGATGTCTGGACTCATGTTTTCAGAAAATGATACAGAAGACCAAAACATCCTCTGAAAACCTGTATTTGAGTTATCGCCAAGACAAACAAATCAACAGTTGGGCCAATGGATAAACAGTTTCTACAAGGATTTTTTTCTGGTGGAATAATAAGTGTCAAATGGCAGGTTAATACAGGCCTCACTATATTCCTATTGAACTTTTTTCATTTTTCATTCATCAGGCATATTTCAGAATAATAACAATAACAAGGCATCAACATGCAAAATGTTACCACGTGCCATTTGGTACAGATGCTGGCCACCAAACAACAAACCCCTAAATGCCAAACACTGTCCACAATAAAAGTTGGAGACTATCTATAAAATGTCATCAATTGTGGTGGTGACATCATTACCAGTAAAACAAAACCACAAGACTGACTTTTCTTTTTCTGTTCTGTGCATATCTTTTATTTATATCATGTTTAACAAGATACAAATATCTAATAAATTATGCAGCAATTTCTTAATTGCACTATAATAACAAGCTTAAAAATAAATGCATGAATTTAAAATGGTATTTACATTATAGGATTTTATTCCCGCTCACTATTATCATTTTCAGCTGTTCTTCTAACTTCTTTATTTTCTCTTTAAAATAATCTTGGACATCCTGTCGCGTAAACTGGATCATTTCACAGAGGGAATATTGCACCACACTGGCTTGACGCCTGAAATAACACAAGCCTTCTTCATCCTCGTGATATGGGGACAAGATATTAACCAATGAGGAACTGTTTTTCATAGATGCACACTCTGCCCAAGGTTTGATGCATATCTCAATGATATATGATGGCGCTATTACATTGTTATTGAACAACGCTATTGACTCTTTGTCGCACCAACAATAATTCTGACTACGTAGAAGATGTTCACGTCGCCTGCTTTCTAAACTAACACCCTTTCTGGAATCATATGAGCAAATGGCAGATATCTCCGCTTGTGAAGAATTAGGTTCTACCACGGGAATAAAACGAACCTCGTATCTTGATTTATCCACAGGTGGGTTGAACCTACCCATACAATCATCCACACTAGCAACATAGTGATCCTTCTTGTATTGAATCAGTTTGATTCCTTTCACAGAACCACTATCCAAGATCCCGCAATAAACAGTTCCTCCTTCACCTGTGTTAATAAACCCATTCAACGTCTTGGAAATAGGCTGTCGGGAGCGTTTACTTGATGCGCCAGCATTAACGCAATAATTCGGAATGTCTTCTATACAAATATTGGCATGTCCTTTGAACTCATGTGTTGCATCTTCCTCAAAGGGAACAATGGAATGTTTAACATAGTAGCGTCTAGCTACTATTGTTCTAACATTGTTAGTTTCACTTGGAGCTGAACTTAGCGCCATTTCTGAACTCTGCATCTGAAATATCAACAATGAATCAATATAATTAACATTTACACGGGTGTTAAAACACAAATATACCATGAGCACATGCTTTGAGGATCCGCGTTGTTTGAACCTACCGCCGAGCACACTTATACATTAAGACCCGTTACACAGTCATGGTACCGCCGAGCAAGCTCATTGCATCATCAGGTCTGCTTTACCCCCGTGATTTACCAAGGGAATAAACTTGTGCGCTCCTTTGGAAGCAAGAGTCTGGGATTCCTGCAAAAACATATTTCTGTATTTGGAGGAACCCTTACAGCCCCATACTCTTACTACCCAGGGAGCACCTGTGACAGGCAGCTTTGGTACATGAAAGCTACATGTAGGTTCGATTCCCACACGGATCATTGAATTTGGCACACTTTCTTTCAATTTCTTTATTTTGCTTGTTACACTATGCTCGGTAGTTATTCCCCTGTGGCGCTCTCGGCTCATTACAATTCTATGAACTAGGACTGCGAGTAAAGATCGATGAAGGTGAGTTATATAATTATGTTTAAATCAATAAATGTCTATGTCTATGTCAATAATCTGCAAAAGGCTAATAAGCCCATATAAAGCAGATATATAATTTAACAGTGATAGAATTTGAATAGAATATAATTTAAAACCTTAACATTTAAAAATAGATCTATGGTTTACAACTCATTTTACCTGGGGAGACTGTCAGGCTACCGCGTTGACATCACCCCTCTTTACCAGTAGTGCAGGCTTGTTGCTGTGCACTGGGGACCCTTTACATTAAAACATAGATCTATATTAAAAACACACCTATTTAATTGCAGTTATTGACATAGGCATAGTATGATGATTTAAAACTACTTAGACTGTCACAGTCTAAGATGTCACCAGGTAGAGTGTTCCATTTAGCTATTGTCCTAGGGAAATAGCTAAATTTGTATGCATCCGTTCTAGTTGATGGTTGTATGAACTTAGAAGGATGATACAACCTAGTGTTGGTATTGATCTGTTGGCGGAAGTATGGAGGCACGTCGATGGCTGCTAGGTTCTGCTTTCCTTTGTAGAAAAGGAAAACTCTAGCAGCCTCTCGACGCTCCTTCAGTGGCTCCCACTGTAGGTCTTGAAGAGCTTTGGTGACGCAGCCTGGTTCCCTTGAGTGACATTTGGTTACAAACCTGGCTGCTCTTCTCTGTACCTGTTCCAACATATCAATATCTTTTTGTCGGTATGGATCCCATGCCGAGCTGGCATACTCTAAATTAGGCCGGACTAGTGACTTATACGCCTGAGCCTTCACTTTTTCAGGGCATTGATGGAGGTTGCGCCTGAGAAATCCAAGCACCTTATTGGCTTTGGATACAATAGTTTGAATATGTGTAAAACCCAGCCAGGCAATTTCAATGACAGAGAATGTCAGTACTGTCAACCCCCAAAGATTTTCTCGCGGGACAGATTTTTTAGACCCAGTGCCCAAAATTCGCGGGATTTTGCGGGACATCTACTAAATTCGCGGGATTTCGCGGGACATTTAAGGGATTTGCGTGATTGCGCTTATAGGCCAATTTTTTTTATCAAATTCGCGTGATTTCGCGGGACCATTCGAGGAACAAACACCCTAATTGCGGGACATTTAACAGGTTTACCAGCAAAAACTTCATAGAGGGACAGATTTTCTAGAAAAAGTGCCCTAAATTTGCGGGATTTCGCGGGACATCCACCTAAATTTGCAGGATGTCCCGGGACATTCAAGGGATTTGCGTGATTTGGACTAATGTAAAAGCGTGTAAAAGTACTTGAATCAAACTTTCAGATACTGATTAATCAAATATAATGCACCGTTACATTGTAACTTAAATAAACGTCAACATAATTTCACAAAATACGCATAGAAATATTATTAAACTTTATTGTAATTTATCAAAAACAAAAACCATGCTTGAGGTGTGAGTATCGTAATCTAACACGAAATTCAAAAATTTGGAACAATACTTTGCACTTCTCTGCTTCTGGCGTCGTGACCAACTACTACCATACTGTAGGCATGGGCTTTCAATTGAAAGCCCATGATATAGGGGTTCGATTAATCTACATCAAATTATAGGGAATGAGGTTACTTTTCTAGATAGGGTTTGTAGAAAAAACCGGGTACCGGGTAGTAAATCCTCCATGCTGGGTTCAAACCTTTTTTTTTTTTTTATTCCTTCATTCTTATTTATGTACATGTAAATGTAAATATAAATATGTACATGTAAATGTAATGCAATTAATAATATAAATAAAATTTACGTAGACAAACTTGGTACCCGGTCGAAAAACCGGGTACCCAAAAAACGAAATATACGAATATACAACATAATTAGATCATTAGAAAACGTGTAAGATTTGTTTTGAATTTACAAAAATGTAACTTCCTTCAAAATTGAGCTAGAAGCTTCAAATAAAAAGCATTTTAAGCCTCTTTTCTTCCTCTATCATCATGGTCATATTTCCATTGGTAATGAAGGGGGAGAGGGTGCGATCGCACCATCACACCCTCTCCTGGCTACGCCAATGACATTGTAAGACGATTTGAATAACAAGACAAATCAATTTTACTCTATTTTCAATGAGTTCGTATGTTGGTACGTGAACATAACCAATGAAAATATGGTCATGACGATAGAGGAAGAAAAGAGCCTTAAAATATGCTTTTTATTTGAAGCTTCTAGCTCAATTTTGAAGGATGTTACATACATTTTTGTAAATTCAAAACAAATCTTACACGTTTTCGGATAATCTAATTATGTTATACTCGTATATTCGTATTTTTCATTTTTTGGGTACCCGTTTTTTGACCGGGTACCGGGTACCAAGTTTGAACCCAGCATGGAGGATTTACTACCCGGTACCCGGTTTTTTCTACAAACCCTTTCTAGATATCAGCGTCCATTTATTGTAACTCGCGTTTGCTAACATTTGCTCAGTTCTGAGATGAAGGCCACACGGATAGTAAAAAGGCCAACGTTGGAACTATTTGTGACCTACATCCCTATTGTCGTAATTAAAATGAAAGTTGAACCCTTCCTCTTTATTTTGATACCAAACAACAGCATGCTAGGTACTTAAAATTAGGTAAACTTTACTCCTCAAAAGTGCAAAAACTTAGCTTCTTATATAAGATAAGATAATCACCATATAGGGGATTGCAACAATTTCGGAAATTCGCGGAGGTCGAAAGCCACATTTGCGGGACTTCGCGGGACATTGCGGGACACGCGAATTAGCCTAATTTTGATCGAATTCGCGGGATAATCCCGCCATTCGCGGGACACTTGACAGCTCTGGAATGTCTTATTTACATGTATATTCTATGGCAACACTAAGTGTGTATCCGGATTGTCATTTGTGTTTATAGCTCTAATTATTTTATGTTACTACAATTGTACGTAGGCCTAGATACTAAATACATGGAGATATTCATTGTGATAGTCTTGTCTCAAGTTGAAACTGGAATCACATGATATCAAATCTAAAATAGGCCTATAAAGCTTACCTGTGCTCATTACTCAGGTGCGAATTCATACTGTTTATAATAACACCATATACTATGTGGACTTTGACACTCCAAACTGATAGTACTAGCGAAAGACTACATGCAGCATGGTTAAAAATCAACTAAAAGATAACCCTGTAACGATCCAGAGACTTTCATTTTGTATACTTCCGGCCAAAGTGGCGAACGTCAAATACATTGAACAGTTGTACTTTTACCACACAAAATCGGTGCGTATCATACTCGTTTCCAAAGAAATTAGACAAATTTGTTTTCTGAATAATCAAATATGATCAATTTAATTCTTCATTTCAAACTGTCACATAGAATACGGTCTATCAGGCATTATTGACGAATATTGTTCGTGTTCGCATTTTACATTTCCATTTTGTTCTGAATTTTCGGTCGTTCGCAAAATTAGCGCTACAAAAAGTTTCAATGAAAGTTTTCAAAATTTACCTAATCAAATGTGCATTCCTTCATCATCGGATGCCTAAAATACCGAAAACAAGGGTGAAATAAATTAACAAAATACATGGGTATGTATTGCATCACAACTTAGAACGATCTGATTTTCACATGTTTTAATTGAGCCTTTTTGAATTTTCCTCACAAAAATTTTCAAATTTTTTTGTCAATTTTTTAGATAAGAATTCTTTCCTAAGCCATTATACTCTATGGCTACTCTTGAACACATCATTGCGGCAGGAAGATCGTTTATCATAAGAATGTCAACTTTGCATAAACAATTGGAGTGATTGGTTCTTGTCCTGTGTTGGTGTCGCCACAGAGAGCTTTTTACATATGATTTGTATCGTAATGTATATATAACCCTCACAAATCATATGTAAAAAGCTCTCTGTGGGTGTCGCCTGATTGTAAAATCTAGACAATTCCATTGGTTGGATTAGCGTATTAGGCTAAATAGTAAAAACACGTAGATGGCGTAGCGTCATATGGCTGTTTTTGTTGCCACTGGTTGATTTTTTTTTATATTGAAGTACCCAATATTATTATATGATCGGATATTCCATGGGCTTTCCATGGATATTCTGAATATAACGTTGGTTGATTATATCCTTTCTTTAGGTGCTTTTAAATGTCACCGAAATGGTATCTAGTGCTGGTTTAGTTTCTTGTACATTTCCCTGTAGTGAGTCCCTAATGAGTTTTATTTCTGAGGAGCATCTATTTTGTCTAGTTCAACGTCGTTAAACTCAATAACAGCGTTCTTTTCTTTACTATTGGGAATTTCTTGGCCGTTATTGAGTTTAACCTCCTTACTATTCATTCCTTAGTTGCAATTTCTGGATCCACTGAAACCATTTTTCCGCGATAACATGCAACTGATACTTGACAATAATATGAAAACACATAACATCACTGGGCTTTCAATAGCAGGGGGCGAGAGTCCAAAATCGCTGTTTGTTTTCTATAATTCGCCGGTTGTCAGAAGCCAAATATTGTCTTTAGTTTTAGGGGGGGAGATTAAAAAAGTCACATCATTTTATCAGTACTTATTGAACGCCCTGTACATTGTATACACACAGGTTGTATTCTATTCACACAGGTTGCATTCTATATTGAGTGTTCAACCTGGGAAGTGCATTTGAATTTGTAAAATGAAACCTGTGGAAGAGTAAATCATAATTTATTTTCATAAGAATATAAAAGGTAAAAATGGCATTCTATATGCGTTGCCCTAGTCATTCCACAGTTTAAGGTGTTATTTTGTGTAGCCCGTGTCTTGTGATCAATTAAATTGACAATATCACACATGGAAATGACTTTGGAAAACCTGCAATACGTAAAATCTTTTAAATCACCTCTCAATAGGATTCAATGTTCAAAACTTTGAATGACTGTGCAATACTCTTGTATATGAGATACATTGTCTGAAATATATTCACATGTGAATTGTTCATCCTTGCACTTTTGTGACATTTAGTATATTTTGCCTTTAATCTTACAAGAACAATAATAAGTGGATTAGATCAAATTTAATTTCGACATTCCCTGTCCATTCATCCACTTTCGGTGCGCCGACGCTATAATAACACTGGTGCTCGACTCGATTACGCTGGTTACCGAAACGGTTCGTTTTGCTAACAAAATGTTGGAACATCGAAGGTACGATTTTTCTTTTTTCCTTATTTCACACGTTGTATGCAGAATTTCCAAGACATCTTTTACACAAACGTGTATCAGTATCATATGTTTAAGAAAATGTACATATTTTTGAATAAATAGTTCAGAAGAAAACAGAATCGTCTATTTAATTCCTCACTTAAGTTACATAAACGGTTTTTCGAAAAAACAGTTAAGATCTGCACTTTTAACCCAAACCGTTTATGTAACTTAAGTGAGGAATTAAATCGACGATTCTGTTGTCTTCTGACCTATTTTTTCGCAAACATGTACATTTTCTAAAACATATGGTGCTGATACTAGTTTGTGAGAAAAAATGTCGTTTGGATTCTGCCTAAAACGACGTTCCAACATTTTATTACCAAAACGAACCGTTTCGGTAACCAGCGTAATTGAGCGGATCACCAGTGAATAACAAGAATTTGCATTTTCGGGAGTGTAAAATTGGTTATTTTGAATGCCGCCCCTTGTATTTCTCATCTGCCTCTTGTAAAAAAAGTTACCGAAACCACTGCATCAAGGGATTCAACACAATATCATTGTGTTAAATGTTCATTTATACTAGTAAAATGAGGCTACACTTACCAATCTCTAAAATAACATTTCCGCATGACCGTCATTGTGTCTGTTCGTCTGGGAGTCTCGGGTTCAAATATTAGCGAAACAACATTGTGATTACTCGGGATAAAAAGATCAATTTTGAGGATAATAGGTATATTTGATTGATTTATATAGCGCGTATTATACACGCAAAATAGTTATTAATTGCAAACATACTGTTTGTTAATGCAGTGCTGCAATGACGGTTAATTTCTGATAGGATTTGCAATTCGATGTAACCAGAACTGACCAACATTTTCGTTATATTCCAAACCTGTCTCCAATATTTTCGTAATTATGCATTAATAGGGTCTAAGGGGGATATGGGATGGTGTGTATGTATTCATATGGTATGTATGCTTGAATCACATTCTTTATGTAATATTACCATGTTTTCAGGGTTTAATTAGTTCCGCTTGCCGAAACCTGCGGAACAATTAAATTATACCTCACAGTACTGCAGTAGAGATTAGGGGTATAATGTTGTCCATGTAAGTAACAAATTATCAATGTGACTAATTTTGAACTTTTCAGGAAAATCCACCATCAAGATGTCTAACCAAGGTGCAAGGGAGGTAGGAGAGAGACAATTGACAGATGTACAACTTGCTAGATTAGGAATCCCAGAACTCGTGAGAAGATATCGTGAGTTGGAGCGTGAGAAAATGCAAGCAATGTCTGAACATGGTAACCTCATGAAAGAGGTCAATAAACGTCTACAAGTACATTTAAATGAAATCCGCAATCTCAAAGAAGTGAACCAAAAATTGGCTGAAGATAATCAAGAACTTAAAGACTTGTGTTGCTTTTTGGATGATGATCGACAAAAAGGTCGTAAATTAGCCCGAGAGTGGCAACGATTTGGGCGTTACACGTCAGGTGTAATGAAGAGTGAAGTGACAGACTATCAAGACAGATTAAAAGATCTTGAGTCAAATCAACAGCAATTAATAAAGGAAAATACTGAGTTGAAAGAACTGTGTGTATATCTTGATGAAGAGCGAGGCTCGGGGGAAGGGTCATTGAATGGGAGGGATGAGGGTGATGGGAGCAGCAATGAGTTGAACACAGTAGAGCAACCAGCTATACAATCAAGTAGTACCACCCCCGTAAATAGTAGCATTACGGCAATACCTCTTGTTAATGGTAGGTATATTAGATTAGGATAATTAAATAATATCAAATTATATCAAAAATATTTGAATTGAATTTTAATCTCATCGTTTTACATCACATTATATTAACAAAAAATGGACTTCGAGATGTGATCTTGACAAAATCACAATTTTAGCTTCAAAGTCAGATAATTCTTATAACAGAAATTGTTTATCTCAATTTGAATAAGCTTTCAATTTTCAGAATTAAACTATAAAATTATTGTCCGGCCCCCAAATAATTGAGCCCATTTTAGCAGGGGTAAATAAATTCAACATCTTCTGATTATTTTCTATTCCAGAGGAAATTTTACAGTACATTAGGCAGTTAGAGACAAAAGTAGATAGTCTTAAACGTGAAGTCCCTCACTCTCAGGTAATCATATATTCTTTATAATTATATGGTAAAACTGCAACTACAAGGTGACCTAAAAAAGCAGAACCATTTATTCACCAGAACAAATTGGTGGGGTCTGTTTTTCGGGCTACCAAATTACCCTGTACCTAATGTTTCAAATTAGGCTTGTTCTTATAATTTCGCTTTTACTGGAAATCTAAATTCACTCACTTTTTTCATAGCCTCTACATTTTGAATATATAATAAAAAGTATTAATCTTACATGATCTTGAAATGTTACCCTCATATATAAGGTCATAAGATGTTCATTTTGATGACCTTTGGATCTGTTGCATTTGGAACTCTATGCAGTATATATTTACAATAAATGGAGGATATAAAATATTTCAAATGTGTGTGGTAAGATTGGTAGCGTTATGGCACTACAGAGATAACTACAAGTTCCTCTGCATTTAGTAACTATAAATACTACATTTATTCAGACTAATATGCGGAGAACTTCTGAGGGGTATGGAGCTTTCCCACCCACAAATCCACCCACCAATGCACCCACCAGTTCACCCACCAGACCCCAGGCCATTGTACAAGCCATGAAGGTATGTAATTGAAATTCGATATAGCATTTAATATAGCATTTTTGATATTTTAGCATTCTTATTTCACCATACATGTAGGGAACAATTTAGTAACCATTTGTGAGTTATTATTAAATTATCGTGTAGAATTTTCTAAATTCTTTGAAATCACAAAACAATACATCAGCGACATTTCAGAATCAGACTTTTCTAGAATAGAGTATGAAATACATATGAATTGTAGAAATCACGACAAAGAATTTTCTTTCAGCCAATACCATTTATATTATTATGGCAAATCATGTGGCATTTTTGTAACACATTCAGAAAAAGCACTTGTTGCCTGCTTCTAGTGCTCCTAGACTTCGACTCACAGGGTTGTCTATTGCAACTGCGCTGACCACATTCCTTCCACCCTAACCAAATATCGGTTCTTTAGTCGCGAACTTAACAGTTCCTCTCTTCTGAAACCTTATTTTCCCACTCGCGCATTGAGCTCCCTCTGCGAACTGATCAGCTGTGTGGTTCGCTATGTGAGAATGTTGTTCGAATTGAAGGAACAAGGTCAGCGATGTCGGAACTGATAACTGCATGAGTCGAAGTCTAGAAGGCCTGTAATGAGACCCCTAATTACAGATATAATTATTTGCTCATTTAGGTGCTAGAGGTTCATGACCAAATTGGGAGCGCCAGTTCTGATACGGAATACCTGGGCGAGGATGAAAAGGCCATCGTACTAGAGATGTGTAATGTAAGTGAATTAGTATACAATATACAAGTTAGAGATATTACTTTTTGTTGATGTTAAAGATTATTGCATTTTTATTTTTATTGCATTTTCTTTTTTTTTTTTTAACTATATACGTACTCTACCATAGTGTGTAAACATCCAAATAAAATATGTAACTAAATGAATTCAAACACAAATATTTAAACATAATTGAAAATGCCATGAATATCCTCATGATGCGGAACTACCTTAAGAGTCATATATACCTAATAAACTTTCATCTTAATATCTTATAATACATTTCAGGTGGTTTGGAAGAAACTGGGTGATGTAAACTGAAGGATTATGAGAGAATGGAATAAAGTGCACAATGAAGAACATATCGGTACATATCAGTATTATTGTAGATTATCGATCACCATGGTTATCAGGTCCATAACCAAGGGGAGATTGGGGTGTTCGAGTGAACCTCCTCCCTGGCCAAAAATTCTTTCAAAATCATGTAGTTTTCACCATTCTGAGCACTTTTCTAGTGCTTTTGGGCCAAAATTGTCAAAAGTGAACCCCCTGGATTGTTTTGAAAAGTGATCCCACCTTTGCAAAATCTGGCAATGGGCCTGACATGGTTATAGATACAGTGAAACCTGGCTAATTTGAACATCACTTTGACTGGCCAAAAGTGTTCCAACTAGTAGGTGTTCTTATTTCAACTAGTATTTGTTCATATTTCAACATTTCTAATAATATGAATCAATGTGAGATTGGGACCAAGAAAATTGTGCGCATTAGAGAGATGTATGGATATAGAGGTTTTACTGACGCTAGTTACTAACAGAGCATTGTTGTTTCACATGAGTGGAAATAATCGATATTACTTGAAGCAGAGACATATAAAACATTGAAGCAGCTCAATTTCAAACTTCGATACTACGATAGGCTAGATTTTCAAGATTAAAAATGCATTAGTAATATATTTGAAATCTAAAATTACATATACATGTATATCTGACATTGCATGAGGTTATAAATTGGAAATTAAATCAACTTTGAAAACTTTTTAAAAATGTTTCTTCTAGATTTCCATATAAAATCATGAAAAGTGAATTACACTGTATACTAACCAAACACAATTTAAATGACGAAATTAGCATTATAAATACTCAAAAAGATTAGATGTTAGTAGGTTTTCTGGATCACTTTTTTTTCAAGAAAAGGGAAATTCTTGTTTGTCTGACTTGAGTTAGGACCTGTTGGTGAAACTGGAAACGCAGTACTGTACTGACATCTAGTTTATTAAAGTCAAACTAAAATACGTTGACTGCACAATAATGATAATGCTTTTGATGAAAACCTGCACATTCTAATTCATATTACAATACATTGTATGCACAAGGATGGAACTCATTTATTTAAAAGGTGATAAGAATATTTTCAGAACTTTCTTGAATAATCTCAAAAATAAGATTTGATGGTGTTTTAAACAGAAAAAAACTTTAAATTGCTATAAGTACAAAATCTTAAAATTGTACAATACATTGTATGCAACATGCACAAGGGTGGAAGGAATTCATTTATTTAAAAGGTGATAAGAATATTTTCAGAACTTCCTTGAATACGCTCAAAAATGAGATTTGATGGTGTTTTAAACAGAAAAAACTTTAAATTGCTATTAGCACAAAATCTTAAAATTGATAATGTTAGGCAAGACATCAACGAAATAAATATAGAAAATACCGATAGACATGTTATTTTAATATTACATGTACAATGTAATTCCAAATATTAGATTAAATTTGTTTCTGTATTGTTCCAAAATATTTACCGTATATTTGTTTATCAATAAAACTATGTCTTAGCTGATTTAAGGATATGAGTTGAATGGGGTCATTAAGATTTAAGAGTACAGGCTGATCGGATCATCAGAAACATGTTATGTAATTTGTAAATCTAATTCTGTTAATACCAAGATTTGGGATTTCAAAAGCAGACCTTGTTTACAATAATGTCAATGAATCAGAGATGTATATTTATATCACAAATTGTAGACTCTAAATTAATTTTTACTTCATAAATGATATTATGGCCTGTATTCCAATTTTTTTTTTATCTCTGTTGACTTTTGTTTAAAAATAACAGCTTTTGATGTACTGTAATTTGTCACTAAGCATACCCAATGATTACAAGTATTACTTATTTTATGACCTTACATGTGGATTTTGATGCATTATTTACTTCTTTTTTTTGTTTATTCATCTTAATGAGGTATGTATTAAGAATTAATTAATCAAGAATTGATAAACATATAAGGACTTTTCATTTATGGTTTCACTAGAATTTTAAATTACATTAATAATCCAAAACTGGTATACTCATCTGATCTGATATGTAATAACAAAGAGGAGGTACCGTAGTGATGATGTGATTCGATAAAATGTTGATATTGCTGACCTGGCTGTTGGTAAAGCACTCGCCCGGAAAACGAGGGATCGTGGGTTCAATCCTTACTGGGGTGGACTGACTTTTTAACACCAGCCCTTAGCGCAGGATTAAATTCTGTGTTCTCATTCACTGATATATGGATTCTGACCAATTATAACACAGTATAGATGGCGTCATTCTATATAATGATTAGCCTAGTGCATTTTGATCAACAATTGTATATAAGACTATATATCGATGTATATTGTCAGGAAATAATATGCTTATTGTTATATTCTTGATATTTGTAAAAACATGACATTATACAATTTTAAATATGCAAATACCTCAACTATATTTTACAATATTTGTACATAAACATATATTTGTATGTAAATAAATTCAATTTACTATATCTACTATGTCTTTTGGTTATTTTGAATGAATAACAATGAATTTCTCTTGGGACCAAGGATGACACACTATCACGAGCACAGATTATGAATGTCTTCGAATTTCCCATTCTTATACCCGTGGTTCAACTTAGACATATTCCAACCAAACGCACGGTTTGTTGATTATGACCAAATGAGAACGAAGTCTGCAACAATAAATTCATGGTTGCAGAAGACTACTTTAAAAACAAGTAAAAACAAAAGAAAGCTTCAAAATATAAATGTTTTTTTTATAATGGAAATTATTAGACTTTATAATGGGACTTGGCAAGAAAAATCAAACTCTAAGTGTAAACCAGTCATCGGAAAAACAAACTCATATATCCCAAAACCATGATCTAACGTGAAAAGAATTCTTTAGTACCGGTGTAAAAGAAATTATGGTCCCCCGGGGATTATGGTCCCCTTTCTTAAAGGCCCTTGCTGGCCCTGATTGTTGATACGATAATAAGGGAAAGAGTTGTATTTAGGTCACCATATAAATCAATGGAAAGTAGGACCATAATTTGATAGGACCTCCTACCCTTTTACACCTGTGTAAAAGAAATTATGGTCCCCTTTCCTTATGACCCTTACTGGCCCTGACTATAAATAATAATAAGGAAAATAATTGTAATTAGGTCACCATATAAATCAATAGAGAGTAGGACCAAAATTTCTTTAAGGCCCATACTGGCCCTGATTGTGGATACTATATTAAGGGAAAGAGTTGTATTTAGGTCACCATGTAAATCAATGGAAAGTGGGACCATAGTTTGATAGGTCCTCTACCCTTTTACACCGGAAAATATCATTGCCTTTCTCGATCGTGAAATTATAAAAAATATGTTTGCACACCAGGAACTTTTTCGTTATGATTGGCATTATTTTTCATATCCGGAAGTAGTTATAGAAACGAGAGTTCTGACGCACCTTTAACATTGAGTCCTATGGGGAGGGACACGATTTTTCATAGTACCCTCCCTAACATGGGCTCCAATGGGGAGGGACATCTGTGAGCCTCCCTGAGCTCGGGAGGCACATACGGGGACCCCACCCCTCCCCCCCTCGGCGTGGTGGCGTGTACATATTTCGGGAATCTCGGGCCCTAAGGGTAACGGACGCCCTACCCCACGACTATACGTTCCGGAAGTTAGCCATTTTGACAGGAAGTCAGCCATTTTGACCGGAAGTCAGCCCGGAAGTCAGCCATTTAACCGGAAGTCGGCCATTTTGAAGCTTTCTAGCAGGAAGTCAACCATTTTGCATCTGTCTGGGCAAGAGGGTGACATCATAGCGGAAGTGAGGCATCTTTTAGTCGACCTGGGTAGGTTTTAAAACGGAAGTTAGCCATCTTTTCCCTACCTCCTCCCACTTCCTCCTTACCTCCTCCTTACCTCCCCCCCCCGCCTCCTCCCTACCTCATCATTACCTCCTCCCTATATCCTCCTTACCTCTTCCCACCTCTTCCTTACCTTCTCCCACCTCCTCTCTACCTCCTCCCGCTTCCTCCTTACCTCCTCCCACCTCCTCCCTACCTCATCATTACCTCCTCCTTACCTCCTCAAACCTCTTCCTTACCTCCTCCCACCTCCTCCCTACCTCCTCCTTACCTCATACCTCCTCCTACTTCCACCCAACCTCCTCCTGTCTCTTCTCCATCTTCCAAACCTCCTCCCCTCCCTTTACTTTAATATTCAATAGTTTATAATGTCATAAATGCCTGTTTATGTTTACAATTGATCTTAATTGACACATTTTGAACCAATCACAATACTGCACATTAGAATATTCTTATATATTTTAAGTTGTCCATGTTTTGAGTCATTTTACTGATAGATCTTGAACAGACAACATGTCTTTCAATTGTTCTGAGTGTAGTGTGAATTTTACGAGAGGTGATAACCTATCAAGGCATATGAATAAGTTTCATGGAGAAAAAATGCATCAGTCTGATGTTATGCTGAAACATCCGTTTACTATGATAGCAGGTATAGGCATGGACATGTTGAAATTAAAAGTCTGATAGGTTTCTAAATATAGAAAGAGAGCATGTCAATTTATTAAAAAAAAAAATTTTTGTTGTATTTTCAGCCGGACCAACATCGTCGGGGAAGACCTGGCTTATGAAGCACTTGATCAAAAATGTTGAACGGTATATATCCCCAATTCCTAGAAGAATCATCTGGTGTTATGGTCAATGGCAGCCTGCCTACAAAGAGCTAAGAAAATACCCACATTTGGAATTTGTGAAGGGAATACCAGAGGATATTGATGATTCAAGATACCTTGACACTTCAGTTCCTACTTTGATACTTCTCGATGATCTTATGAATGAGGCAACAAATGATCAACGGATATGTGATCTCTATAGCAAAGGCAGTCACCATCGAAATCTGTCTGTGATATGCCTACTCCAGAATATGTATCATCAAGGAAAAATGAATAGATCGATGAGCTTAAACTCTCACTATATGATACTGTTTAATAACCCGAGAGATCGCCAACAGGTGGCATTCTTATCGAGGCAGATGTACCCCGGAAATGGAAACAAGTTGGTCAGAGCATATACCAACGCAACTAGTCGACCCTATGGTTACCTGCTTCTTGATCTGAAGCAAGAAACTTCGGAGCACAGCAGATTGAAACCAAATGCCT